GGTACTTCACTGCTGGATTCCCCGTCTCGGCTTACATCTCGGGCCATGTCTACCTTCAGATGATCTGTATGCTTCACCTCTCGCAGTTCCTTTTCGAGTCATCCTCAAGCTTAAGCTAACAAACAAACCCAGTCTATGAGTTCCTCTACACATCGATTGGCCAGGCCATCGCCGCCTACGCGCCCAATGAGTACTTCGCCGCCATCATGAACCCCATTCTCATCGGCGCCGGCATGATCAGTTTCTGTGGTGTCGTCGTGCCCTACGACCAGATCACGCCCTTCTGGCGCTACTGGATCTATTACCTGGACCCCTTCACCTACCTCGTCGGTGGTCTCCTGGGCGAAGTGCTCTGGGACGTGAAAGTCCAATGCAAGGCGTCCGAGTTCGTTCAGTTCAGCGCCCCGTCCGGCCAGACCTGCGGTCAGTACATGGCGGACTTCATCGCGAACAACACGGGCTACCTGCTGGACGCGAGCGCAACGGGCTCGTGCTCCTTCTGCCAGTATTCGACCGGAGCGGACTACGCCAAGTCGTTCAACTTGAAGGAGAAGTACTATTCCTGGAGAGATGTGAGATTTGCCTGTCCCTGACTCGAAGATGAATGATTGGCTGACCTTGTTTCTTGTAGACTGGGATTACGGCGCTGTTCTGCATCACATCGTACGGATTGGTGTTTCTGATGATGAAGTTGAGGAGTAAGAAGACGAAGAGTGCGCGGTCGGAGTGATTTTTTTTCCCTGACATTGTGACGATATGGGGGAGAGAGACTGCAGGGGTTGTTGTGGCACTGCTCTTGGGATCTTGAATGTGTCGTTGAATATACTAATGGCTGGTGGTGGAGTAAGAAGGTGCAAAGTGCCAGGTCGGAGTAAGACGATCAAGGATGTGGTAAATCTGGTTCTGCATTTAACATGTTTCATTGGACATAGTTGTGGGTGCTTGAGGTGAAGACCAATTCAAGTTATAGATAGACTAGATATAGGTTTATTTTTTTGAGAAGCTCAATAAAGCTCGTTGGATTTGTTTGAGCTCTATCTGTCAGTCGGAAGAAAATGTGGCCATTCAAATGTCAGGATATGCATTAACTGCTGAACAGGGGGACTTCTAAAAAACTGCGTCAGGGAGTTATGATTCCAAGGAACTTTCCTATCATTTGTGATAGACGAATCGGGGCGACAGGTTAGATTGCAGTGCGCTAGGCAGCAGGGGTTGATGCCCGACATTTCAGGTTCCGTACCGGGCGGAAGAAGAATGAATGAACAACAACCTTCCTCAGCTCTTCCATCTTCCATCTTCCATTTCAAGATCTTTCTCAACCTCTTTCTTTCGTCGATGTATGCGCGATTTCTTCACATTCGGCATCTAGGAAACACAACTCCGAGCGCCACATAGAACACAATGGACCAAATACAGTAAGTATATGGAATCACTCGCGTACCACGGCGGGGACCACGTGGTTGGCCTGGCTAAACGGGGTTGCATACGGCAATTACACTGCAGCACCTGGGGATGTCACTCACAGCCCATGCAAGCCTCTTCAGGCCGGTACTTCATCCTGAACAAGGAGCGAGCAAACTGCAGAAATTGCAGAAACTGGGGAAAATCAGCCCATGCCTCGGCTATTCTCGCCCCATACGTTACCAATCTGGGGACGGTTCTTCCCCGTACGGCCAAGCTGACGCCCACGTGAGTGCAATTAGCCGGCGGCGGACTGCCGTTCCTGTCAAGGAACTAATCCCTTCATTTCGGACTCACTTCGCCTCTGCTCTTGGTATACCACGCGGAGGTGGCCAATTGTGAAGAGCGCCTACGAGATTGCGGTCGGGATGCGGTCCGGAAAGCCGTCGTGCCCTACTGAGCTCGAGGAAACAGCTTCACGATCTATCTTGTCTATAGAATTGTATAGACTGCAGAGCGACATGAGCGATGAAGAAGATATAAAAGGCCATGTCATTCCCACGGTTTCTGTCGCCATCATCAGCTTCGATCATCATCTTCCTCCAGCTTCAAGCTTCAATCGTCCCTCAATCCGTTGGCAACCATGGTTGACTCTTTCTCCATCTACAAAACAGCTCTCCTGCTGTCCATGCTGGCCACCAGCAATGCGCAGCAGGTCGGCACTTACACCACTGAAACGCACCCCAGCTTGACCTGGCAAACCTGCAGCGGCAGTGGTAGCTGCACTACCACCAGCGGCAGCGTGGTCATTGACGCCAATTGGCGTTGGGTGCACGAGGTTGGTGGCTACACCAACTGCTACAGCGGCAACACTTGGGACAGTTCGATCTGTTCCACCGATACCACCTGCGCGTCCGAATGTGCCCTCGAGGGTGCCACTTACGCGAGCACCTATGGTGTGACCACCAGCGGCTCGTCGCTCCGTCTCAACTTCGTTACGACGTCGTCGCAGAAGAACATTGGCTCGCGTCTGTATCTTCTGGCTGACGACAGCACCTACGAGACTTTCAAGCTTCTCAATCGGGAATTCACTTTCGATGTCGACGTCTCCAACCTCCCCTGCGGACTGAACGGCGCCCTCTACTTCGTCTCTATGGACGCTGACGGCGGCGTTTCCCGCTTCCCGACGAACAAGGCTGGCGCCAAGTATGGAACCGGATATTGCGACTCCCAATGTCCTCGGGATCTCAAGTTCATCGATGGTCAAGCCAACATTGAGGGCTGGGAGCCATCTTCGACCGATGTCAATGCGGGTACTGGTAACCACGGCTCCTGCTGCCCTGAGATGGATATTTGGGAGGCGAACAGCATCTCCAGTGCCTTCACTGCCCACCCTTGCGACTCCGTCCAGCAGACCATGTGTACGGGCGATTCTTGCGGTGGCACTTACAGTGACACTGCCGACCGTTACTCCGGTACTTGCGATCCTGATGGATGTGATTTCAACCCTTACCGCCTGGGCAACACCAACTTCTATGGTCCCGGAAAGACCGTCGACACCAGCAAGCCCTTCACCGTCGTGACGCAGTTCATCACCAACGATGGTACTGACACTGGTACCCTGACTGAGATCCGTCGTCTCTACGTGCAGAACGGTGTCGTGATTGGCAACGGCCCCTCCACCTACACTGCCGCGAGCGGCAACTCGATCACCGAGAGCTTCTGCAAGGCCGAGAAGACCTTGTTTGGCGACACCAACGTCTTCGACACTCACGGCGGACTGTCTGCCATGGGCGACGCCCTCGGCGACGGCATGGTCCTGGTGCTCAGTCTGTGGGATGACCACGCCGCCGACATGCTCTGGCTCGACAGCGACTACCCCACCACCAGCTCGGCTACCAGCCCTGGTGTCGCCCGCGGTACCTGCCCCACCACCACCGGAAATGCCACCTACGTTGAGGCCAACTACCCGAACTCGTATGTCACCTACTCCAACATCAAGTTCGGTACCCTCAACTCGACCTACTCCGGTTCGACCTCGGGCGGCTCCAGCTCCAGCAGCACCACCTTGACTACCAAGGCCTCGACCACCACCACCAGCTCCAAGACCACCACCACCACTTCCAAGACGTCCACCACCTCGAGCTCGTCCACGAATGTTGCCCAGCTGTACGGACAGTGCGGTGGACAGGGATGGACTGGCCCCACCACCTGCGCCAGCGGCACTTGCACCAAGCAGAATGACTTCTACTCGCAGTGCTTGTAGGGGGAAAGATAGCCATTGAGATGTTCTCGACGAGAGAGGGAGAATGACAAGGAATGACGAGAAGGCAGAAAGTATGATGGCAATTTGTTACTTCCGGCAGGATCTCCAAGCTTAGCACTAGTCTAGCAAATGCTAATGAAAGGCTGTTTTTTTTATGCATGAGAGGAACAGTAGCAATAACCAGTAAGGTAGTGAGCCTGTAGCTGGGATTGTCAGGAACAAGGTTATGCAGGATTGCAAGATTGCAGAAGTGCAGAAGAGCCGCCGAAGAAACTCAACCCCGCACGGTCATGTGCTCCTCACTTGATCCCCCCCCCACTAATTGCGCTGATCGATCGATCTCTCCTCCCTCTCTTCTCCTGCTATCCCTATCCAACCAAGTATTTTTAATTGTCGCTTCGACCTTAAGTAACCTGGTATACTCCATACCACGGCTTGATAATACGAATCTATGTCTTCCTTCTCGATTTCACCTGTCTCAGATAATATCTTGGCTGGCCTGTGTGAAATGATCTGAAGTCGTCAAGACTGTGTGTCCATGTCCTATTCTCGAATAATCCCAAAGGGTGCTTGAGGGTCTCATAGATCTGGTGCACTATACCAGTCACAAAGCCCTAGCCACCCAATTTCCGCCAGGATTTTACGCAAGCGCCACGATCCCCCTCAAACAATGGAGTAGTGCCGACGATTCCTCAGGGGCACCTGACCACAACCACAACCACAAACCACGCCACCGACGTTTCGGCAGTGATCAAACCATGCTACCATGCTACCCAACGCCAAGCGCGTGCATTAGCGCCGGTGGGCTTCCTGCCGGGAAAAGGAACAATGGCCCCCGGAGCCTGCAGCGCCAAGCAACGTGGGTGGACGGGATATTCTCCGCATCACGAACTCTGTTTCTTGGGCCTTCCTCGTGCAATCCCGGGGTTGGCACGGACGCGGTGGCCTCCCTCTCACGCCCTATATCACTCGGGATTAAGCGAGGTCAGACGAACTGCCAGTCCTTAGTCCTGGTCTGGCCCCCCCCCCCCCCCCTCGCACCATTCCGGATCGGCAAAGGCATGCCTAATCCGTCACTGTTCTGCAGTGGGGCTCAGGCACCACACCACTGGGAAATGATGGTCTGTGCGGGACAAGAAATTGCCGTGACGGATTTGTCTCCGCGTTTTCTTCGGAGCTTGGGGTCTGGGGTCTGGGGTCGCTGTCACTGCTACTCCACGCTGTGTGTGTGTCATCGACAGCGGCTGACGGCCCGAGAGGCCGTCTTCATGAGCAGCGGAGTCGATGTCGCTCGTTCTTGTTGTTGTGCTTCAGGGGTCGGGTTGGGCAATATGGCCCCCGTCTTCGGGGTATAAGTTGAGGTGGTGAAGCTCGATGGGATAGAAGAAAGGACAGTAGCAATCCAACATCAGCATCGCCGCTTTGGACACCATGAAGTTCACCGTATTGGCACTGCTTCTCTCCCAGGTGTGGGCGGCCCCTCAGGCCAAACGCTCCTCCAATTTTCTCTGTATGGGCCACCGTCCATCCTTCAGCTCCTACATCTGAGAGACCTGTACTGACTGCAGATAGGGCTTGGTAGTAATGAGTCTGGCGCAGAGTTTGGCCAGGCCAACATCCCCGGTGTTCTGGGGACGGATTACATCTGGCCTGACGCGAGTAAGATCCAGGTCTTGGTGAATGCGGGCATGAATATCTTCCGCGTTCCGTTCATGATGGAGCGCCTGATTCCGACTTCATTGACCGGGACGGCCGATGCCACCTACCTGGCGGATCTCAAGGCCGTATGATCTAGCATTCTGGCTGAATTCTCTACATCATACTGACTTCCGTGATCAGACTATCGAGTCAATCACCAGCCTCGGAGCCTATGCGGTCGTTGACCCCCATAACTTTGGACGATAGTAAGCGAGCCTTTCCTGATTCTCCTAGGGTTCTAACTAAGACATGCTTGTTAGCTATGGAAACATCATTACGTCTACTTCCGACTTTGCCGCATTCTGGACCACTGTTGCTAAGGTATTTGCGTCGAACGACCATGTCATCTTCGATACCAGTACGTCTCCTTCGGTCTCTCTGCACGTTTACGGACTAACAAGTATCGCGCAGATAACGAGTATCATGACGAAGACCAGACCCTTGTCTTCAACCTCAACCAGGCAGCGATCAATGCAATCCGTGCTGCTGGCGCGACCAGCCAGTACATCTTCGTGGAGGGCAACTCCTACAGCGGGGCCTGGACCTGGACGACCTACAACACCAACCTCGTCAACCTGACCGACCCCTCGGACAAGATCATCTACGAGATGCACCAGTACCTCGACAGCGATGGGTCCGGGACGAGCGCGGACTGCGTGAGCACCACGATCGGCGCCGAGCGCGTCGCCGCCGCCACCACCTGGCTGCGCCAGAACGGCAAGCGCGCGGTCCTGGGCGAGTTCGCCGGCGGCGCCAACAGCCAGTGTCTGACAGCCGTCAAAGGGATGCTGGACGCGCTCAGCGCCGCCAGTGACGTGTGGCTGGGCGCGCTGTGGTGGTCGGCCGGACCTTGGTGGGGCACCTATATCTTCAACATGGAGCCGACAACGGGCACCGCCTACACCTACTATCTGTCCCTGTTGCAGAGCTATGTGCCCGGCGGTTCGTCGGGGACGACGACGACGACCGCTGTCGCCACCACCACTACCACCAAGGCCTCCACGACGAGCACTGCCACTACCACCAAGACCACCACTAGCACCAAGACGACTACCGCCGCTACTTCTACCTCCACTGCCGTGGCGCCTCTTTACGGCCAGTGCGGTGGCATTGGATGGACTGGGGCGACGACCTGCGCTAGTGGGTCGACCTGCACTAAGCAGAATGACTATTACTCGCAGTGCTTGTAGGCGGGGATATGTGTATTGGCTCTTTAGCTCAGAATATGTGATATGCCGTCTAGTAAACTGGTAGTGCTCTGACGACAAACCTCAAAGAAATGGGAAGATTTGACCTCTTCTGGTATCATCAGATCGAAGCCGTAAAGGTGGCTTTTGTGACATGAGATTCTATTCCTGTAGACACCTCCTGAAGCACAAAGCCATCAAAAATCATGCACTAGATCAGATGGAGTGGAGGAGCTTGAGAAGTTTCGTTTCTCTTGAAGGAAATGGATGAATCATGGTGGGCACAAAGGAGACAGCAAAAGAGAGAGAGAGAGAAAAGAAAACGTCCTCCCTGCTCATTCTACCAACGAAACCTGCGTTCAGAAAGCTTGAGATTGTGGAAGAGACAGCAAGTCATTTGAAGATCATGAGTGCGAGTTCGATCAATGTTGCATGCGCAAAGACCACATCCCTCTCACGCGGGGCTACTGGCTGTCTGCCAATCACTCGGTTGAACTCTAGCACAACCGGTGGTCCCTGAACAGAGGGGGGTGTAGTTCCCACCTTGACCACCGTTTTGGTGATGCGTTGGGGAATAAAGCCAGATCCGCCGGCGGCAACGCGCGCCCGAGTGACTGGCTGGCGCTGCGGGAAATATTTTTCTATCGTGAGCGTCTGATCTGACCGTGAGACTTTCAGGAGCAAGACGAGCAACACGCTGCCGCCTGAATTCGCAATCCACCAGTTAACATCCTGGCGGAGTCGGAATAACGATTCGGAGAGCCCGCTCTCAATTACAAAATGGGGCCAGTCGGTGCCGGTCGGTCTCAGCAGTCCATTCCTGTACGAAGAGTCTGCTTCCTTCCGAGAAGCCGAGCGCGCCGTGTATCGCCCGGCCCCGGTAGGTTCACGCTCCATGACGCGGACCCCCATGTTCGTCAAAGCAGTGACGGTCTCCTCGGCAAAACTGCGGTGCGCCTTCTCATGGTGGAGAGTTGGAACCTTGATCAAAAGGGTCTCAATGTCGGGGAAGTAGGTGAGACGAACCGCCCCTAGCAACTGATCGCGACTTTCTTCCAACGAATGGAGATCCGCGGCCGACACATGTTTGAACGACAGGTACTGGTTGGCGTCGCGCTGCCTTAGCCGGTCCTGAAGAGCGACGATCTCTCTATTGAGATCTTGTAGTCCTCTGTAGGTCTGTGGGGGGTACTGGCCTGTCATGGCTAGCACGGTTGACGGCGGGACAGGGTCGGGGGTGATTCGCATGCTCTCAGCAGCGGATGAGCGTGATGATGACAACTCGGTTATCGGCGTCGACTCGTCGTTCCCCGTTGTCGTGGAACGTGACAGCATCTTGTCTCAAGCGGTTGCAAGTTAGCAAGGTTCATCATGACGTAAATCTACCTCATACCTTCGGAGCGGAATGGTAGTAATAGCGGGTTATTAAAAGATCGGTACGTTGTTGGCGGTGCATGACAGTCAAGTAGCCCGAAGATCTTGTTCGACCACAATCTCGGGCAGGGCGAATGGGTAGAAAACAAAGAAAAGAAAGTAGAAGACGTTCTAGTGGGAGATATCAGCTGAAGAGCCCCTGTGAAGGTCTTCCAGGAAGAGGGTGGTGTGAATGAAACTGACTCTGAGCCAGTGAATCATCCCGTATAGATAGTGTTAGATTCATTCATTGTGAGCATCCTTTCTTCACTCGGATGCTGTTCGCATTCTTGACTAAATATTGCCCTTGCTATGATATTATCCGAGTGTGTCTAGAGGCGGACGTGCTGCGGCGGGACCGCTTAGGGCTGGTAGGCCTTGCTGCCTGCAGTATCATGACTTACCATCCACCTCTTCAAACAAGCAAGCATCTAACCTCTCTCAGCACCCCCACTGCCCTTCATATATACTGGTCGGTATATGGCAACCCCGGGCATTCCCACAATGTTCCATCCATTGCGCGAGCGCAAACCCACTCCTGTGATAGAGGATTGTCATCGTTGGCCCCGCCTTCCTGCCCCGAGGAGACAGGCACGTCCGCGTACGCTATTAGTGCCCCTCCAACCATCCCTTCCCCTGAGTCATCAGTCGACCTCGTACCCTGCTGAGCGAGGTGCAGCCGGGACCAAAAGCTGGCTTGCCCCAGGGCTGCTGGAAGAAAGTGGTCGCGGACACGAGCGTCACGGCGGTGGCCCTCCCTGGTGTTGACGATCAGAACTCGTTGTAGCCCTGGCCAAGGAAGACGATCCGCGACTTCCGAGGGCAGTGCCTCGCCCATGTAACAATCGGGTCGCGTGAGGACCACCTGCGCGAGATGCGGTGAGCACTGCAGTAGACTCTCCACGAAATAACCCTCTACACAAGGGTTGTATAGCGCGAGACGACGCAGGCGCGGCCAAGTGAGCCATACGGCGGGGTCCTCAATCAATTCCCCCGCTTCCGGCTCCTGCGGCAAGGCTTTCAGGTAAAGCTCGTCCTGGACGGAGCAGAAATCCTCCAGCGCGGGGAGGCGGGAGAACGCGGCGCGGAGGATCGCGCGGAGGCCCTGCACGTCGTCTTCTGGATGCAGATATCGGAGAGGGATGTTGATAACGAGCTCTCGGAGAGTAGTCCCAACCTGCGAGAGCAGTCGGCCCACCTGGTGCACTGTGTGGAAATCATCGAGCTGATTAGGCGGGAATGGGGCTAGGTAGAGTGAGTGAGCCCGAATTGGCGGAGAAAGATGGGATTGATCGCTGGTAGTGGTATCGCTGCTTTCCCCCAAGTACCTGCTTTGGCCCAGCAGCTTGTCAAGTCGCTCCCGCGAGTCGATATAGAGACAGTGCTGGAAGAGCAGCCGTCGCGCGGGGTGGTGAGTGAGTTTGCATGCCAGGGTAAGACTAAGCAAGGTCTGTGTTACAATGTCGCTCGGGGGGTGTATCTTGCGCGAGGCGGAGGGGATGAGACAGTCGATGATCTGGAGGATCAGCTCGCCGCACGGCCAGTTCCAACAAAGGTGTATTGGAGGTGTTCACCATCAGCCCTTGCATATTAGTCATATTTGATCTTCATGAGTCGATTGTGAAGGAACACAAAATGTATGCCATATGTTGCCCCTGGCCCACATTGTCTCTGTTGGTATCTCCACCCGATATTTTTTCGGAGTCGGCTTACTCGAGTACCCACTTGTCAAAGCTCATATCCACAAGTTCAAACATGATCGGCTTGCAGGCTGGTCCCTAATTGGCAGCTCAGACCTCACCTACCGCTTACAGAGTCGCTAAGGTCTTTCTTTCATCTCGGTGATATCCACTTGTCCTCGGCTCCCGGGTGGGTGACGCAAATGACTATCTAGTAGTCTACATGCAAAGGATATAAGAGTAACCACTGGTAACTATATAACGCTCAAACCAACTTGATTATATCCCGTCTGCAGCACACAGTCACCTGATAACTTGGCTTCTGATTCTCATCCTATCTCTTCATCTCCATATCATATACCAATTCATCATCAACCATCATGGCCGTAAGTCGAACCCAAATCTGGCCACCAAAGCTGCAGTGTTCTAATGTTCTTGAAGGCCGCCGATGTTGATGCTTATGCGGGCCCGCTCGCCCAATTCTTCGCCCACGGTTTGCGCTCTCCCATCCTCCGTCGGCCGGGTGAGGAAGGTCTCCAGTATGAGGAGGTCTGGTTCCCATCTCTGGATGGCGTGGTTCTCGAAGGCTGGCTCATTCCTGCCAAGGGCTCCAACAAGTTGATCATCGCCAACCTACCCGGGCCACCTCCCCGGGTTCGAGATGTTCGGCGGCTTTGAGGTCAATTTTATTTTATCAAGGACAACAAGGCCCTGCACGATGCGGGCTACAACGTCCTGTGCTACGACCTGCGCAACCATGGGCGGAGCGGCGCCGGCTCCGGTGGGATCGTTGGCATTGGACTGTTCGAGACCCGGGATGTCGTGGGCTCGATCCAGTACGCCCGCTCGCGTCCGGATACCGCCCACATGGAGATCGGTCTCCTGGGTCGGTGCCTGGGCGCCAACTCCACGAGCGTTGCGTTCGACAAATTCCCCGGGTATTTAAAGGATGTCAAGGCGCTCATTGTTCTGCAGCCGGTTTTTAGCCGGGTCTTTGTGGAGGTTGGCACCAAGAACGCGGGCCTGGATCCCAAGGCAGCCGCCGAGGCCTTCGAGACCAAGATCTTCCATATGACTGGGCTTCAAATCGACGAGCTGACCCCGATTCCATACACGAAGGCTGTCACAGTGCCAACCTTGGTGGCTCAAGTCCACCGGGATGTGTGTGTTGTCCCTGATGACGTTCAAGCGATCTATGACGGCATTGGGGCTCGTGAGAAGGAGCTGTTCTGGATTGAAGGGACTACCAGGCGTTTCGATGGCTACAACTATTTTGGTGAACACCCGGAGAGAATGCTGCAATGGTTCAACAAGTACATGTCGTGAAAGGCCCCATGCGTTGTGCTGTGATATTTGTTATGAGCTGGTCATGTAATTTAGCTGTTGTTGGAGGGTATAATTATTCAACGCTTGGGTTAGACTATACGATTATGCTAAACCTACATTAGAATATAGCTGCGGTACTAAAGATAGCCCCCAGACACAAAACAGTAAGTAGGGGTGGAGCGAGAGAGGATTTCTTCGTGGTCATGTTTGCTGCTCCGCATCCTCCAATTTCTTCTTCCACCCTGGTCACAAGGAAGGAAAGGGTCGATCAGCTGCATTTGAAGTCCGTGACGCTCGCGCGGGAGTTCATCAAAAGAGCGACAATCAAACCATACAGGCCTATCCCGTTGCATTAGCTTCCGTTGCATATCTGACCGGGTCACCACAATAAAATAGGTCAATTCCACTTACCCAAGACCTCGGCAAAGATCAGAATCAGGATCATGCCAACGTAAAGTCGCGGCTGCTGGGCTGTACATCTTACTCCCGCGTCCCCGACAATCCCAATCGCAAACCTGATGAGTGCATTTGTGTCAGCCCCAACACGCAGAAACAGACCCAACAACACAGAGAACTGATCTTGGACACGCTGCTCCACTCACCCTGCAGCTAATCCACACAGCCCGACCGCGAGGCCAGCACCCATCTGGAGAAGACTGGTGTAGAGAGCTACTTCTTGGGAGAGGTTGTTCGCGATCAGGACTGAAACCACCAAGCCGTAGATCCCGAGGATACCAGCCATGACGATGGGCACGATGTCTGGTCGGTGATGTTAGAAGTTGAGCACAAGGCTTCCATCTTGCAGAGCTCACTCTTCACTATCAAGTCAGGACGGAGGACTCCCGAGGAGCAAACGCCGACGCCAGCCTTCGCCGTTCCGTAAGCTGCCCCACAGGCAGTGAAGACGATGGCGCTGGTGCACCCCAGGGCTCCGAAAAACGGCTGTCATATACAAATAGAGTCAATGCCACCGACGTTGGGCCATGATTATGGACTTGTGCGGATTAGGTATGAGGAAAACGGCTCTTACTGCATAGGTGGGGCTTTGGGGAATTCATTAGTACTGCTGTAGTCATTTTGATCCTGCAAACGTATTCGAATTCGTCTGGGATAGCCTCACCATGGCATTATGGATGACCTGAAAACTAGGAACAGACAGTCAAATCTATTTAGAAGCCTGGGTGATTGAGGTTGCAAGTAAGCTAGGGCACAGTGCCTAGCTTTATAGTAACGTCAATCGGGGACTCCCACACTTCATGTCTTAGCCCGCCTCCGCTCCATGCAGGCGACCACGATAGTCCATTCTCCCATCTGACCGGTTCCATAAACAGTGCAGCCTGTTTGGATTACGGTGTAGCTCAAGTTGAGAGGGGTACATTGATCAAGTACTGATTTCACCAGCTCTTAGCTAGGGTATCGAAGGCACTAACCGGATTTAGATATTGTACTGCACCACTGGGCAGATGACGTGTTTAGCAGGCTAGCGATGCAGGGTCAAATGTTGTCAGGCAACAACACCTGTCAACATGGTTCAATATTCCACTAGGTTCTCCTTGGCCCGACCACGACATGAACGTGGCTGCCTGGTTACTAGTATTTCCGTCCTGAACCCTGATCCACCCTTCCCCGCAGACCCCTGCTCGTTATTTCTCCGGACCAAATGAGCATTCTATGAACTGGCGCAAACAACCTCTCAACCCCTCTTGTTTGTTGGGAGGAGAGCATATTCCCGAAATAGACTGTAACCCATCTCAAAAAGTCCCTATGATTTATGTTACACACATCGCTCAATCGACACGCGACTGCATTTTCTTCTGAGAGAGCTAAACTTTTAGCCGCTTGTTATATCATAAGAAAAAATGCCGAGGTCCACCGTAGTATGATATTGTGCCCGGCTCCGCTTTCCCCATAGAGCACGTATCCTCCCTTTATCACTGGGTACCACCCTGTTCCGGGTGCATAGTGGATGATTGATGAACCTGTCGCCGTTCTCGACTGTCGCATCAGCCCGTTTAAATCGAATTCTGCTGGGTATCTAATCGCCCGCCCCTTCTTCTCCAGTTGTCGCACAGCCCAATAGACCCATTGGTCATGGAGCCTCACCCCTTCCGGGGGCCAGTTTTATGACTGAGCCTTTCATGGGCCAGTGTTCTATAAGCAAGGGCTGACTTCGCCATGCCTTAAGCTTCTCTTTCAGGTTCAGTCTTGAGCGTTCCACTTAACTGTAGCAAAGATGGATCTCGCATAATTCCGGTGGGAGAAATAGGCCATCACATCCGCCCTTCGCGCTAAAGTGACCTCAACTTTGTATGGGGAACGCAATGTAACCCAGGTACTGCATGGGTAAGAGGGAAGTCAAAGTATATTCCTAGAGAATATCCAAACTATTCCGATAGATGAGGGGAATGGTAAGAGATTGGAAGTGAAGGCACGCTGTAGGACCCGTGTAGATGATTGAAAACCATCGGAATTGCTTATCTTATCCACCACGCAATCGTGACGCAGCCGGGGGTCTGAATCTCGAGACCTCAATCGCAAGATGAGGCCAATGCAGCTGGCATTATCTGACGGACTTCATACTTGAAAGACAAATCCCCTTCCGTCTGATAAAAAGGGTCTGTGTCCCGGCAAAGTATATAAATCTGACCACGCTTCCGCCGAGACATGTTTGAAGAAAAGGTACCCTTGTACAGCGAAAATAATCCTCATCAGGGAGGGATCTTTTCCTTCAAAGAAACAAGAGGACAAAACGACATAAGCCACTGAAGGAACAAAAGTAGGAAGAAAAGTGTTTGATCATCCCAACTATCCTTAAGAGTAAGACGACAGGGTCAAATTACTCGGCTGCATCCCGAGGACAAAAGACCAATCTACCTAACGTGGAAGAATGAAGCTACCCGTAAGGGCTAACGGATGAATACGGGCGTATTGGTTGACTAGTTCTTAAAGACTGAAGCTATTCGTAAAGAAGAAGGGAGGAGAGAGAGGGGAAGGAGAAGAGGTAAGGTAGTGTCAACCGCCTCCTTCCACCTGCCGCCGCAGTATTAAGAACCTCTACACGAGCGGAAGAATGATGGTCATTGAGTGGATACGTCTTTTCGATTGTTCACTCAACTAATTAGGAGATATGGAAAATACAAAGAGGAACGATGGAGAAGTAAAAGAGAGCTATTGGTCATCAAGCGGTCCGGCCACCATCGGCCGGGGTCAGTTGAATTACCGTGGGTGGGAATGGATCGACCCCGGCCGAACCACCCAGTATCGCTTCAAATAATAAAGAGCAAGGATCCTTTTTCGGCCTGGAAGCGAGTACCTGGATTGGTAAAAAAAGCCAACGATGTAAATATGAAGGAGCCCCAACAGCTCAAATGGGCATCATCACACTGTTCTACTAAGATTCCCAGATGAACTAGACATAGAGCTATACCCATTAGATGAGAGCTGAGGATCCTCTCTGTCGAGAACATCTGTCAGGCTGGTGCGCTGGAAGTAAGAGACACAGTACTAGATGTTCTAGACGAACAGAAAATAAGACCGATAAAGCAGGTTGTATCACGAACCCGGTGATACAGCATGCGCTGGAACGCAGCTCACAAGTATCATTGCACAAGTTATCCTATCATCAAGTCTTCAGGGATGTTGGATGTTGTTGTTACCCCCTGCCAATGCATCACGCAGCGTGTGGATGTCCGTCCCTTCGACTGAGAAGGACTCGACCCTCATCCTCACATAACCTCACCATCTCGTGACCACTCGCTCGGCCAGGCCCGCCTCCTGCGTCATGCAGCACCAATCGTCTAGCTCGGTCCAGTCCCCGCCGCTCCCCACCGCTTTGATATAGAAATAGCAACGGCAGCGTATCGTTTCGCCAAGCCGGCACGCGCGCTCGCCGGGTTCTCCACAGCGTTAGCAGAACTACCGTGGCCCCTAGAGCCCAGAGAAAGAGGGGCAGGACCAACCACCGCCAATGGACGCTGATAAAAACCGCGCTGATCTTGGCCTGCCCTGACACCATGGGCGCCGTCGCGGGATTGGCGAGGTATGCCGCATCACGGAAGGTCTTCGTCATGGCGGCGGCCACGTTCTGCATCGTACAATTCAGCCGTTCGGCAAGGATGTCGCTACACCCGACGATATCACCTACTTCCAGCGCTTGAAGCGCATCGGTGGCGGCGTATAAATTGTATGTCGGTACCCAGTCTTGGACGCTCGTCTCATAATAAACCGTTTTGTTACGCCATGGTGCGCCCGATAAGATGGAGTACAGAAAGAAATAGTTCGCATGGAATGCGTTCCATGTCATGAGTGAGGGTACCGAAGGGTTATAGTTGACGCCATACGGCATCGAATAACCGGTCTCATCCCAGTTCTTATCCGTGGACGACCAGGTTTCCGGTTTGTCCTCGGCGTAGTTGTTCTGATCGACCCTGGGGTAGAATCGGCGCACGATAGGCTCAAGAAGACACTCGGTAGCTTCCCACTGGGTGTTGTTCGGGATGCGCCCTTCGGTAACCTGTTTGGTGGTGGCGCGGGGCCCGATGTATTGGAAACCGGCTACCCTGTCTGTCGCAGCATTGTACGCAAGCGAACCATTGAACGTGATATCGATGATGCCAAAGGTCATAAGTTCGCTAATCCCAAGTTTACCCGGGAAATAGATAGCAAAGATATCCCTGGTGGGCAAGCTTACGATGCATCCGTAGCGATCAAACGTAATGTTACCGAATATGAAACCCCCAGGATAGCATTTGGTCGTCAATTTGCTGGTGATGTTGGTGCAAGTGGGCCGCACCTCGAAAGCAGTGACCGGGGCATCCCATGTACAGTTGCCCGATGAGCAGAAATATTGTGGGGTGGCCCAGGGCTGGCTGTGGTCGCGGTTGAAAAGTGAATTGTACACATTTGCCTTCAGGACGGGGTCAACATAGTAGACTGGATTTATGCGCTCCGTAATCAGTCTTCATCAAGCTAGAGAGCGGAAATATATGAGACAGACTCTGCACATACTGTCACCATCATCTGAGATCTCTTTGTACGTGTCAGTTATCCACGGCCCTGTGGTGTTGTACGCGGAGAGATTTGCGATGCGTGCAGTTCCCAATGGGTCCACAATCAACCCCGGATATGTATGTACCAAATTCTGCGAGAAGGGATCAAAACCTAGGGCAAGAATCATGCTCAGCGCCCCTATCCCGGCGAGGGTCCGGATGTGCAAAGCCCAAAAGAGCTGGAGACTCCCCCAAGCTCCCCTACTGGCCGAATCGAAAGCTCGTAGATGTTGCAAAGGTCGCTCCTGCTGAGCAAACCAAAGCCACTTCAGCTGTCCTAGTATTTCGCCCACGGAAAACATAAGACTAGCTTTGGAGAGAGTACTTAACCAAGAGACGACTGAGTTCAAAGAGGTATATGGCCAGTTTGGCTGGGGTTTGCGATTATAATAGTACAGTAAACCAATCATCCCAGCAAGGAGGGCTGCCGAGATGACAACACCTGCAACTTCCGTCCCAAACCAGTCTGAAGTATCTGGCTGGTCCGATGAGTTCGAAGTGTTCTTTGGATCATCGGCAGGATTGGCGGTAGACTCCTCGATAATCGGGGTATTGGACGTAGTGCGGGAATTCGCGGGCTCATAGTCTCGGGGCGAGTCTGAAGGCTGAGACGTTCGGTCCGGTCGGGGTCCTCCATCGCTGCCAGGCTCTCCGATCCCCACTCTCCTTTCTGAGGGTGAAAATACTGCGAGGTCTATCTCGTCTGGTTCGTTGTGTAGCAGCTCGTATGCCGCCGGCCGCCCTTCGTCGGCCCCGTTTAGTGGCATCGTGGGCTTCCTACGCCGGAGCCTGTTGATGGGAATTCGAACAGCTCTCAAAGGTGGGGAAGGGTGAGCGGCCCCCTGATAAGGGAACAGACAAGGCTAACTCAGGAGTTTGCTAGAGTATTTCAGCCTGCAATACTCCGGATCCCTGTCCGCGCTACCATCTAGCTGCAGGGCTTGAGCATTACTGTGGCAAATCATCAACCAGCTCTTCAAGCAAACAACGCCACAGATGCCTGCTTCGCCATCTCGCCTCGGGGAAACTTGGATTTGTTTGCACAGCCCGAAGATAGATCAGATCAGGCTAACATAGCATGACGCATTCAGCGAAGCTGCCTTGTTGGAAACTCTCTTTCTGGATTGCTAAAGGTACATGATACTTCGATCCTATGAGACTAGCTGGTAGTGAGGCCTCCTCGTTTCGTGATCTCCGAGTCGTGAGATGATTTGTGTTAGAGCAGGGATGATGTGTCTACCAACGGATGCTCATTTTTTTATAGCTGTCCCGGGAAAAAAGCGGGCGTTGAAAAGCCCTACAGCTTATGTTTGTCCCCATATAATCTGCCCATTGCTGCGTGTCGGCATAGCTGAGTAATCCGGCCACGTGATGCAACGTGTAACCAAGTTGCTTCCCATATTAATATATCAGTTCCAATAACCAAAAGAATTAGAAACATGTTTTATATACCTTATTCCTAAGACTTCAAATCGCTGATACTGCGCATTCTGTGACATTCAGGAGCAAAACACGCTATTAGAACAAATGAGGCGAACCTTCATTCAATGTACAGCGTAAGGGTATACCGTTGGTGTAGCATTAATATTGTACAGCACAGTCTGAATCAGTAAATAACAGAATAGCCAAGCGTTTCCTGCGATGATGAGAGGTAGCGATCTTTTTAAGCTAGGTGAACTATCGCTACTCAGTATCAAGTGTTAATCTAAACCCCATCATAGTTCCAATTCTAGCATGGATGGAAATGTTAGCGATTCTCCTTCCATATTAGATTGTTCGGCCCGCCTCAGGGCTGATGCGTACACAGACCCTCGTAGTCGGGCGCCAAAATAGCACGCGGTCGTCTCTATAAATGGTTTAAAATCAATTGTTCCTGTTATTCTTCCCCTCACAGCCGGGCTTTATCCTCCTCTCGACCAACAAGGTTAGGGTGTGGGGACCGAACAGGTCGCGTGACAGCATAAAAGGCGAATCCTTGGGACTTGGTCGAGAACTAGAGGATATTTCACAGAGTCAAAGATGTTACGCTTGTGCCGCTCATTCCTTCGAACTAGCATTCCGTCTTCATGACCTCAAGATGCTTGGTTATCTTACCTGAACTTTCGAGCCCACGTGGAAGAACGCAAAGTCACCGGGGACTAGATGGTGGGTGATTCCAGTTGCCTCGTCCTGCACATTATCCGCCATCGTCAGTTTCAATTGGCCCAAATCCACAGGATAGAAGAAAGGAAGTTGAGAGAAGTGGCTGGAACATACCAAAACATCGATCTGCCCACTCAAGACATACTTGGTCTCCTCGAAGGCATAGTGCGCGGGTCGGTGAGGGCCAGCCTCGATCTTGTAGAACCCCGAGGTAAAGTAGGACGGGGAGTCGGTGGTCTGGGTGCGGCTGGAGTGGAAATCGGCCGTCGTGGCGTTCTGGCCCGCGGGGAGGGGGATGAACTCGTGGCCGGCGCCCTTGATGACGGTGAGAGGGACAAGCTTGTTCGACACTGCCATTGTTTTGATACCCGGGCTTAGCAAGTTCTTCGGCAGTGTGTGCATGGGGCCGGAGAACTCACTTCTGCTTTGATTTGACTGGGAGTTGGGCTGGCAAGTAAGAGATGAGGCACACCGAACCCGTCTTGAAGCATATAAATGCTTCGAGCTGGTTCGGAAGTAGTTCCCGCAGTGGGGATGAACAGGGCTCGGCTGCAGCCGCCGAGCGAGCGGATCGTTCGGATGTGTAGCCCGGCCGACAATCTATATGTTGAATGTGCATCTGCCATTTATGTGAGGTCCGAAGAATATGGATTGTGACGGCTGGAATATTTGATGCCGTGTAGAAGGTTTGTATTGCGATGGAATATCAGAAGTCAGTCTCGGAGAAGAAACCGGGCCGCAAAGAGTGCTTAACCTACTGTTGTTCAGCTTCACATCGAGGACTTCCCTCAGCCGCACATATCCAACTACGAGGTGATGTAACTGGTTTGGAAAGCAAGATCAAACGGTGGGACAAACGGTAGGCAATCCGATGGCCAATGGGACGGGATAGTTGAAACGAGGCAGGGTAGAGAACCCTAATTCGCGCTTACCGATGCTCTTCCGTTTGCAATGCTGACCGCCCCTCTAGCACCCACGTCACATTAGATACTTGCATCGATAATAAAGACTTGGTTTGCAGGAGCGATGACAAAAAAGGATGTCAGCAGGGAAATCAGAGAGTTCTGGTACGCCGTATTGGAGGGCCCAGTCCATCTGACTGCCGCGTCTTTGTGAGACACGAGGCTATCGCTACGTCAGAGGCAAACAACGAAGAAGCAAACGAGGGAGACTTCACCTAGGAAGTATTGTGTATATCAACCCAAGCCTTCACCCACCAATATCCATGGCCGTTTCCTTTTACGTGAACACCAGACTTCCCTTCCTAGCCCCCTTTGCAGCGTCTCTCAGGTGACAGAACCCCAGCAACCATCTATTAGGACCCATTCTTACAGAAGTGAAAGTATGTCGGAGACAGCCGAGCGCACCCGGGACCCACGCATTACCGGCGGATGGCCGTGGGACACGAGCCTCCCTCAGTTCGAGCTTCTGATGCTGTCATATGAGACACACAGGACGGTGGTCAACGACTGGATGTTTTTTGTGGACTCAGTTATGCGGAAGTGGGTAGGCCAGCGGCAGCGGCAGCCCGATCTTCGCGATAAGCGGATGGCTCTGATGCTGCTCTCTCCCGGCTACCGCGTTCACTTCCTGGTCGAGCCCCTGCCGAACATAGTACCTGTCTTATTCTGCTCCAATGGCCGACAGGAGTTTCGCTTGGATGGGGACGACATCGACAATTGCAAAGCGGCCTGGCGCACCGTGACCCGTTTCATCCTGGACGGTGAAGACGAGGTCGACTAAGGAGCCGGTGGCTTGACAGTTTGTTCGAGAGTGTGTGAAGGAGCTGGACGTCAGGGACTTCCTCGCGAGGTTGAGACGATTTCCATGGGAGGGTGGAGTTGGTTAGGCAGGGAAGGTGACTATTGAATTTATGAGGACAGAATGAAAACGTATCTAGCATTGCAATAAAATGGTATTTTGTGCTGGTCTGATTCCCAGTGGTAGCTATCTTGTATGCTCGACACATAGCATGCAAAGGTCCCCCTCGCCTATGTCAGCTATAGCAACACAGTCTCTTTCGTGGTACGGTATGATTATTGGAGTGACAGTCTCCACCTTGATGGCTGGTATCAGGAACCTGCAGAGGCAGCTGGCTGCAAGGAGTCGCAAGTCTTGGCTCGCCAACATGCTGTCATCACCGCAGGTGAAAGCTCCGATCCTATTACAGCGTGTAGTCTCACTGATTAAGGGACGACCAATCTCATCAATGATTGTAATCTATCATACCGGTAAGATGGAGGTAAGAACCGGTCGCCACGCCACGGACAGACAACGCGGCGACCCAAAGCGGAGCGGCGTATGAAGTGGGTCGACCCGTCTTTGCAGTTCGAGGTACATACCGTTATATGTTCAACTACAGTCGTGGAGAAAAGAGAAAAGGAGCGCCATCTCCACCGATGACACACATCCTGTTTCCCCGTGTCTTTACCCTTCTTCCCCCAAGACTCTGATTTTACCCAAGCCAAACGCCATCTCGCGCTTCAACTTCAAGCACAAACCATGACACCCACCCCAACCCCCAACAACCTTCCTTCAACCCCCCCCGTCCCAGTGAACAATAACCCTCAAATGCCCTCAGACCTCGCACCCCAGCCCATGGCAATGACCACGCACGCCATCCACGCCGACGACGACTTCAGCTTGCACCGCGCCATCGCGCCCCCAATGCACGTAGCCGTGACCTACCGATACGCGCGGGATCCCGCGCATCTGATCCCAATGGAGAACAAAGACGTGCGTCACCCTTTGTCTCCCTCCCAAGCCCCCCCTCCCCAAGCTATTCCCATCCACCACCTCCCACCGTCTAACCACCTCTACGCCCAGCCCAACGCCCCGCACGACTCCCACATCTACGCCCGCTACTCCGCCCCGAACACCACGCGCCTCGAACACGTCCTGCAAGGCATCTTCCACCCCACCGCCGGAATCCTCACCTACAGCACAGGCCTCGCCGCCTTCCACGCGATCCTGGTCCTCCTCCAGCCCGCCCGGATTTTTATAGGGGAGGACTACCACGGTGTGCACGCGGTGATCTCGCTCGTCTCGCGCCTCAGCGACGGCCGCAAATGCCAGAAACTCCCGCTGGAGCAACTTTACCTCCTGCAGCCGGGGGACATCATCCACGTGGAGACGCCCGTGAACCCGACGGGCGAGGCGCGCGATCTAGTGGGGTACGCCGCGCGGGCCCGCGCCGCCGGCGCGTTGCTGACGGTCGACTCGACGCTGGCGCCGCCGCCGCTGCAGGATCCGATTGCGCTCGCCGGGGCGGATGTTGTCATGCACAGTGCGACGAAGTACCTGGGGGGGCATTCGGATATGCTGGGGGGAGTGCTGGTGGTGAATCCGGAGAGGGTCAGGGAGGGGTGGGCGGAGCGGTTGGCGGCGGAACGGATGGTGCTCGGGGCGGTTATGGGGAGCTTGGAGGGGTGGTTGGGGTTGCGGTCGATGCGGACGTTGGAGTTGCGCGTGCGCAGGCAGGCGGAGACGGCGCGGGTGTTGGTCGCGTGGTTGGTGGCGGAGATTGCCGCTGCTGCTGCGTCGGTGGTGGGGAAGGTGCTGCGAGGTGTACGGCATGCGTCGCTGCAGGTGGAGGACCTGGATCTTGCGGGTGATGGTGGGGGGTGGTTGCGGCGCCAGATGCCGGCGGGGTTCGGGCCGGTCTTCGCTATCACCGCGCGCACGCCGGACTTGGCGAGGCGGTTGCCGTCGAGGATGAGGGTCTTTCAGCATGCGACGAGTCTGGGCGATGTGGAGAGTTTGATTGAGTGGAGGGCGATGAGCGATAGTAGTTGTGATGAGTGTTTGCTGCGCGTGAGTTGTGGGTTGGAGGATGTCGAGGACTTGAAGCGGGATTTCTTGCAGGCCTGTCGTGCTGTTCTGTCGGGGGATGATGCTGATGGGTGTGTGAGGGTTTGAGGTGGTCTTGAGGGGTTAGGGGATGGTATGTTGTCGAAGTGTTGATCTTGTTTCTAGGCCGTTCGTTTGAATCTGGTTGTTTGTCGAGGTTTCTTGTAGAAACGTGACTGTACACTGATGTACTCTACACACGATGTTCAAGATCCGGGTGACTCTCGCAGAGGTATACAATGGAGGGTCATCCCTCCCAGCTTTACTCACGAACAAATCCCAAACCATTGTGAATAGATCTTGTGTTGCAGTGCATCTAAGAGGTCCACGGCGGCTTTTGAGTCCCACCCGTCCAGCCCTAAATGCAGCACAGCACCTAACTTAGTACAGTACAGCGGCGACCCGATCATTCGCCGCCCCTGCGCGGCCAGTGGGGAACCAAATCATACGGTCTACTCAATCAACAATGCCTACCGAAGTCCAACACTATTGAACGAATAAGCCTAAACCAGGATACGTCTTACCCTGAAACTCACGATTCACCCACTATACAATGGAAGAAGACTAGAACAAAACAGATAATTACAATTCACCACCACTCAGCGAATAATATGCGCTCTGGACCTCCGCCGCCATCCCCCCAACCTCCTCAAACATAACCGTCAACCGCATGACCCCAAGAATCAAGTCCACGCCCTGCTGTATCTCCCGCAGCAGCCGCTCCACATCCTGGATCTCGGATCCCGGCTCCACCGGGTGCGGAAGTAGGTGCACGTACTTGGACAAAGAGACCCGCGGATCCTCCCCCGTCGACCAGAGCGCCGCCCGAAGCTGATGGTAAGTCATGAGCAGGATGTACGAGGCCTGCATCGCGCCGCAGAGAAAGAACGGTATGATGTGCGTTCGAGGTGGAACTCGCGCTGGGGTGGGAAGACCAAATCTCTCCGCGGAGGAGGCGTGCGATGCTCCAGTCGGTTGGGGGTATGGTGCTCCGCGGTGCACAGCACCCCCGGTGGCAATGGCTGTGATCCTCTCGTAGGCACGCGCCATGGCCAGGGAGGCTTTCAGACGGATCAGGGAGGACTGCGCTTCTGTGAATGGGAAGGCGGCAGCGGCGAGGATCCGGTCTTCGGGTGTTGAATGCGGGGGACGGGTGGGATCGTGGTGGCTGGGGAGGTCGCAGTGCTTGTGGATGAATATGGGGGGAATGTTGCTGAAGGCGCGGGAACGATGCAGTCGCACGCGGGCTCTATTAACAGAATCATGGGCAGTTAGTCTGTTTTTCTGGATGGCAAAGAGGCGGGGATTGGGGATTATTACGAATAGGCCAAGGACCGGGCGATTGCCCACGCTGTTAAGAGGGCTTGTTCTTCGACATGGGTCCTGGATTCAGGTCGGGGTGAGCGGTCCAGCTTGCGCGTTATTTCGAGGATGGTCGAGTCCAGTTGCGTGATTTCAGCATTGATCTGGGGAGGAGAAGCGGCTGCTAGCGCTGGAGGGCTGTGTCGGTTATGCAAGGTGTGCGAGACAGATAGGATGGCTGTTTCGGCTTGGAGTAGAAGGGGCCATAACTTAGGATAAAAGTCAGGTTTCGTGAAGAGTGCAGTGTTGAGTGACGCTGCCGTACCTCCGAGTGGTTGTGGATGGCAGGATACGGGGTCGTGATCCTCTGGTCATCAAGTGTGATGATAGGCACCTGAAGTTCACTACCGGTTACCAGAAGTAGAGAGGAAAAACTGATGAAAGCAGAGAAATTCCAGATAGGAGGACATTACTTACTACGTCTTGATCGATGGATGACAGATACAGAACGAACATCTACAGAATTCATTAGTCACACCCCAGAACTTTGTTTTGCGCGAGACGCACCGCACCCCACCACGCCCGGCGCTGTGCCTCGGTTGCCGCAGCGCCCAGGCTATGCAAGCGGAGATCCATGGCGGCCGTGATCGCCTGGTTAGCGCGACGCCGCATACGTGACACGTTCCCTCGCTGGCAGTATTCATGGATACTGAGTAGTATTAAGGCTAGGACGGAAGACACTGGCGAGATGTCGTTGTCACCGGTGGCGGCCCCTGCAAAGTTAGTTGTGTAGGGTGGTGTTCGAGGAATCGCATCGATCTCGTTGTCCACTGCGCGAAACGCCGCTTCTGCGAATTGCTGTGCCGCGAATCGTCTCAACGTAATACTCGATTCCAAACTCGGCTCGGAGTCAGAAGGCAGAGGAATTGATACCAGAATGGCTGAGATGGCCAGGGTGAGCACGGAAGCCGGCCAGTGTGGGAAAGAGGATTCTTGGATAGTCCTGACTTGTCCCTGCGGAACTTGAATCGCCGACGGTCGATCTTCAATTCGGTTCGTTGTCAGAGGAGGCGGAAGTATAGGTAAGAATGGATGGATGTGTACATAGTAAGCATTGACTCTGTCGCCGTCAGCCATCATGAACATAATCTGGCGGCATACAACTCCGCAACAGGATTTCATGGCTGCTGCTCGGATACTGATACTCACATGTCCTCATCGGATGTATATGCGCGCAGAGGTACGAGAGAGCTCGTGCCCATCACATCTCCCATGGGATCGCAAACATTGTTGTCCGGGGCTGCTGCCGCTGGCACTCCACTCCAAGCATCATATCTCGACCCATCGATCCCATCCACATCCAGGTTGCGAATCCCACCAAGAGGATCGAGTAGATTGAAAATACTTGCCAGGTACTCTTCATCTCCTGTCACTTGAGTCGACGCAGGGGCTGCAAATGCGTGCTGGGGGTTGTGCAGAGGCGGAAAGGTAGGGTTGTGGACTGGAGCCGGAGCCTCGGTGACCGGCGACTTGGGCGCACCACCGCGACGGATCCCGCCCCGACGGCTGGGACGATAGACACAATTCAATCCTTTGTAAGAACACTACGGACAAAGTCACTGACTATCCGAGTGAAGACACCAGCCAGGCACGCAGTATATCATCGAGAAGTTCCTTACTCTGCTACATGGACTCCGTCCGTCGCATCGGATCTTGCGCGCGCGACTTGACACCCGGAGCGGTTAATCTTCCCATATGTGAATGGTTCCGAGGGGACAAGAATGACTGACCAGGCAAGACAGGCGGCTCGACTGGGGGCTCTATGACCAGCATGCATCAGAAGTCACTGATCTCAAGGATCTCCGGTAGTATGTAGGTTTGGTGAGAGCAATTCCCGTCTGATGGATGGATCTTCCTGGAGGAGGGGAGAATATTGGAGCTGAGAGGGTGGATGATGTCACATTGGTAGTACGTCTGGTAAAACAGGAGGTTACCTTGACCGGGGACTCGGTGTAAAAGTGCGGCGACCCAAAAAGTCAAACACTGCTCGCCGCCCCGCAAAGGCCGCAATTGGTGAACCAGTTCACGGACGCCGCTCCCCCCCCACTATCTCACTTACACAGCATCTATGTCCTATTACCATCCCGGTAATGGGGATTTCATTATCTTCATATGGCCCTGTTACCAGAGCAGACTGGGGATTACATGATCAAGCACAAGCATGGGCACATGCAGAGAGTGTTTGTAGACAACATACCCACAAGAATTTTGACAGGCATGTTAAAGGATAGCCTTCTTCTCCTCTTGGCACATACAGTAAGAGGGAAATATAGAACGCAGTAGAGAAGAGAAATAACTTAAGGATATGTCTGAATACGGGGGCGAGCGTTCTAGTGGGGGCGAACCCCCCAGATTCCCCCGGCCCTTTTCTCATCTTTCCAAATGGAGTTACCGTGCACGTTTCTGGATAGTAAATGGGACAATATACCACCATCACTATGTCAAGCTCCTAGAATCGATAGCCCAAGACCAATAACTTACCTTCAACCTCCTTTAGTGACAGCCCTGGAGCCTTCTGCTATAAATAGTTACTAGCACAAAATCCTGCAGACGGTTTCTGATGATTATAGGGCCTGGTCAGCCATGCTATATGGTCTGTTCAGGTGCTGCGGCTTCTCTCTCTCGATCGCAACATCGTCGACTATTGAGAGGGTCTTCACGTTCTCTCAGGCTAATCTGCCATTTGAAACCTATACTGTCAGATTCAAAAATCAAGAAAAGTAAGAAACACCAATGGGTGCTAATTTTTGATGTTGCTTTGAATGAGCTTGTTGACTGAGAAGGTCTTGTGGATGTTGTAAATGAGTGTCATCGTTGACGAGGACTTGGCGTTCTCGCAACGCTTCTCCACAAAAACATCCATTTCGATCAATCGACAGATCACAAAGTATAAAGAACATCCCGGAGATATGATCCATATACATGCAACTAGCGCTCGCAACATTCCATGTCAATTTCTGCCTGGCAGCTCCTCGAAGCGATCTTGATGTTTGGGAGCATAAATGATGCATACACCACTATCTGAAACCCTCCAGCATACCCTTCACTTCACCGCAGTTGATCACAATAATGGAATGAACCGACTTGGCTATGGACAACAAACGCTAAAATTCCAACATAAACGAAAGACTGGAAAGGATCCCGCGTCGGCGTGTGCCATGGCTGGACTATCATGGCTAAGATTGGCAGCCAAGAGTGATAACAGGATGCTAAGGAAATTTAATCCCCGAACAATGTGCGCTAACACACCCCGGCCATGTGGAAAGACGACCGTTTCTCCCCTAGCCAGGGCCAAGGCTGATGGAGCCATTCTCGCCTGGCTCGTCGGCAACCGACCTATTCTAGGCTAAGTGTTGAACAGGCACGCAATTGGTACCGAGTAAAGTTCGCAAGTTTCTCTATTTAACCCACCTCCCACCCAATTGTGAATTCCGCCACGTCCAGCTGAAACGCATATCCCCATCATGCGTCCTGTCTTTGCCATTGCCGCCTTCGCTGCGGTTGCTTCTGCCGCAGCGGCGGACACCGTCCCCCCTGAGCTGGCTAGCATCGGGGAGCCGTCAACAGTACTGAATGCCACCTACTCCGTGGGGTCGGCTGCAGTCAGCTTCACCCCTGGCGAGTTTCTCAACACGACCGGTATGCACGACCGATCCCCGTTTTAGACCGTCTGACTGACCAATGCGCCGTGTATAGTCGCCAAAAGCGCGCCGGAGCCGCATCTCCACGACTTGGGGCTGAGCAGCTCGGGACCCTACCTGCTGCTGATGGTCGACCCGGACTGGAACAAAACCACTCCCCCATCGGTGATCGTGCATACCGTTGTGGCCAACCTGACCACCGCCGTTAACAGCACCAGCGACGCGAACGTGTTGGCCTCCTACATTGCCCCCCAGCCCAAGTCCGGCACGCACAACTACACCCTGTTCCTGTTCGACCAGCCCGCCAACTTCAGCGTCCCCAGCCGCTACGAGTCCTTCATGCAGACCACTGCTGAGACTCCCCTGAACCGACTGAACCTGCCGCTGGAGAGCTTCCTCAATCAGACCGGACTGGGCAAGCCGGTCGCGGCCAACTACTTCCGCGTCACAGCGGCGAGCAACGACACCAGCTCCAGCTCGGGCGGATCCGGCTCCAGCACGAGCACGAGCACAGGCACGAGCACCGGCACCAGCACCGGCGCCGCCGCTAGCGAGACGTCGAGTGGGGCGGGCCACAGGATGGCAGCGGGCAGTTATCTGGCCGGCGCATTGGCCCTGGTCGGTGCGGCAGTGGTCTCCGTCTGATCTATACAGTAGACCACAGAAAGCGCTGCTCAAATACAATGATGGCAGGGGGGAAGTAGAGAGCAAACTGGCACCTCGCGTACTTTGTATATACTCAGCATTGTACTAATAATTACAACGCCCGGAAGAACGGCACACGCGTGCGGCCAAAACTCGACTCTACTCCAGCACTTAATGTAAGCTGCATGCACTAAGCCCGTTAGCGGGGGCCAGATTGTACTCCGGGTCATGCAATCTGGCATTTTCCATTGACCCCCCCTGTAGAAAGCCAGCAACCGAGGTACACTATATCAGATGCGCAGTCCGTTTGAAACCAATCTCCCCAACTACCTGCACCATCTGCCCACCCTTCCGCTTTCCCCCCGTACACCATGGCCTCGCGCATCGAATCCCTGGCCACGACCATCGCCGACTCGGCCCAGCAATTACGAACCCTGCTAGCGCAGCACGGGATAGAGGAGCCCTCGTTTGCCGCCACTAGCCCTCCGTCGCTGGCGCTGCCCCCGCCCGTCGAGGCCGCACGCAACGCCCTCCTGCACGCCGCGTGCGAGATCCAGGATCTGCTGCTCGACCCGGCCGATCTCCTGCGCTCCTATGCCATTGTACGCCCCCTCATACACCCCCTGAATTGCTTACACTACTAATATAACGTGATCAAGCACGCCCACCTCATCGCCCTGCACTTCATCCAACAGTTCAACGTCGCGCACCTGGTCCCTCCCAACGGAACCATCTCCTTTGCAGCCTTATCCGCGCAATGCGACGTCCCTGAAGCCGACGTCCGGCGCCTCCTCCGCCACGCGATGACCATCCGGGTCTTCGACGAGCCCGCCGAGAACGAAGTCGCCCACACGCGCGCCAGCATGCTGCTGCGCCAGGAAGGGTTTCATGGCTGGATTGGCTCGACCTGCACGAATAGCTGGCCCGGCGCGACCAGGGTATATAGTGCCCCCTCCCCGGCTAACCCAACACGGCAGCTCGTCTCGGCTAACCAGGGTGTGTTTTACTTAGACGATCGAGGCGTTAAAGCGCTTTCCCGGCTCCGAGGAGCCCACTGAGTCGGTTAGTAGACCCCGGCAATTGAACCCCCTCCCTTTTTCCCTCTCTTCAAACGACACCATGTCACGCACCGGAGTACGCCAAATCCAGGAAGTTTGAAAAAAAAGGGGGGTCTGGGGGTTCTCCCCCAGAAGGCTCACCCCGCCCAAGTCTCCAGACCAGCAGCGTCCTGGGGGAGAACCCCCAGACCCCCCTTTTTTTCATCTTCCCAAACAAAGCACCATGCAGCGGCAGATTCCCCCTCCGGGAGAATCTGCCCAAGGATAGATACACAGGACTAAGCACTGACAAGACACGATAGGGCTTCGCGCTGGCCAACAACGGGCAGGCGCTGTACGAGGCGCTGGCGCAGTCGCCGGCCCGCGCCGCCACCTTCGCCGCCAGCAAGCGCGGTTACGCGTCGGGGGCGGCCATGGGCCCGGCGGCACTGGTCGCATCCATCCACCCGCTCCTGGCCGGCCTCCCGGCGGACAGCGTGGTCGTCGACGTGGGCGGCGCGCAGGGCGACATCAGCTTCGCGCTGGCGGCCGCGTTCCCGCACCTGCGCTTCGTGGTGCAGGATCTGCCGGGGGTGATTGCTCGCGCGAGGGCGCAGCAGCAGCAGCAGCCGCCGCCATCCGCAGCAACAGACCGAGTCTCCTTCCACGCGCACGACTTCTTCACCCCGCAACCGCCCACCACCCCAGCAGCGCGGGTCTTCTACCTGCGCCACATCCTCCACAACTGGGGGGACGGCCACGCCATCCGGATTCTGCGGCAGCTGCGGCCGGCGCTGCGCGCGGGGGCGCGCGTGCTCATCCACGACCACGTGCTGGAGCAATACCCGGCGCAGGAGCCGATGTGGAAGCGGCGGCTCGCCAGCGCGATGGACCTGAATATGCTGCTGCTGCTGAACGCGCGCGAGCGGGACGAGGCGCAGTGGCGGGGGTTGCTGCGGGAGGCGGACGAGCGGTTTCGCTGGGTCGGGGTCCGGCGGGCGGAGGGGAGCGCGTTGGCGGTCGTGGAGGCTGTTTGGGATGATGGCCTTTGCCCTGGGACTTCCGGTACTGATTCAGGCACTGCTAAGTGAAGGTGGAAGGTTTGGGTGGCAGTATGGAAGAAGGGAGGGTGATTTACGCAGTTGGGGTTGATTTGCTGACGGGCATCCGACGGGGGACCGGAAGGATGTGCTACCCTGTAGTACTAGTCAGTGAATAGGTAGTGTGCATTCCACGCAGGAGCAAGCTAGGGCTAAGCTTCACGCGCTAAAGACTCTCCCGTCAGCACTAGCTGGCTAGTTCGATGTTACCCCTCTTCAATCAGTAAAATCTGAGGCATTTCGGTTTGTTTGCTGATTTAGGAGCCTCCCCCCTTGGCAATAGCAAGTCAAATACGGAGTACAATTCAAACTCTTGTCCTGATTCATTTCCCTCGCCCATCCTTCCAACTGCCAAGACACAAAGCATTCAGCCACCATGTCCACCACCGACACTACCACCACAACCACCACAACCACCACCACCACCAAACCAGGCTGGTACCAAACCAGCGTCACGGCCATCGACCCCGCCGCGCAGTCCCTGCTGGAAGAGTACAGCGGGCTCAAGCCCGACGAGGTCCTCCCCCATGTCTTAGCCTTGGTACGCAAACCCCTTTCTTGCTAGCAAAAGACAATATCTCCCTCTGGCCAATGTTTCACACCACGCCACCCCTCGTGCCAAGCCAACTAAAAGCCACCCATCCTGACCCCGCGAGAAACCCAACAGAGAGACGAAGCCTTCGCCATCTTCCCCTACCCCTGCATCGGCCAAATGCGCTTCCTAAGCTGCCACCTCGCGCGCCTCCCGTTCTACCCGCAGGTGCTGGCGCGGCTGCGCGCCTCGCCGGCCCACGGCTTCCTGGACGCCGGCTGCTGCGTCGGCCAGGAGCTGCGGCACCTGGTGCACTGCGCGGGGATCCCGGCGGCCCAGCTGTACGGCTTCGATCTCGAGCCCGGGTTCTTCGAGCTGGGGTACACGCTGTTCCGCGACGACGCGCAGACGTTTCCTGCGACGTTTGTGGGCGGGGACTTCGGGGTTGAGAGCGAGGAGGAGTGGGCGCGGGGCGCGATTGTGGGGACGGTCGCGGGCAAGGTGGATGTGGTGTGGGCGGGCTCGTTGCTGCATTTCTGGGATTACGAGGGCCAGGTCCGCGGTGTGGTGAGGCTGATTGGGCTGACTGGGGGTGAGCCGGGGGCGATTGTGTGTGGGCGGCAGATGGGCAGTACGGTGGCTGGGGTTTATGAGTTGACGGGGCTGATGGACAAGACGCTGCATTATCGGCATGATGTGGGGAGTTTGTTGGGGCTGTGGCGCGAGGTCGAGCGGAGGACGGGCACGAAGTGGGAGGTGCAGGCGGAGTTGGAGGTGGGCGAGACAACGGCGAAGATGCGCAATATGAGCTTTGTGGATGACAATGCGCGTGTGGTTTGGTGGTGTGCTACCCGGGTGCAGTGAGTGGTTATTCTATGAGTATGGGTGTGGGACTGAAATGGGGATGTGTGGTGACGAGATATGAGTATGAGTATGAGCATGAGGGTTACGGCGTTTGGCCAGGAAGCTGAAAGAAAAGGGGGGTCTGGGGGTTCTCCCCCAGAATCCTGCTATTCCTGAGACTTGGTAGGGCGGGCGTTCTGGGGGAGAACCACCAGACCCCCCTTCTTTTCACCTTTTGGGTAACATCCAAACTATACAGTCTACGCCTAGCCAGGAAGCTGAAAGAAAAGGGGGGTCTGGGGGTTCTCCCCCAGGACGCTGCTATTCTTACAGACATGTCTTCTTGCTTAGGTCTTGCATGTACTGTACACAGCCGAGAGTACTACCGGATATCCACATCCATCTTCACCAGGATCCCGTTGGCTGAGACGAGGCCTGCGGCTGCCCCCCGGGCCCGATCGTCGGGGTCCTTGGAGGCGCAGCTGGTGGTGGTGAAGTGGCCCATCTGCAGCTGTTCGGTGCTGCTGCTGGCCTCGTCCTCGAGCCGCCGACGCGCGGCCCGCGCCGCCGCCGCCGCCGTCGAGGCGCGGCTGTAGTAGGTGTTCCCAGCCGCCCCGCCCGCCGTCCAGCTCTTGTTGGAGCGGCGGAACTTTTTGCTGAAGGCGACGCGGAAGCCCGAGGCGATGGGCACGGCGGTCGCGCACACGATCGCCACGTTGAGCTGAATCACGTCCAGCAGCTCGAAGGGCGCGGCCGCGTAGGTGAAGTCCGAGTGCAGGTTCGTGGCGGTGTAGAGGACGGCGACGCGGGCGATGGCGGAGACGACGGCGCTGCGGAGAGTGGGATTAGAGATATGGATATAAGGAGGAGACGCAGGGAATTCGGGCAGCGGGGAGGGGAGTGTACATGAATCCGACCGAGAACACGATGATGAGCCCTATTTTGCGGGCGAGCGGCATCTGCAGGGTGGCGATGGTGGCAATGGGCAGCACCAGGATGGCGACATCGGAGACCAGGTCCATAATTAGCGGCAGAGCGTCGGCGGTGGTGGTGTTATGGCAGGTGCCGTGCATGGTCGACTGCGGGTCGAAACGCTCCCAGTAGTAACTGGCCGGCACGCACGAGAGCGCGTACGAGATGGTCGACCCGATCGCCCACAGCACCACGTATACCATGTTCGTCCACCAGAAGATGCGCAGCCAGATCTGCTGCACGATGAACAGCCGACGGTAGTAGAGCAGCAGGGCGATCTTGGTGGCCAGCATCGAGGGCCCGTTGAAGGTGGCTGTGAGCCACACGCACAAGAAAATCCACTTCAGCGCATGCAGGGTGGGATCCTCCGTATTGACGCGGAAAAGGTGGTATCCCAGTCCATAGTGCACCGCAACTATGGTGGCGACGGAGACCACGTTGGCGAAGAGCTAGAGGCCAAGGAGAGGGGGAGGTTAGTGACTCGGTTGAGTCTGTGGATGCAGAGGACGACGACCAGAACACGTACGACAGCCACGACCAGCCAATAGTCCTCCTGCATGGGGCGTTTCTGGATGCGCCATTGGGCCCAGATGCGCAGCATCACGCCCAGATTGCCAAGCACCAGCATGGTGACGCTGAGGCCCAACACCACCGGCTGGAGTGACTGCGACCACTCCGCCAGCTCCGCCGCGGTTAGCGTCGAGGTGTGGGTGGAGGACGACGAGGACATTGTCTCCGACATGGTGAAGGATAGTGATGAAATCGTAGATAAAAGAAAAGAAATGAGAATAGAATCGATGGGGAAAGGGATGGGAGGACAATCCGTCAGATCGTCAAGATCCTCTCAACAACCCAACAAAGCCCATTGTCAGCGAAGAGGCGCTTTGCCAGTGATAAATAACCCTCACTGCCTCCTGATGGTGGCCAGACTGATCCTGATGGCAGGGATACTGTGACAGGGATACAGGGATACAGTGCTGGACTGCACACTAGTTCGAATCACCAATTATCACCAATATCTGCCAGATTGAACAGAAGAGAAAAGAGGGGAAGGGCCGGACTTTGACAAGACAAGACCAGACAAGACCAGACAAGACCAGACAAGACCAGACAAGACCAAACCACCGGCCCACTTTTCCGCCCCTGCATCGCGTCGGCCCTAATCCGGCACTAATCAATTCCTGCACGAAGGAGATTTGTCCATGAACTCCGCAAAGACTCCGTAGACTCCGTACTTGCTGGCCCCCGCGCCAGAATGCATCGTCCGATAAGATATGCAGACAAGCCTCGCAAATCGGCGATGCAGTGCTTAGCTCTGCAACCTGCCCATAAGAATGCACGCACCCAGGCACCATGGGACTTTTTCGATAATCGTCCCCAACAACCCTCCCTCTCATCATGTTACTGCATCCTGGTCCTTCACCTGCCGCCTTGGGGCTGGGCAAAAACCAAGTGCGGAGCTGCACTGCGGAAGTCGTTGTTGGTGAGACCCTACCCCCACGCGAGGCTACTAGCCTGCTCGAGCTTCTGCAGCGAGCTGCAACCACCCCCGCAGGCATCACCTTTTACACTGCAGAGTCAGCAGAGTCGGGCCACTGGCTCTCCTACCAGCAGCTTCTCGACCAGGCCTGCCACGATGCGCACTGGCTGCAAACCTCGGTGTCGAATCTGCAGCGGGAGACGGTATTCCTGCTACATTTCGACACCCACGAGGAAAACATCCGCTGGTTCTGGGCCTGCACCGTCGCAGGCTACTTGCCTTGTATTGTTCCCAAATTTGCGGTCTCGACCGACCGTCGCATTGCGCAGGCCGAACACATTCTCCAGCTGCTGGATGGGCCGGTGGTGCTCACCAACGGCCGCATGGCGTGCGCCTTCCAGGGCATCGACACCCCGCGTTTGTATCGCGTCGATCAGCAATCCGCACTGACCAGCAAGTTGACCATTTCGTCTACCTCTCCTCCGCTCCCAGTGAGTCACAATCAACGGGCAGATGATCTCGGAGCCCTGATGCTCACCTCAGGCAGTACCGGCTTCTCCAAAGCCGTGTGTCTCCGCCAGCCGCAGATGCTGGCCGCAGCGGCCGGGAAGGCCGCGCACTGCGGGGCGACCTCTCAGGATGTCTTCCTCAGCTGGATTGCGCTCGACCACGTCGTCAACCTGGTCGAGATGCACCTCCACGCCATGCGGCTAGGGGCGGAGCAGATCCAGGTGGCGACTGAGCTCGTGGTGGCCGAGCCGCGCCGGTTCCTCGACCTGGTCGATCGTCATCGCGTCTCCCTCAGCTTTGCCCCCAACTTCTTCCTGGCCCTGCTGTGCGAGCGCGTCTGTCGTCCCACGCCGGAGCAGGAGCAGGAGCAGGAGGCCCAGTCCGCCCCGAGCTGGGACCTCTCGTGTCTGCGCTGTGTCTTTTCCGGCGGCGAGGCCACTGTGCGGCAAATGGCGGTGCAGCTCCTCCGCGCATTGGAGCCCTACGGCGCCCGGCCCTTCATCCGTGCCGGCTACGGCTTGACCGAGTCATGCGCGGGCATGGTCTGGGACCTGGTCGACCACACCGTGGACGGCCTCCACGAGACGGCGGGCGAGTTCATGTGCTGTGGCCGGCCCATCCCCGGGGTGGAGATGCGCGTGCTGCGGGAGATGGACGAGCGCGAGGCGGCTGCGGGCGAGGAGGGGATGTTGCAGCTGCGCGGAGCTGTGCTGTTCGACCGATACTATCGGGATGCCGCCGCCACGCGTGCGGCCTTCACGTCCGACGGCTGGTTCATCACGGGGGACAACGCCTACCTGGACGCGCACGGCCAGCTCTACATCACGGGCCGCACCAAGGACACGCTCTTGCTCAACGGGCTGACCATCTTTGCCGTTGAGGTCGAGCACAGCCTCGAGCAGGCGCGGATCCCCGGTCTGACCCCGAGCTTCACGCTGGTCTTCGCCCACCGGCCCCCCGGCGCCTTGACCGAGTCCTATTGCGTGGTGTATCTGCCCAGCTACAGCCCGGACGACGCTGCGGCCCGTGTCGCCACCACCGAAGCCATTGAACGAATCGCCAGCCTGGTCGTGCACGTCAAGCCCGCCGCGGTGCTCCCCTTGCCACGCCGCTACTTCGAAAAGACCTCCCTCGGCAAGCTCTCCCGCGCGCACTTCCGGCGCCTCTTCGAGTCCGGTGCCCTGAACTCTGAACGCGAAGCCCACGAGAGCAGCATCCATGCGCACCGCCAAGCGCATCGCCAGGCCCCCTCCTCACCCACCGAACAAGCCATCCTCACCCTCGTCTGCGCGCGCCTCCACGCGGCCGATCCGGACGCGGTCAGTGTGACTACCAACCTCTTCAGCCTGGGTCTCTCCTCGCTCGACTTCTACACCGTCACACAAGACCTGTCCCAGACGTTCGGGGTCGTCTTCACCCTCCCGGACCTCCTCATGGACCCAACCGTTGCCGGCCTCGCCCGCCGCCTCGCCTCCAACCAACAACAACAACGTCGCCAACACCAACCCAGCCCTAACACCCTCTCCACCCCCTCCCCAACCCCAGTCCTCCCCACAGAATACGACCCCGTCGTCCCCCTCCAACTCACCGGCCCCAAAACCCCACTCTGGCTCGTGCACCCCGCCTCCGGCAACGTCCTCATCTTCGCCAACCTAGCACGGGCCTTCCACGACCGGCCCATCTACGCCTTCCGCTCGCGCGGCGTGCAACCCGGCGAACCACTGTTCACCAGCATCGCCGAGATGGCCGACACCTACGCCGCCGCAATGCAACACACCCAACCCTCCGGCCCCTACGCCCTCGCCGGCTACTCGCTCGGCAGCAGCATCGCCTTCGAGATCGCCAAGCGGCTCGAAGCCGGCGGCGCAGAAGTCCGGTTCCTGGGCGCCCTCGACGGACCCCCCGACATCGCGCCTTTAGTGGGGCAGCTCACCTGGACCGAAGCCCTGGTCATGATCGGGTATTTCTACGAGCTCATCTCCGAAAGACGCTGCGTGGCGCTCATGCCGCAGCTGCGAGATGTGGAGCGCGAGGTCGCACTGGATGTGATCCTCGCTGAGGCCGACACTAACCGCGTGAAGGCGTTGCGGTTGGATAGGGAGGAGCTCCGCCATGTCACCGACGTGACGGCGGGGTTCTCGCGCGCCGCGGGCATGTATACGCCCGCCGGGAGCGTGGCGGGCGCACCGGTCGATGTGTTCGCCGTCGATCCGCTGCTCACGGTCACGGCGGACCGGGCGGTCTGGGTCGAGCGGTATCTGGGGCTGTGGAGGGGGCTGTCGCAAAGGGGCATGGCGGTGCATCAGTGCGAGGGCCGGCATGCTGATATGCTCGGGGTGAGGTATGTGAATGGGCTGCAGCTGGTGTTGCGCCGGGTGCTGGAGGAGAGGGGCGTGTAGACTGCGGCTGCTTAACGTACTATGAGTTTATGTTGGGAAGCATGGAAATAAAGAATACAATACGATGTGATGTGATGTGATATGGACGTGCTGGACGCGGGCTGGCTGGCTGGCGTTTCTGGGGGTTCTCCCCCGGGTCGCTGCTACTCCTAAAGATTTGGACAGGTAGGCGTTCTGGGGGAGAACCCCCATACTCCCCTTTCTTTCAGCTTCCTGGCCCAGCGTAGACTATCCAGCCGCGGAATATCAGGGAGATTCCCGGTGGGAAATCCCCCGTCGCACAATGCTATACTTGAAAAGGTGAAAAAAAAAAAGGGGGGTCTGGGGGTTCTCCCCCAGAACGCTGCTTTCCCAGTGAGTATACAGACGACCAGCCCTCCTTCTCGCAGACAAACACAGACAACGCCATCAAGCCTCCGCCGTCCCACCCATCCACAGATCCCTAAACCACCCCCGCGGCCGAGCAACCAACTCCGCCGGCGCCCCATCCTCCACCAGCTGGCCCGCATCCATGACCAGAACCCGGTCGAACTCTCCCATGAACTCCAGCCGATGCCCCACCATCACCACCGTGTACCCCGCGAACTCACTCCAGATGAGATCGCGCATCACCCGCTGCGTCGCTGCGTCCACGCCGCTGTCGATCTCGTCGAGCAGCAATATCCCTCCGCTAGCACCTTGATACATAGAAGGGAGGTGATCGCAATCACCCAGCGACACAGCAGGGTCCTTTGACATTGCCTTACCAAAGGGAAACCCGGCGCCAGAAGGCTCTGTAGTGCATTGCTCCTCCGCCAAGCCCTTCGCACGCACCCGCCGCCGCAGCACCGCGCGCGCCAAGCTCCACAGCTGCTTCTGGCCGTGGCTCAGCGCGTCGGCTGTGAAGGGGGCGTCGAGACCCCCGCGCGCCGTGACCACGCTCCAGAGACCCGTGCGCTCCAGGATGGTTTGGCACTCGGCGGGATCGGTGGTCTCGTTCGCGAATGGAGCGAGGAGGTTCGTGCGGAAGGAGGCGGTGCCGTCGGGGAGGAAGATGGCGTCTTGCGGGACGGCAATGAGGCGATGGCGCAGGGTCGCGTGGTCGATTGAGTGGAGAGGTACGCCGTCGATTGTCAGGCCTGTGTCTTCGTCCGCGTTGGTGACAGCTGCGGTGATGGTGGTTGTTCGCGGTGAGGGGATTGGGTCCAAGAGGCGCAGGAGGAGAAGGAGGATTGTCGATTTGCCGCTTGGTTCGGGTTTGTTAGCCTTCCCGTTTGTGGGGATGAGAGCAGTGAAGTATCATCTTAAAGAAAGATGGGTTGAGGATTCACCTTCCGGTTCTACCGCAGATTGCAACTTTCTGTCCGGGTTCGATTGTGAATGATACGTCTCGGATGGCGAGGGTGTCCGAGTCGGGAGCGGCTTCGTTGCTGCGAGTAGTTAGTATAAGGGCTATCTTCACGTCACAAACACGGAAAGCGCAATTTACCTGTACGACGCAGAGACATGCTGGAATGCAATGCTGCCGTTTTCCGGCCATGAGGCAGGAAGTCGGGTTGAACTATCGCCGTCCTTACTGCTGTCATCCTCCAGCCGATTCTCCTCAAGCCCGGCACCACCAGCCCCGCTGTCGCAGAATGCTTTGATCCGGGCTACAGCACCGATGGAAGTCTCGAGGGCCGTGTACATGCGGACCAAGCCGGCCAGGGTCTTGCCAAAGCTCATCAGGGAGACCAAGCTGGCTCCAGTGAAGCCGGCACTTGTGTCGCGAAGCTGGGTGGTCAGGGCTACGACGAGCACGGCTAGAACAGCCACTACCATGTCGAGAACAAAGGACAACCACCGCTGGATCATGCTCAGCAAGTAGGCCGGGCGCTGGGATGCGTCGAGTAGCGCGTTGTTCACGCCGATTGACTCGTTGACCCAACCGAATGCGCGCAGTGTGGCAACACCCTTGATGGTATTGAGGTGGTGGCTGTAGAGAGGGCTCTTGGCCTCAAGGTCCAGCAGGCGGAGCTGACGGGAGGTGCGTAGATAGAAACGCTGGATTGCGTATATGATGGCCAGCACGAAGGGGTAGGCGATCAGGGTGTAGGGCGATGAGCCGGCGACGATCACCGCGGCCCCACCGATGGCGATCCAAACCTGCAGGGAGGTATTAATCAGCGCCTGAGCTAACTCCCCGTCAATCAAGGTCATATCCTGCGAGAACAGGTTACTGAGGACCCCTGTGTCGGTCTGGGATAGGGTGGACCAGGGAGCGGCGATGACCGTCCGCAGCAATGCATCGTGCAGACGCGATCCCGAGGTACGGATGATGGCCAGCATGCCGATGGCCGCCTCGCTAACAACAGTGGCTAGGGCCAGACACTGGAGACAAGCATAGATTCCCAAGTAAAAGGACTTTGATTGGCCGAAGGTATCAGTATTCCAATAGCCGATCCAGATCGTGGGAAAGTTGTAGAGAAACCCGCAGAGAACGCCGAATGTGGCGAAGCTGATGAGCAGCCAAGGGCCAATGCTGCGGCAGTAGTACAAGAAGACGGCAGCATCTCCAATGGCTCGACTCGATTCCCCGCTCTTGATCTTTGGAATAACTGCTTTGTAACCATTTGCGGGGGGAGATTGGTTTGTCGGTGCAGATGGTGGAGAGGAAGGACGCGGAATCGTTCCTCTTTCGCTCGCGGCGGCTGTTTGCACAGTGAGGGTACGAAGATCGCGGGGTGATCCCTTCTCTGCGATTGTCCCATCCTCTCTCAATGCGATGATATAGTCCGCTGCAGACAGATGTCGAATGGCACTGGTGCAGAAGATTGCGACCGCCCCTCTATCCCTCAGAATCCCTGAAGGACCGAAGACTGCGTGAAGGATGTGCTCCTCAGTGGTCGCGTCTAGTCCGCTGAGGACGTCGTCCAGGATCAGCAGGTCACACTGAAGGTATAACGCCCTGGCAAGCGCGATTCGCCGCTTCTGGCCGCCACTGAGTGCGATTCCATCGCTGCCAATTTGGGTCTGATCACCCTGGAAGAGCAGCTGCAGATCGCGAGACAGCATTGTGGCCTCGACCACGCTCGTATATCTTTCGGCATCGAAGGTAGAGTACCCTTGAATGGCATCGCGAATACTCGCATTGGGAAGAAACGGAACCTAATCACAATATCCAATTTGGCGGAACTTAGTCCGTATGAAGACCTCACCTTCGGTGAACGGAATCTCTCCTAACAGTGCTTTACACAGTGTAGTCTTTCCGCAGGCAACGGGACCATAGATTATATTCAATCCTGCGGAGATCGAAACATCGAGGTTCTTCAAAGTCAGCACGTTTGATTGCCAGCCGAAGCCCCCAGCCGTGATATTTACCACTGGGGACAACTTCTCCCCTGCAGCCTTTTCTTTCCAGGGCTCATCGGACATGAGGGGACGGCGATAGTCGTGTCTCGACTCTCCCTCGAGAAACATCTGGATTCTTGACAGAGATGTAAAGGCCGCAAGCAGCTGGGGAGCGACTTGGAAGAGGGCAGAGAATGGCCCGCACAGAAGCTGAAGGTAGGCGAGGGAGGTGAAGATGGCGGTGGTGTTCAAATTGCCCAAGCTAAACGCAAAGGCGAAGATAGGACTTAGGAGCACTGGCATGAATCCGATTCCCACTGAAGTCACAAGAAAGGTTCGGAACTTCCCTCCAGCGTGCAGTTCGTCCCGCCGCGATCCTCGAATGAAATCTTCCACTGGCTGGGTAAGTCCAGAAATTCTCAAGTGTTTCATGGTAGCAATCACGGTTGAGGTATGCCCGACCCGCTTCTGGATTACTTGCATCCAAGCTATCTGCTTAGGACCCACAAACCGCATCACGAGAGTCGACATAATGGCGCCGAGGATGACAACAATGAGCGGCGCCACAAAGGCGGTGCCGATCTGACGCTGAAGAAGCCAGCTCACAATCGCCACCTGGAGGGGGTTGGCCCAGAATTCGTGCAGCTGCATAAGACCCATCATGATCCTCTCGACATCAGTGCTCATCAGCGTGACGGCTGCCTTGTCGTCCCCAGCGGAAATTGGCTGCTGGGTGGTCTTTTGGTAGATTGCCGATACCAGGCATGGGCGGATCATGAATAGGGCCCGTTCGTGGAGATACCAATAGAGAGCTGTGATGATTGGCATTCCGACGTAAACTAATGCTGTCGCCCCGATAAGCGCATATCCCTCTTTGACTGCCAGATCGGTTTCGGGCTTGGTGAGCCATTCGAGTATCGTCTCGATGAGAAAAGATTGGCAAATTGTGAAGCCGACCAGGGCGAGACGAGGAATGACTGGCAGTAGGAGGGGGATTGCTAATGTGCGAGCAGCTGCTTTGGCCAAGTCATTTTGTTGGTCCTTCCGGAAAAGGGCGCGTTGGGTGTATTTGGCGAAGGTCTTCTGTAGGGCTTCAATCGACACGCTTGGGTCCAGAGTGTAGAGGTCTGATAGATCTAGGACCTTTCTGTAACCTGAGATGACAAGGGGCACAAGCCATACAAAGGTGCCCAGTCCATAGAACCCGGAGGTTTCTTCCGGGCTGCGGGTCTTGTGGTCGCTTTTGGAAAACGACTCTAACGCAAGGAGCAAGGCCTTGCAAGCAGTTACGGCAAGGAAGATCCGCACATAGACATGTTGGAATTGGGTGTGGGCTAACAGCCAAAGAGTTCGGACTCGGGCAATGTCACAGAGAATAGTCAGTGAGAGAAACGCGCTGAGGAGTATTGATGGCCGTAGTGAGCGAGAATGCTCGAGAAAGGTAAGGATGGAGATGCTGATCGCCGCAACAAGGTCCAGTGAGTTGGCCGTGATGGACAAGTTAGGCAAAGAAGATGGCTCGCTGATGGCAAGAACCAAAAGCACCAGCCGTAGAATCAAGTATATGCTTGCTGCTGTGAGTTTGGTCGACCGCAGATATACATTGCCCGCTATAGATGACTTGCAAGTAAGCAAAATGGCTCTTGGGATGGCGAGAGCAATGAACACCACCGATGGTAGAATGGAGAGAACGATGTCTTCAAATTTGAGGGTGAAATCGAAGTCTCCACGACAGCCCTGAACAGTAGGACCAAATGAAGCATCGTCTACACAACTGGGTGGTTTCATTCGGAGCGATACCGAGAAAGAAATGTATTGAGTTGTCAATGCAAGCGCAGGTAGTGGGCGGAGGATAGTGAATGTAAGGTGATAAAAATCTAACCTAGATCGACACTCGATTACATATAAACAGGGCAACCATGACAGGGATTAATCTTGGAATAACACTGGAGAATCTGGTAGCAAGGCATGGCAGTCATTGGGGAAAACGAGAAAGCTACCTAAGCAGTCAAGGTATAGGGCTCCTCCGTCGGAGCCCCTGAACCCTGGTCAGCTTATCGAATGCGCATCATTGGTCACACATGACCAGCTTCTGTCCTAGGATTGCCCCAATTGCGGATCCTTTATCACATTTGCCAAGCTGCGATTAATTCCGCATTTTTGACATTTTTCCAAACAAACAGGTGCAATTCTGATGCCTCCTGGCCAACGCAAAGCCACAGTACACACACCAGGCAGCCGTATGACTGAGGCTTTCCTTTGACTAAATGGAGTGGCCTGCTGCAGAATGACTGGCTACAATGACATAGATCCCTTGAGCAGCAAAGCAGAATCTAGTCACCAACTTGTGTAGTTTTGCATCAGGTTCTCGCAATGGGCTATACATGCTGCCTCAGGCACCTACCAGCTTACCGCCAGCGCTTAGACTTCACATTCACAGGCGCTCAAGACCGCGACAGCTCATGCGATCAAGGAAAAAAGCCTTCTCCCCATTGCCTCCCCTTCAAACCACCTTAATCCCGTCATTCCCAAGACCTACCATCCCCATCACCTCACCAAAATTCCAAGCTTTCCAACCCCAACCCCAAATACCCGCACATGAAACCATCAACCATGGCCTTCCCCACCCCCCACATCCACCCGCCCCAAACCACGCACAAGCACACGCACACAGCCATCCTCCTCCACGGCCGCGGAAGCAATGGCCCCGAGTTCGCAAACGAGCTTTTCTCATTTCTGACCTCGCACAGCAAATCCCTCCCCGATGCCCTCCCTACCTGGCGCTGGGTATTCCCCACCTCGCGCGACCGCCTCACCACGCGCTTCCAGGAGGAGATCTGCTCCTGGTTCGACGCCTATTCCCTTTCCGACATCCAAGAACGCCAGTACCTGCAGGTCGAGGGGCTCAGGGAGTCTGTCTCTTATATCCTGGAGATCCTAGACCGAGAAATCAGCCTACTGGGTGGAGAAGCAAGCCATGTCTATCTTGGGGGCATCAGCCAGGGTATGGCGACGGCTCTCTGGACTTTGTTCTGCGCAGGGGGAAGGATCGGGCGGTGTCTTGGGGGAGTTCTCGGGTTCTGTGGGTGGGTGCCCTTTGCGCGGGAGATTGAGGGGTTGCTTCAGCAGGCGGCTGGAGATGATACACTCCGGGTTCAGCGGTTGGTTTGCGGGTTCTGTGTCGAGATGCTTGGGTTTTCGCAGCCTTATGGGGAGGTAGAAAGTCACGGTGCGTCGTTGCCTCTTTTCAGCACGCGGTTCTTACTAGGACACGGCACAGATGATGTCTGGGTGCCGGTGGAGCTGGGGAGGCAGGCGTTGCAGGTTGTCAAGGGGCTTACCGCGGGGGAGGTGGAGTGGATGGAGTATGCTGGGGCCGAGGGGGATGGCCATTGGATCAAAGAGCCGGAGGGGTTTGATGTTATTCTTAAGTTCTTGGGGCGTGGGTCGCAGCTTGCCTGAAATAGACCGTGCATGTACTATGTAGCTTCCAGGTTGTGCTACACCTTACGCCGTTCCCTGAAATGGATCGCCCCCGCAAAACCTACAACATTAATCCGACGGGTATATATATCTAGAAAAGCCATCACCAATCTTCCATACAACCAACAAACAAACAAGCCCCAAAGGCAACATATATCTGGAAATAAATTCAGGTTTATCTACCAACTTTTCCCACCACCTTCCCACCATATAGAACATGATTATTATACGCAAAGGGAGTTCCGCAGTGACAGAAAAGCTACAAGAAAACAAACTAGCCAACGAACCCCACCACTAAGCACCCACCATATCGACCATATCCATATCCGTATCCATCTCGGGCGCCTCGACAAGCCAGGGAGCATCCATCATCGCCACATCCCCGTGTGCGGTCACCACATAGACGCCAGCCTGGAACATCGCCATCTGCTTCAAATCAGCGGCTCGTCTTTTCCGCGCCGCCATGTTGGCTCGCGTGATGGGGTACTGTGCCAGGCGAGGCACCGTGAAGTAGCGGGAGCGCTGGGAGGAGCGGATGGGCTGGGTGGTGAGAGTCATTTTGGGAATATGGATGTACCTTTTCTTTCGGTTTGGTTTGGTTGATTGGGGGTTGGATTGTTGTAGGGAGGTCGGTTTTGATGCTAGCTGTTGTTGTGCTGGAGCAGCTATAGTGGGGGGGGGAGGGAGGGCTGTAGGTCGGTTTTATAGGCAGGCTGGGGTTCTTTGTTTGTGCTGCGATGGTGTGAATGTCTTTGTTGGAGTTCAGGGTGTCGATGCTACGACAAAGCCATTGTTACTTGACTGTTCATGATAGCTGGGAGGCATAAAGCATTGGGGGCTGACACTTGTGAAAACTTACAGGACAGGTCTATTATGCCTCAAGTCAGCTGAGGTGTATGGAACAACTGACCAGGAAAGGTATTCAGAGTTGACGTCCTTTCAAGATCAGGTGGACGGGCAATTCTTCTCGTCAGACCAGACCAGACCATGTTCGACAGCTTACAGGGCTCTTACTCGCATGCATTCAACAGAAGGAACGCAGGCCAATTTCCATTACCTAAACCTTGGACCTGAAAAGGTGTTAAAGTACATACACCGATGCTACTAAGAGACATCTAGCCACCCATGGTAAACCCATTCATAGCCTTCTTGACCGGCGATGTCTCCAGCATCCAGTTCCCATCTCCCACTTCCCTCGCAATTCCACCTTTCTTGGCAGCTCTCATCACCTTCTCCCCGGCCACCGTTCTCTCCCCCGTAAGCCAGTCCCAGACATACCCTTCCTTCAACCACATCCAAGTTAGGTAGGCTCGTAGCTCTTTATCTTGAGGCAACACCTTCTTCCACTCGGGCATAAACTCTACCTCCTCCGCAGTATCACCTGCTGCGCTTCCACTTCCCACACCAACATTCCCATTTGGGTCCGCACCTTCAGCAACAGGACTTGATCCAGTCGTTGTCATCGCTCTACCAACGCCCCTCAATTCATCTCGACAAAAGATCCTCCAACTATCCAAGGAATAAGCACCTACACCAGGAAGATGCGCGATTTCCCACCCCACACGTTCATCCTCATCACCTAAACACTCATCACGGCGGACGTCACGACCGTCGTTAAGGTTTGGGTAGTGGAGTTTACGGTACCGACAACCACGGGCAGGAGGCCGAGCAAGCCAAGTCTGTGCGAGGGCAATACATTTCTTAGCGCGTTGGTGTTGGAAGCCGAGACAACGGATTAGCTCGGTAAGCTCGGTCCGGTCTGCAGTCGCAAAGGCCGAGATGGAGGGGTATATGTCAAAAACGCGGAAGAGAACGGGGAGGGCGACATGACCGCGGGTACGATTAAGAAATATGGTAGCGATGAGGAGGCGAAATGGATCGTGAGCGAGCTGTTCCTGGACCAGACCGAATGTCGGGGCGGAGATAGGCTGAAATGGGAGACAGGAGGACGGATCAATCAAAGGTTGGGGAAAGAAGCGAGATATTCTTGGTGCTTGAGATAAACGTGGTGGTCGGGAGGTAAGGGTTGGTCCATTATCATTATTTATAGTCGCATCGACTGAGGTTTCGGGCTCAGAGAAAGTAGATACATTCGTTACTAGCGCAATTGAGGATGACGCAGGCGGCGGTGTTGAAGGATACGAGTCAGGGAGGTCACTCGGAGAATCGCTCAGCTCGGAGCAATCAGACAAAATTAGGTCAGAAGGTAGAGCAGCGGTAGAACCACGGATTGAGCCAGTCATGGTGGCTGGTTGCCCTACACTGAAGAATATGGACCGTACCTCATCGCTGGTGGTTGGACTTTGCGATTCATCGGTGTCGAAAAATCCAAATGTTCTGCACGAGTAGACTTCTTGGCTGGTCGACCTTTCGCTTTCCCATTCTTCAGAAGTCTTGGTGATTTGTTCGGGTTCGCCCGTCTTGTTTCCGCCTGCTTCGCTTTGAGCAAGCCTTGATGCCGGATCTGAGCTTGAATATCCGATATTTGCCCTTCAAGTTCGGCTAGGTCAGACCCTTTGGTCATCGCAGGCGTTCCAGGCTTGTGAAAATTGGGATCTTTTGCCTTGTTGGCATGTTTACCGTTCTCGGGCTTCGTCAAATCAATAAGCTCGGCGGTATCATGGTTGTTCGAATGTCCCTTTGTTAAGCCGACCTTCTTAAGGTTGCCGCGTTTCTCAGATTCCCTTGCTTGCGCAGGTCTTGCAGTGACTTTTGAACCTCCGGCCTTGTGGGTGCCGCTGGACTGGTTCGAGTTCGAGGATCTGGCAATCTGGATTGGCTGCTGATTTGTAGACTTTTCGGGTATGACACTCTCGCTGGCGTTCGTCAATTGCCATGAATTGGCAGGAATGATGGTTTTCTTGAGCTGTTGGGTCGTACCAACCATTCTGGGATTTCGCTGTGGCTCGGCGGTCAACTGTCCGACACATTCGATGCCATCATCTGCAAGTTTGTAGGCCTTCTTGCTCTGCAGAGATTTTGTCTTTCCTGGGCTCGTTGCCTTCTCCTTTGCCGCCTTCTCCGACTGCTTCTTCTGAGGTTGCACATCTCTATCCAGCTGCACGGATGGCGTTGAAGCTCGATCCAAAGAGGTATGATCTTCAGACGAGGAGCGTGTTTTCTTCCTTCTTTTAGACTTCTCGGAATGACTTGCATTGCCTGGCTGGTCCTTGGAAGGCAGAGGGCTCTCGCCTTGCTTCCGTTTCCTTCCACCATAAGATGAGTCATCGACAGGCATCTTCAACTTCTTTGTTGATTTCTCTTCAAGGCCCTTACCGCTCGGCTGTTCTTTCTGGTCGATCTGTTCGGTGCCCATCTTGGGAGACTTGCTTGTGGCCGGGGATGCTACTGCTAGGTCAACATCAATTGGTGTTGCCATAATCTTCCCATTGGGCGATGCAGGGCCTGCTTTATCAAGCGACGTCGCGGAGCCTTTCCCTGACTCATCTGCTGATGCAAAGTCCAACCTCTGAAGTGATTCAGACACTGACGCTTCCATGTCTTTTGGTTTCGGTTCGTCCTGTTTGGTCCCAGCAATCACGTCCTCTCCCTGGTCATCTGCGAGATTGGCATCTGGGAGTGACTCAACGGACTTACGTCCCGATGCCGCTTGCTGGTTCTCGCTCGTCACAGCTGATGGGTGCTTTGGGCTGACCGAACCTCTCTCTGGTCCACGATCAGAGTCTGGCTTGGATCCTGATTCCGGGTTCACCTTTGAGTCATTACCCTTGTTCTCACCCCACTGAAGCAGATAGACCCCTCTTAAAGCCCTCATCATCCGTTCAAATTCATCCTCCGTCATCCCGATTTCCACCGCCTTCTGCGAGGCATAATCGACGAATGCGCGTTTCTCCGATCTCTTCACTGGATAAATGCCTTTGCGCATGAAGTCGCTCGTACACAGTGCGAAACCAAGCTCCCTCACCTGCGGCCGGCTCACGGATGGAAACTGGTCGTAATCTTCCTCCCACTCAGAGTCGAATTCGAACTCGCTAGTATCGTCATACGCATCTTGGCTCCCCGTGTGCTCGCGCGCAGTAGAGTAGGACCCGGGCTCCGGTGAAACTGACGGTGAAGGTGACTTTAGAAGGTCTATGGATTCGATATCGGCGTGTAGGGGGTGCTGCTCGGAACTATGGAGCTCCGCATTTGATTTAAATTTCGATTCGGGTCGAGATTGTGCTACAGACTCGAACCCAAGTTCAGAGCTCACCGCAGATCCTGACTCGGACGTGCAGTCATCTCCCGAATCAGAGTCTGGCCCGTGATAAGGTATGATCCGCTTGCCGAGCGCCCAGTTTGGTGAGCTAAGCTGCCGCGTTGTCGGCGACTGTCGCTGCGTCCCATGCGACCAGTCGGGGCTACGACTGTAGTCTGGGGTATGATTGTGGACGGAGGTTTGACTGTAGTCGTCGAACCGCGAGGAATGTTGGCTGACTTCATCGGAAAGGATGTGATCCACGGTTCTTTCGTGAAGAGCGTAGAGAAGGTCAGACGCACAATAGGTCATGTCCTTAACTATTGCACTGTCCTTTGTGTCAGGGTGGGGGGTCCCTTCGGTCACATTATTGCTGGTGGTCGCGTTGGTGTAGGATCGGTGGGGAGAGGAGGTGAGAGATTCGGCGAATTCGACGCGTTTGATTTTTGGAGTAGAGGAGACAGACATCGTCATCGTGAGTACGTTGCGCTTGCTTGTGTTGACGGAGTTGTGTAGCGAGAGGCGGAATGGTAGCTGGTAATGGAAGGTTGGTAAGGTAGGAAAGTGTGGTTATGAAAGTCAAGGTGTAGTGTTAAGCGTCAGGTAGAGAGGTTGAAGGAGAAAGGCACAAATCTGGTAGTAATGGGGTGAGCAGGTCAGTAAACGTGTACCTTGAGCTGAGAATCTCTCACTTACAATTAACACAGATTAGTGAATTCACCAAGACTGGAAGACCAGGAGGTGTTACTAGCCAACGGAGTTCGAAGCGGAGAAGTCCCAAAGCAACCTAGGACGCCTTCGTAACCAAGAACCAAAAGTCATCTTCATAGTCCTTGGAGGAAAGAGAGTTGTGCAGAGCCTGCAACCCCTAGAACGTGCGACAAGTGAGGCCGGGGGTTGCAGTCACCGCGGAGAGTTGGAAGGAAGCGGATGCGCCGACGCGGAAGATCAGTAGATTGATCTAATCCAGGCACGCGCATGTGATCGGCCTGTAACAGCCATTGCTTCCTACCTTCGGAGGTGATAGATCAGAGATATTAGAATGATGCTAGTAGCAAAGAGAATCATTGACCAAGATACAACTCAGGCGAAACTACTCCCCTAATTCGATACACTCCTTACCTATGGATGCCTTGTCATTGCCATTAACTTATGAGTTTCTACCGCCATGCGCAGGCGCGGGCAGGAGTCCTTTTCTGCCACCGCCCAGAATGAACAGTTTCGGGAGCCGATTCTTCTGGACTGTTACTTCTTAAATCCGCTTAATTCCGTGGTTTTCGTCGCGAGGTCCAATGCATTCTGCCGAATCAGGCGGTCTGAGTGGCGGTCGGAAGCTAAACTGCGGAGGGTCCTATTCTGCTACCGCCCAAATTGAACAGTTTCGCAAGCCAATTTCTCTAGACTGTTACTTCTTAAATCCGCTTAAGTCCGCGCTTTTCGTTGCGAGGTCGCGAGCGTTCTGCCCGGTCAGGCGGTCTAGAGGGCGGTCAAAAGCCACTTTTGCTTTATGCATTACAAGAGACGGAGCTATAGTGTATTGGAAAAGCATTCATTCCACAACTATTGCATATGGTTCAATTGATTTGGTTTGCTCTTTTCATTCCACCTTGAGCTTCATGCGACTCGCTATCTTCACACTTCTCTAAAACTATCCCGACACCCTAAAGGCCCGAACGAGCTTAAAAAACAAGTTCAAATCACATCTCGGAATCCCACCCGAATCCACAGAGTATCCCTGGAGAAGTGATCAATGCTGTTTCGCAATCTTCAATATCATCAGTCGTGATATCATGCTCTTGTTCAGTCGCGGAAGAGCGCCGCCCATTCCAAGAGTTCTTTCTCTGATAGCACGATGTCCTTTTCGAGCGGCGGATTTCGTGCCCTTCCAAAAACACTTTCAAACTCCAGAACAGGTGGTCTTCCTTGTATTGTGGGAGAGTCAATTCCTTGAGTCCGGATCGTAACTGTCAACACTCTGCTGGCCTTTCACACTGGGCCAGCACCACTGCGCGAGTGCAAACGCGTGTTATGGTAGTCCCACCGCATGGGCACATGCTGCTCGACTATGACCTCCTTGGTCTCCCGGTTGACCTCAATGAGAAGAAAAAGCTTCACTTCGCCAGCAGAGTGGGCAGCCCACCACGCGGCAGCGGCTCGGAGTCGCAGCATCGAGTCCGAGGATCGTATTGCCGCTCCAATAACCCAGATTGGCCATTGGCGTGATGGTCGGCTGCGTAAGTTCGTGAATGAAGAGTCGGCTTCCTTTGCCGAACCCGTAGGCCCCAAGAATGTTGTGGCACCAAGGGGGCAGGACTCTTTGCGACCCAGGCCCATCTTGTACGAGGCACATACGACGATGTTACTGAAGCTGAGGTGGGCCGTTTCAGTCTCTCGTGCGGGGATTCTGACGATCAAGGTTTCGATATCGCGGAAGTAATTCAGGCGAACGTGGCTGCTCAGTCCTTCCTCCCGCTCCACAATATGGTTGAATTGTTGGGGTGACACATCCTTGATTCAAGAGGTATTGACTGGCGCCTTCGACTTCCCTATGCAGCTGATCGCGTCGAGCCACGATGAGCTTGTTCAGGTCTTTCACGCCTTTGTAAGTGGTTGGTGGGAATCCGTCGATGAGTGCAAGCCGTGACGATGAGACCCCGAGTGAGGAGTTAGGTACGGATGCCATTGTTGCCTACAGGATTGTAGAGCGCGGTCGCGACAGTGCAGAAAAATAGTTTTCTGTGGAAGATGTGGTGTCTGGGATGGATCTGAGAGTAGCTTGGATACGATGATCGCAGGTACTACGAAGCCCGGGTACCTTCTCCGGAATGACTGTTCCCTTAGGTTGCGGTGGAACCACAGACAATCTTCATCTTCCATGCGCGACCGTTCTCAGGGCGTAGAAACATGACCACGGTTGTATCGTTCAGGCAGAAGGACAATTCGTACATCTGCTCAATTCACCAACCGGTGTCTGGGTACGGTCATCGGGATGAGAGCTGCTTTTAGGTGTTTCTGGTTCGATACAGAGAACCGCAGAGTTGGTGCGGCTAGGACGCAAGGATTCAGGGACGACATTTCTGTTTGACTTTTATGTTTGGGGGTGTACTTTCGATACCATCTTTGCCATTCACATAAGCTGTAAGGTGTTCAGTTGACCATCCTGCTGGGCGCGAGCTCAATGCGTCGCTCGGCAATCTTCTACAATGCGCCTGTTCTGGAAACATGCGGCAATCCGCGGAAAAGGACGGTTGTCGGTTGGGAGAAAGAGACCGCGGAACACTTCCGTCCGGGAAGCTTCCCAGTTCAACAGGCCACCCTTTGCGATGTTTAGAACTATGAAGTATTTTCTGAGCATAAGGCCATCCCCGGAGGCTGATGCTTCTCATTGGGATTTGAGAAGCATTTGCTGGGATTGTCATCTCACACTCTTTCATGCACTTTGCGGTCAACGGAATGTGGCCGCACTGGGTCTTCCCCGCCAACAGCAATTCCGCGAGTTTCCCCCGCAAAGCGACTCCGCAGTCCCGCGATTGTCGCGTTCCACCATTATATCATCCGGCATGTGAGCTGGAGGGGCAGCTCTTTTAACCCATTAATCCTAAGCATTGCTACGCATGTTTTATCTTTGATCTCTGATGTCTGAACTTTGCCTTTCTGTATAATCTCTGTATCACCCCTCGATCACATCCTCATAACGTATCCTACTTTCAAATCACTCAACAATATGCCAGTGACAAAATTCTCCCATCCCGATCCGTATTCCTACCAGACGGGCTTCGACTCTTACCATGAGTACGGTCTTTCTCACCCGGCTATCTGGCGGACTGACTGACGACTCTCCTCTCATAGGACCGAAGCTGTCGAAGGCGCTCTTCCAGTAGGGCAAAATTCCCCTCAGAAAGCCCCCTATGGCTTGTACGCAGAGAAGCTGTCCGGCACAGCTTTCACCGCCCCCAGGCACGAGAACCGACAAACATGGGTCTATCGCATTCTCCCCGCGGCTGCCCACCAGAATTTTGTCGCCGAGGAAGAGGATTCTTATCACACTCGCATGACCACTGAAACACACCAGCTCCACCACATTCCTAACCAACTACGATGGGATCCTTTCGATCTAGATGAGACTGTCGATTGGGTCCACGGTCTGCACCTTGTTGCTGGAGCCGGTGACCCCACCTTGAAACATGGTCTGGGGATCATTCTTTATGCGGCGGGCAAGGATATGGGGAAGGAAGCTTTCTACTCGGCTGACGGCGACTTTCTGATCGTGCCTCAGCACGGCGTGCTGGACATTCAGACTGAATTGGGGCGACTGGTGGTCCGTCCGAACGAGATTTGCGTGATTCCCCGGGGCGTGCGGTATGAAGCCTTCACCTACCATCCTTGGCCATTAAGTGAGTATCTGACAAAGACTTGGATAGGTACCGCGTAACTCTCCCCGCCGGTCCAGTGCGAGGATACATCTGCGAGCTCTACCAAGGCCACTACCAGCTCCCCGAGCTCGGCCCGATCGGCTCCAACTGTCTCGCCAACGCCCGCGACTTCCAGGCGCCCGTAGCGGCCTTCGACGACGAAGAGGAACCCTCCGAGTACCGGTTGTACAGCAAGTTTGCCAACAAGCTCTACTCCGCCCGGCAGCAGCACACCCCCTTCGACATCGTCGCCTGGCACGGTAACTACTACCCCTACAAGTACGACCTCGGGCGCTTCAACACGATCGGTTCCATCTCATTCGACCACCCGGACCCGTCCATCTTCACCGTTCTGACCGGCCCATCGGACCACGCGGGCACCGCCATCGCCGACTTTGTCATCTTCCCGCCCCGCTGGCTGGTGCAGGAGAATACCTTCCGCCCGCCCTGGTACCACCGCAACACCATGTCCGAATTCATGGGGTTGATTACGGGGAACTACGATGCCAAGACGGGAGGTGGGTTCCAGCCTGCGGGAGCTAGCTTGCACAATGTGATGAGTGCGCACGGGCCGGATGCAGATGCCTTCGAGGGCGCGAGTAATGCGGAGCTCAAGCCAACAAAGGTTGGTGATGGAAGTATGGCGTTCATGTTTGAGAGGTCAGTCTTTCCCGTGTCTCTCTTTGTGGATTGAGTGCTAATTCGATGGGTGCAGCTGTCTGATGGTGGGTGTCTCCGAGTGGGGGCTGAAGACTTGCCAGAAGGTGCAGGAGGAATACAATGAGCACAGCTGGCAGCCACTTAAGCGCCACTTCGAGAATCCGAACAAAAAATAGGGTATGGCTTGGTAGTTAAGGCTATGAGATGGAGTTGGATTGCCCATAAATATCAATCTGCACAGGTCAAGTGATTAAATAAGCGATGGCAGGCTCCGCGGTAGTCATATGTCCCAAAGAATGAAATCGATAACACGATCAAGAATTCTTCAGAAACGGGAAAGTGTAGAGACATGAGCTTGCTCAAGATGTAGACGCAATTTATCATGGCTCCTCTGTTTCGAAGTACAAAACTTCCTCCATGGGAAACTCCATCATGGTACAAGTCTCTTCCTACGGATAATGTTACCCCGCATGTTTCCAGATCTAACGTCTCAAGATGGTAATAAACTGCTCTCGAAACCTTGCAGATCAATTTCCGATCACTCGAATCTCTGTACTATACACAAGATAACGTGACTGAGGAAAGACTTGCCCTCACGGTCGCAGGCAGCCCATTTGACCAATCACAGATGTCAGTCGGAGAACCTGTAGAGACGGGCAAGTCTTTCCGTCTCGGCAGGCAACTTGGCCCGTCTGTTTACTCCGCATTCCTGCAGCAGTGGACCCTCTCTCTCCGCATTTCTCGACAAGTTCTCTGATATTCTCAACTGGACATGAAACTACATCTGCTTTTTGACTACAATATACAGATGGAGGAACTTTTCCCTTTGGGGCGGTGGGTCTGCCAGCGATGTTCCAGAGAGGGGAAATCGTTGTGTCGACATATATAAACACCTAGACACCCTCACGACAGACAACAGCACAGCAGCAAGCTCAATCCAACAACACCTAATCAGCTCCAGCTCGCTCTCTCTTTCTCTTCTTCTTTTGCTCTTCCACATCACACCACATACAACAATCATGCCCATTCAAAAGCTCAAAGTCGGCATGGCCGGCCTCGGCCGCGTAGGTAAGATCCACGTCAACAACTTCCTGCACCAGACCCCCCGCGCGGACCTGGTAGCCGCCTTCTCGCCGGATCCTGCGGAGATCACCTGGGGCAGACAGCACCTCGAGCCCTACGGCGTCACATTGTATGATGACTACGACAAGATGCTCGAGCATCCGGGCCTACAGGCCGTGGTCATCGGCACGGCCACCTCCGTGCACGCCGAGGAGACCATGAAAGCGATTGACCGTGACCTGCACGTTCTGTGTGAGAAGCCTCTCTCGACGAGCGTTGAAGTAGTATGTTCTTGCCCTAGCCACCCTCCCTCTCCTCTTCCACCACCAACTAACCACCTCCGAACAAAACAGTGCAAAGCCGTCGTCCAAAAAGCCAAAACCAAGCCGCACCTCAGAGTCATGTGCGGCTTCTCGCGCCGCTTCGACACCTCCTACCGCGAAGTGCACTCCAAGATCACGCAGGGGCTGATCGGGCGGCCCTCGATCCTGCGCAGCCAGACGTGCGACAAGTACGACCCGTCCGGGTTCTACGTCGCCTACGCCGCCTGGTCCGGCGGGGTGTTCGTGGACATGTCCGTGCACGACATCGACCTGACCCTGTGGTTTTTGGGGGAGGACTCGATCCCGAAGAGCATCTCGGCGCACGGGGTCACGGCCGTGCAGCCGGAGCTGAAACAGTACAACGACTACGACAACGCCGTCGGCATCGTTGAGTTCTGGGGCGGCAAGATCGCCTACTACTACTGCTCGCGTATGATGCCGCACGGCCAGGAGGACACCACCGAGGTCATCGGCACCGAGGGCAAGCTGTCCGTCAACATCAACCCGCAGCGGGACTTTGTGAACTACTACCACTCCGGCGGCATTACGCGCGAGGTGCCCCCCAATTTCGTCGGGCGGTTTGGTGAGGCGTTTGTGCGCGAGGCGAATGAGTTCACGGCGGCGTGTTTGGAGGGGACGCCCCTGCCGGTGAGGTTGGGGAATGCTGTTAAGGCTGTCGAGATCGGAGCGTATCTGCAGGAGGCGTTGGTGACGGGTAAGCAGATTCGGTTCGATGAAATTGGGCGGAGGGTGGAGGTTGCGCAGCTTTGAGTGGTGTTGTTGGATGCTATCGCTGGTCAGATATATTACGGCTCAGATAAATGAAAATATGCTAAACTCGACGGTCGGCCATTTGAAACTCTGTTTCTAATTGACACACTCTTGAAAGTAGGATGCAGGTACTGAAGCCATGTTATCTGTCTCTGAGCCTTCAATCAAGACGTAAAATTGCTGGCAACATGGACTTTGGCCAGCTTTGTGTAGTTGTGTGGCATTGAACGGGAGCGGGATATACTTTCGGAGTGGTCTTGTGGGAGAAGAAATCCCTACAACTGATAAAGCCAGTATGATATATTGATAGTAATCAACTGAAAAGTATTATTGACGAGTCTTACTAGTTATAGTTCAAGCTGGAACACTTCCATATATGTTTGAACTTTCTTCAAGTTGTAGTGGGGTGGGAGGCCCGAAGGGGGACGAAAAAAAGAAGAATGGGACGAGCCGGGCTTGAACCGGCCACCTTCAGATTTACGGCCGAAGTTAGTGCTTCAGTCTGACGCGCTCCCAGATGCGCCATCGTCCCAATAGTGGAAAAGTGACGCAATGTTTGTGCTTATAGTCTAAGTGTACGCTACCCACTTGGTCATTGTCCATCCCTGCTGTTCGCTATCTCAAGTCAATCGGCTACCCGCGTAGCCTCCAGATTGGGAGCCGTTGGGCCGATTCGAAACGGACTCAAGAGCGGGCGTCCAATTATCCTGACAATGCCGTCTTAAGAAAAATGCCCATGTTACGACTCGTGATGCATACAAACCGCCCCAACGACGCCCAACAAGATCCCACTGGCACACTCTGGTGACCCTCAAGGTCCGGAACCAACAACGATCGCAAACCATGGAGAATAGATAGATCGCCTTTGTCGTCAAAGATACCAAATCTCCCGGAACAGTCTCATTCAGGGGGGAAACCACGGGAATGACGTGGCCAATCCTGCAAATCGACCTTGATTCGGGTCTATACTCCTGCGAGTTCATTGTTCCATTGCAGGACGCGGCAGCGAGATATTCGCACATGACTGGCCGGAAGACTATTATCGGAATCCGACAGTGGGCTTCCTGCGCTGTTTGATCGTCTTCTTTCGTCTGCATCTTCAGGCGAGGAAGAGAGCTGCCTGAGATGTAGGAGTGTACTGTACGTACATACCGCAACGTACGTCAGAACGCATCTGGTCCTTTTCCTTGTGCTCCTACTGGGCGTGGGGTTTGCGTGGCCGTTCATAACCGTTCGCCCCCCTTTTCATTATTCATCTCGTTGGCGACTTTATAAGAAATGGGGAGATTCCCTCGAGGGGGAGGTTGTGCGCCTATCACTCGAGGATCCTAGGGGATGGTTCATTTACCATGTCGACCACAACTACTACGACTGAGACGTTGATTGCGAGGCTTGTTTGGGAGCCATGGTGAGTCCTCTCCTAGGAGTTTATCATTCTCTGTGCAATGTAGCTTCCCATTTGGGATGCTTGAGAGATCCATATGCTGATATAAGACCAGGGAGAACTGTGGCTGGAAGTCTCCCGCTGTTGAGCATCGAGGTGAGTCTGGTGTGGTTTCTTTAGAGTGATTGCGGGCAATGATTCTGGACGGCGGGGGAAATCGATGGCGGTCTCAATGGCGGTCTACACTCATGCTTGCTTGTCCTCCCTTCTCCTTCTCTCTCTTCTCTCTACACCGCCACACCGCCCGTCGATCCTCATTGGGGCCAACATTTCATCATTCATCATCCATTCATTATTGCTTTTTATTCTTCACCACTTTTGAACGCCAAGAACAACCTCCGACATTCCTCACGGACTCAATCTCACAATTTCAAGTCGGTCTTGCAACATCTGCGACTGATACATCCCTGGAAGCCCCGAAAACTAAGATTGCCCCTGGTTTACGGAGTACTACTTCTCTGCCTTGATCTCTCCGTCGTGGCCGTGTCTAATTCGTGTGTCCGACTTCGCTCCGACTGACTCACTCACGCGATCAAAATCGACCGCTTTTGCCCTGCGTCTCACCGCATTCCATCACATCATTTATCACACGTCACGTGAATTCAGCCGTTCATTGATCCCCCAGAATCATCTTGGTTTTAGAAACTTTGATTTTGTCTCGTTCTTGAAAAAAAAAAAATAAGAGAAAGGTTAAAAAACAAGGCTGAGACTTTTTGAGCTCCATTGCCAGGAGCAATGGATCATACAGTACTCGTCGAGTCTGATGGTACATCAGAGACCGATGATCAGACCAAGCTCTGGGAGTCCGATCCGCGCTCCGTGACGGCGGCCCATTTGGCCCAGGATGAGGCCGAACTTCCGGCTCCAGTCGAATGCGGTGCTATCGGCCACCGCGTACAAGCCAGTCGCTCGGTTCTGGCCCTCGTGCTCGACAAAGAATGTGTCTTTGCTGGTCTGCAGGGGGGAGACATTGTAGTACGTGGGAGCAAGTCTCCGAATATACCGATTGGTCTGCTATCTGTCACAAATGCTAAGACAAAATCTAGGCTTGGTCTTTGGAGACCTATGATCTTGTGCTCTCGGTGCACGCTCATCAGGAAAGTGTCCTTGATCTTTACTTGTCCGAAGACGGAGAGCTGCTCTTCTCCACGGGCGGAGATTCTGTTGTTAATGTAGTGCTTCACCCTTCCATGTTTTCTCTACTAGGAGCTTGCTGACCTCGGTAGGTATGGTCGACGAGGACATTCGACCGGCTGTATTCGATCCACTCCCACCACGATGTTGGGGATATCTTCGCGGTCGCTTATTCGTCGAGCTTGAAGACGATCTACTGCGGTGCTCAGAACACCAGCATTCAGGTCAGTCTCTTGCCCACCCTAGCCAACATGGGCTACTGATTGCTGAAATTCCTCAGTGGTGCGACATCTCCCAAGTCGATGCAGCTTCAGCACAGTCATCGGCGGCGCAGTTGTCCCGACGGACCCATCGCTTTTTCGACTCCAGGGGTCCGGATGGTTCGCGTGCGCCGCGGCCGGACGCAGGCGCCGAGGGACCTCATTCAGTCATGCAGGGTGGCCAAGTGCTGACTTTCAAACGCGACCACCATAAGCTCTTTGCCCACCACGGCTACGTATACACCATGCTTCTGGTCAAGGGCTTGATTGAGTCTTCTCCAGAGGAAGAGGTGCTTCTGACGGGTGCCGGCGATGGGGTGGTCAAGCTGTGGCGTTTGGAGCAGAACTCGGCCAACGCCGTTCCGTCCCCGATCGCGAAGCTGCAGAACGGGGATTCCGTTCTCTCCATCGCCGTTGATGGATCCTTCCTCTACTGTGGTTTGGCTGGAGGTGCGCTCAACATCTGGAACCTTGATTCGCGGCAGCTGGTCAAACGCATCGCCATGCACACCGGCGATCTGTGGGCCGTAGACATTATTCACGGCGTGGCGGTCTGTGGAGATTCCAACGGTGTGATCAAGGTAGGCGATCCCCTGACTAATTCTCTTGATGCTGCGGAACCGTCGACTGATTGCGTGCCGCAGAAATTCAACTCGCGGTTCGAGGAGATCGGCAGCTGGGTTGCTCACGGAGGGACTATGCTCGCGTCTGCTGCTGGTCAGTACAAAGATCGCTACATCTACGCGAGCGGCGGCAACGACAATACGGTCGGCATTTGGGACGTGACGGACGTGACTCGGGGAGGTCAAGCCGAAAAGCCGCCAATCAATAATGGTACGTCCCGCATGGCGGACTGGGGCGAGGTAGTTTGCTACGTGAGCTAATCTCGAACAGATGAAATGGTCAATTCCCTGGCCAAGTTTGTCGCCTACAAGACTGTGTCAGCCAGTCCCAAATTTGCGGTTGAATGCAACCAGGGTGCAGCGTTCCTTCGTCGTCACTGCATTTATCTCGGAGCGAAGACCAATCTATTGACCACGGGAGCCGACACAAATCCCATCGTGCATGCTCGATTTGATGCTACATCTCCAGACCAGGTCGATAAAACAATCTTATTCTACGGCCACTACGATGTTGTTGGGGCGGATGCGAATGCGGCGAAGTGGAAGACCGACCCGTATCAGCTCACTTCCATTGACGGCTTCCTCTATGGTCGCGGAGTGTCGGATAACAAGGGTCCCATTCTAGCGGCGCTTTATGCGGCCGCAGACCTTGCTCGACAGAAAGCACTCCGCTGTAACGTGGTTTTCCTGATTGAAGGCGAAGAAGAGTCGGGATCCCAGGGATTTCACGAAACAGTCCGCAAGCATAAGCCTCAAATCGGCCCCGTGGACTGGATCCTCTTGGCTAATAGTTACTGGCTTGATGACTATAACCCCTGCTTAACATATGGGCTGCGTGGTGTGGTCAACGCCAACCTGGTTGTGCAGAGCGACCATCCCGACCTGCACAGCGGTATCGACGGAAGTTCGTTACTGGACGAGCCACTGAAAGATCTCACCATGCTGCTGAGCACCTTTGTCGGACCCAAGGGCCGAATCAACCTGCCAGGGTTCCATGAGCCTGTTCTTCCCCTCACCGAGGCGGAGAAGCAGCGGTACACCGCAATCGCTGATATTCTCCTGCCTCACCACCCAGAAATCACCGACAGCGATGCGTTCATCAACTCGCTCATGCACCGCTGGCGTGAGCCCTCCCTGACGATCCACTCTATCGAGGTGCCCGGCAGCAGCAAGAGTGCTACGACGACGATCTCTCGCAAGGCCAAGGCCAGTTTATCGATCCGATTGGTCCCGAACCAGACCGCCGACGAAGTGGCGACCAATCTGACGCTCTTCGCGCAGGAGCATTTCGACAGTCTGGAGTCGCAGAACGACCTGACCGTCGAGATCACGGGTAAATCCGACCCCTGGCTGGGCGATCCGGACAACGAGATGTTCCAGACCTTGGCCGACGCGATCGCGGCCGCCTGGACTCCGGACACCACTACCCAGCGACACCAATACCCACCCATCCAAACGATCCCTCAACGCACCCTCGAGGCGACGAAGCGCGCCAAGGAGCAGCACCCGCGCCTCAAGCGGGCGGACTCGGAGGATAGCCTGGCCTCCCACATCGACCGCATCATCATGTCCACGACGGTCTCGTCGACCGGCAAGTCTGCGCACAAGCGGTCGTCGCTGAGCACCGCGGTCCCGACCTCCTCGACCCTAACCAGCAAGTCGGGCGCCACGACGCTCGCAGCCGACGAACCCGCAGCCCCGAAGCCCGCGCCGGAGGTGGCTGATCCCAGCCAGCCGTCTCGGGTGCGTCCCATCTACATCCGGGAGGGTGGCTCGATCCCCACCATCAGGTTCCTGGAGAAGGAGTTCTCCGCCCCCGCGGCGAATCTGCCTTGTGGACAGGCCAGCGACAACGCACATTTGTACAATGAACGGCTGCGGGTGGAGAATTTGTATAAAAGCCGGGAGATCTTTGGCTATGTATTTTCACGGTTGCCGGAGAGGCTGTAGATACCATATCTTGGAATGTTGAGTTGGGATTATGCGTTGAAAGAGCTGTTTTTGTGGTGGGGGTTGATTTCGGGTAGAGCATTAATATTACTAGCAATTTGACTTCCGAAAGGAGGGAGTTAATACTCGAGTACATTAATGAGTGGTGCGCGCAGGGTGCTGTATCTATCCATGATGCCCAGTGTGTGTAGTGTGTGTGTGTGTGGGATAAGTGGTAACGCCAGGCAGCGATATTTGATGCCTTGTCAGCACACCGGCCCGGTCGACTTGCAGCGGAAGAACATAACAGGTCGGTTCACGGTGATCTGCAGGGTCGGAGCACATGGACCAATTCGCGGTAGAAAACAAACAAGACCACTGTCTCGCATAGGACTTTTCAATTACATGGTGGTAAAGCCTCGACCACCATCAATCATCCCTATGGTATGATTGATGAGCTGGAAACTTGAATCAATGGGACGGCCACTCAGCCCCAGGCCCAGCCTTGACCCAAGATGCAACCGAGGCTTTGGTTGTTGACCCCACGGGGTAAGCGAGGACGCGAGGAAGCGAGGAAGCGAGTCAACCAAGGAAAATTATTAATGAAGAATAGCACCGGTGAGAACGGGAATTGATTAGCCAGGAAGTGGATAGAGTGAGGAACGGGTGAGCCTTTCTCCGCATTTCTTGGCTGTTCTCCAACCGCTTTGCCGGGCTCTTCTTTTCCACCGATCGCTTCTTTGGGTGCTTTTGCTGTTCGCTCGCTCGCGCCCGCCCGCCTGCCTCTTTCTTCCCCCACATCTTTTCTCTCTCTCCAACCCAGCCCAACCCAGCTCACCCACACACTTCTCCTCTTCTCCCACCTCTCCCTCCCTCCCTCCTCCACCTGGTATTTTTCTCTTTTCTCTTCTTCACCTTCTTCACCTCTGAACTTCAAACCAGCTTGTGTGCGACCATTGCCAATTCTTCTCATCCTTCGCCTATACACCACAACTCTATCCGGTCTACCCCTCTGTCGCATCTTCCTCGCTTTTCGCACCGACCCCCCATGGCCTAAACCCCCCGTCCTATTCCTCCCACACCCTGTCGGTTCCTGCATCACATCCTCCCAAGTCATGCGCCACTCCGTCAGAGATCACATCCTCAATATAACGCCCACTCTCCCCCGTTATAATTCCCCCGTGGACTCGGATCAAACCCCGCCACCGCTATAATGTCCGTGATCGTGAAGCCACCCAAGCGCAAACTAGATGACCTCGACGGTCCCATCGCACAGAACCACCGGCGTTTGTCGCATAGCCCGTATGTCTCCAGTGGCTCCCAATCCGTCGATCCAGCCTACGGAGATGAGACTCCGAGGGAAAGAGTACACAGTCTCCCCGGAGACAACCCAGAGGCCTCACATTGGTTTGCCCCTTCTCTGCGGGGGGTTACCTCTAGCCGAGGGTCTCCCACGGCCTTCGAAAGCGCCACCCAGGTGCCCCGGAAGTTCGCGCGGAACTCATCCATCGTGCTGATCGGCATCCGAGGAACCGGCAAATCCAGTTTGGCGGTGATACTGGCAGCCACGTCGGGGCGGAGGCTGATCGACGCGGACCGGTACTTCCAGCAGGTCACCGGTCGGTCGCGTGCGGCGTACAAAAAGGAATTTGAATTGGTGGAATATCGACAGCAGGAAGCCCGAGTGATGGAATCGATGCTGGCAGACCATCAGGAAGGGTGCGTGATTGCCTGCGGGCCGGGTTCTATGGAGCGCAGTGGGCAGATGCTGCTCCGTGAGTACGCCAGAACCCATCCGGTGATCTATCTCCTCCGGGACGCAGAAAGCATCCAGTCTTATCTGAAGGCGTGGAATGTCGACAAAGTCCGTCGGTTCCTCGGCCTAGCGGGGCCGATCTATCGGGCGTGTTCCAACCTGGAGTTCTTTAACGTGTCGGAGAAAGGCATGGCGGAGCATGCGGCCGCCAAGGAAGGTAACCACGCTCAGTTGGAGCTGGAACTGGACCAGCGCTTCCAGGCTATCACGCCCTTCCTGACTTTAAAACGATTGCAGCTCGACTTTCTCCGGTTTATTGCGTTTGCTACGGGCGATGCCAATGACTTGAGCAGTCTGAATGCGTCCTTCCCGCTGTCCATGCAAGCGATCGAGTCGCGGGCGTTTACTTACGCTGTGACAGTGCCGATTTCTTCCTTGTTGGAGCGGGACCTGGACATCGAAGACCTTGAGTCTACATCTGATGCATTCGAACTCAAGATTGACATCACGGAACCGCCCTCCTCGCGACTAGCTGTGGACTCCGGAATCGCCGACAAGATCAGCCATGCGGTCGCAAACATTCGACGAAATACTGTCGTTCCACTCGTATATCACGTGGAAAGTAGTGTAGGCTTCAGTAGCCAGAATGGTGAGCACAACGAACACTCGCGTCGGCCCACCAACGAGTATTTGAACCTTATCCAGCATGGGCTGCGCCTGGCTCCGGAATTCGTGACGGTCGACCTGTCGTATAGCGACGACCTCTTGTCTCAAATCATCGCGTCGAAGGGCTCGAGCCGGGTGATCGGCCATTATACTGCGGCTCAGCCTCCGCCAAGGGGATGGGACGACCCGACATACATGAATCTTTACGAGCGAGCAAAACGGCTGGGCTGTGATCTAGTACGATTGACTCAGCCGGCGACCTCCATAGATGACAATTTTGCAGTTCAAAGGTTTCGCGACTCCTTCAAGTCGCTTCCGACTTCTCTACCTCTTATAGCATACAACTCAGGACTGCTGGGCCGGTTGTCTTGTTGTTTCAACCCGATCTTGACGCCTGTGACACATCAGTCTCTTCTCTCTGAAACACAACTCAAAGGGCTTCCCTGTATCACGTTGCGTGAAGCCCAGGAAGCTCTCTACTCCTCCTTCACTCTGGACCCTATGCAGTTCTTCCTGTTCGGCGGCAACGTCACCTACAGTCTGTCGCCAATCATGCACAATGCGGCGTACAATCTCTGTGGCATGCCGCATGTCTACCGAACCCACCAGTCATCTACCTTGCGTGGACTGAATGATCTGGTCTCCAATCCACACTTTGGCGGCACCAGTGTCGCCTTGCCGTACAAGACAGAAGTAATTCCCCTCCTCCATTCGATGTCTCCTCACGCCCGCGCCATCGGTGCTGTGAACACCTTGGTACCGATTCGGGAGGGCGACGAAAAGACTCTGGATGGCGATGGTTCCCCTTTGCTTATGGGCAAGAGCCGCGCGGGCCCCGTGAAAGCTTTGCATGGAGATAACACTGACTGGATTGGCATTGGTAATTGCTTCCGACGAGGCCTATCCCCTGCGAATGCCATTCGACCTCTGTCCACCGGGTTGGTTATAGGTGCAGGTGGTATGGCTCGCGCTGCCGTCTACGCCATGATTCATCTGGGGGTGCAGAACATCTTTGTGTTCAACCGCACCGCTGCCAATGCGGAGAAGCTAGCCCGGCACTACAACCAACAAAACCTGCGGTCGCCCGGCCGAGCCGGGTCAACGACCCGCCCTCATGTTCATGTTCTACGATCGCAACAAGACAGCTGGCCTGTCAATTACAAGCAACCGACCGTCATCTGCTCTTGCATTCCCACCCACAGCATCGGAGGGGAACCGGCGCCCAATAATGAGATCCCGTCCCAGTGGCTGGAGAGCCCGACGGGTGGTGTAGTTGTCGAAGTAAGTCTTGGTCTCGCAATTCAATCGCGCAAACACGATATCCCGCAAGCAGAACTGACATTTTCTGGTTAGTTGGCCTACAAATCCCTCAACACTCCGCTAATCAAGCAGATCCGCGCGCTCTCCCACCGCGGCTGGGTGGCATTGGATGGGTTGGATGTTCTCCCGGAGCAAGGATTCGCCCAGTTTGAATTGTTCACGGGCCGCCGTGCGCCTCGACGGTTGATGCGCACGGTGGTGTTGAAGGAATACAAGGAGGAAGAAGGGCAATACGACCCGCAAGCCATCCAGAATCGGCTTGAGAATCTGAAGGGGCAACCCACTTGATGATGATGAGGTCGGCCGTATCGCCGCTGTAATGTGATCGATGTGATGTCGAAATCTTTAGGCTCAATGAGACATGACTTCTCAGACACTACTAGTTGACGACCTCTCACATATGTAATCCACAAAATCGAAAGTGCCCGTCCGCCCATTGAAATAGACCCCCCTTTGTCGCCGCCCGGTGAATGTCCGACTCACATGGTCCGTGAAGGCGTTGTAGGCGTCGACAAGGACACTGCCGATGCCGGTGGATCCGTTGTCGTTGTCGTTGGCGTAGCTGCCGCCGAGTTTGTCCGGGGACTCATCCCGCCACTCATCCCGCCGCTTGCTCCGGCGCCAGCTCTCCCGGCACCGGCTCGCGGTGTAAAGGAGTAGTTCTGAGGCCAGTGACTCGATGAGCCCTGAGTACTAGGGAAGCGACCCCACCACGTCATGCTGCAGAGCTGAGCTCAGTCGCTAATCCGCAATCGCATGGTGGCCGAGTGAAGCTGCCACTGCAGCTGGATTTGGTCGACCCCTGTTTCCTCCTCACGAGCTCCGAGTTCCTATGAAAAGATGGAAGCGACAGTGGGTGTTTGCACTAGTGCTGCCCTAGCTCAATCGTGCAAATCACTCAAGTGGGCTCGAGGTTTGCAGATAGGAAGAAGAGCGCCAGTGCTCGCGTGCAATTTACCGGTACACCCCTATAGAGAGCCATTCAGGGTCAAATACATCATTTCTACTAGATACTGTAAAGGACTGGGAGTCTTCTCATACAATGCTGCGAGTCAATCGGGCGAGCAAAGCTCGACTAGGTGTTGAGGTTCTCGGAAGATAACCCCGAAGCTGCAGATTCGGGTGCCTGTGGGGCTTTTAGGGCTTGCCCAAATGTGTACTCAGGTAGATACGGAGAACTACTCCACGTGTGGTCGATCGGTATGAAGTAGAATGTTGTGGCATGCGTGATTCCAATCCCGAAAAATTCTTGCTTTTTTGATTGTAGGCATCCTATTTCTTCATTTTTTCCTTTCCACTCTAGGCTACCTACTCTCACGATCATAACACACGTGATCATTTTCCCACGATATGTTCAGGCAGCCCTCTGCGTCACACCCGTACTATTGGTCCTAGGACATACGGCTCCCACATGAGGCGTATTACTGCAGAAAAGCTCCACATAACCATATTACACTCTCAATTATGTAATTATTTTTAGCATCTGCTTGACCCCGAAACAGAATGACGCGATCTTTATCTCCCTATCAAGAGATTAGTCAGCCGAACAAGCCGAATCTGACGATAAGGAAATTTGGAGCATAAACAACCCACCCCCCCACCCCGCAATTCCCCTCCAGTGTCTCCTCTACCTGACGCTCGATTGCACTATCCTCCCATCTAACACAAGCAAAACCCCATCCTCACAATGCCCACCTTTCCGCTAGTCGTCCTCCCGCGTCCCGGGACCACAATCCCCGAGCCAGCGTCCTCCATCCCCGCCCCCAGCGAAGCAGCCTTCACCTCCACCTTCGGCACCATCCTGCCCCAAGCCTCCTACCTCCAGACCCCAGCCGGCCAAGCAGCCTACTACTCCATCCCCCCAACAACCACTACTCCAGGACGCGGGCCCACAAGAATCCTCTTCGTGCACGGCGTCCAAACCAGCGCGATAGGCATGGCCCCGCTGGCGCGCGCCCTGGCCGCGCGCTTCCCCGCCGCGCACTGCGTCCTCTTCGACCACTGGGGCCACGGCCTCTCCGCGACGCCGCGGCAGCCGCACGCGCCGCCCCTCTTCCACGACCTCATTTCAGCCGTGCTCGACCACCTGCGCTGGCCCTCCGCCCATTTTGTGGGTTACTCCTTCGGCGGCGCCACCACCGCCACCTTCGCCGCCCGGTTTCCCGAACGGGTGGAGAGTATGGTCCTCGTCGCGCCGGCGGGGCTGCTCCGCGCCGCGCAATTTACCGAGCAGCAGCGGGGGCTTTTGAAGGGGGGCAATGGCGACGAGGCTGTCGAGCGGCGGGCCCGGGACTGGATCCTGGAGTGGTTGGAGGGCGGGCCGTTGGTGGTGCCGGCGGATTGGGAGCCGAGGGTCGCCCGAGGCGAGGTCGTGGCGCAGATGGTGCGCAAGTGGCAGATGGAGGAGCATCCGGGCCATGCGGCCAGCGTGGTGGGCATCTTTCGGGATGGTGGGGTCATGGATATGCATGACACCTTTAGAGTGGCGGCGGAGAAGGGGATTCCGGCGCGGTGTGTGTTGGGCCAGTTGGATGATTTGTGTACCGTGCAGGAGTTGGGGGAGCTGGGGTTTGGGGATGTGCATGTCGTGCAGGGGGTGGGGCATGGGGTGGTTAGGGAGAGGGTGTCGGAGGTGGCGGGGTTAGTGGCGGAGTTTTGGGAGAGGTAAGGGCTGGTGGTTAGGGTTCTAAAGTTGGGGATATGAGGCGAGCTGTTTGGTAGAGGTAGGTCGTGGATGCGTTTGGAGGTGGGACGTGGGATTAGTTGGGTGGACTGTTCATACTATGTACTAGATTTGTCACGTTGTGTAGAGTTATGAAGATGTTGAGAGCTTGGTAGGGCTTGTTCTCTTCTAAACTGCTAATCAAGGGGAGGAAAGCAGATAGGGCAAAATCACCACGCGCTCGATAGTCTGAAAAAGGGCGCAGAACTTTACAGTGATGGATTGTCGAGAAGTGTTTATGCTTACTATTAATGGGCTCGAAGGTACTCCGCGGCTCAGAACTTTGGAATTAGCTTGGAGAATCATTGGAAATGCTTTCAGTAGAGGGGACCGGGGACTGGTTAGAGAAGGGTGGCGATGTGGACTTTGCCTCTTTCGCTTGTCATAGATCCTGGCTCTTCTGTCTTAAGGGGTGATATCGGATCTGGACCCGACCTTCGTCATCGAATCGTCTACGATAAGAGAATAGCAATTCCTTTTCCAAAGCCCTAGGCTTCTGGTCTTTATGCCAACAAGCGAAACTGGTGATATAAATCTTCGCAGTACCTTGGTCTATGATCCACTTCCAAGACCACGATCAGATAATTTGTATCTGATACAAAGTAAAGATTACATGATCCAATTTACTGTCAACAACTTGGGCAGAGATACTCATCAAGAGATCCTAGTGTTACATTGAAAGTTCTGTATGCGCTGGGACTTTCCCACTTTCCTCCTGTTTCCCTGTCTCCATCACGGCAAAACCACATCTAGCCTCGAGCTGCCTGGCTTGCTAAGAGTCTAAAATTTTCTGGAATTATCCCTAAAATAGGTATTTGGATGACCAGGCTCCGAAACTATTCGTCTTGCGAATATCTTTCATGGGTCTCATACGTGGTACGCATGACGCACATTTGAGAGCACCCGACCCTGACCCTGGTGCACCTCTACCTGAAAGGCCTCAAACGGATACCACTCCCCATCCACACTGATGCACCCCTCCTTCTCCTTGGGGATAAGACGGTACGCCGAGACCTTCCGCATGTGCACGTCGCCGAGCTCGAAGCATTTCCCCTGCGGCAGCTTGACGGTAGCATCGAGGGCACCTACAATCCCAATCGTGTCAAACACCGTCATGACATCCAAGAGCCCGTCGCTGGGTAACGCGGCCGGGAAGAAGTTCGTGTCCTTGGCCACAATCGCCATGTTACTGGCGTAGAAGCTCGACAACCCCTCCCCGGAGACCACCTCCCAGTCCTCCGGGATATCGTCGTGCACGGTACCATACTTCAGCGGCAAGCCACTCGACCCCGCCCCTAATTCTTCAGTCAACACATCCGACGACGCCAATGGCTGACCCCTCGCACGTTCATAATACTCCTGGATCTCCGCCTTATCCCCCATGACCGTCTTGAAAGCCAGCTCACAGGGATACGCCGTCCGCTGCGCAATCGTCGTCAAAACGCCATAGATAAAGCGATGATCGCCCATCCACCGCAAATGCTCCGTCTTGAGGTCCGAGTCCGCCAGCACCCCCAAAGACTGCGACAGAAAGGATACCGTATGGCGATCGCCCTGGGTGATCGAGAGCAAATCCAGGGGCATTGATACGCCTTTCAAAATCGCCAGCGCCGCCTGCGCGACATCATCTGTCCCGAACAGATTCCACGCCATCGCATTACCGGATCCGCAGGGGATCATGGCGACAGCCATCGTGGTCAGCGCCCTGACGGCATCCGGCCGACGGGCCAGCCCGTTGAACGCCTCGTGCGGCAGCCCGTCGCCTGAACAGCACACGATCGCGTCGTAGGCGTCGAGGTCGATCCGCTCGGCGATCTCGCTGGCGTGGCCCTTGTACCGCGTCTCCTCGACGTCGAAGTGGCAGTGCGCCGCGGCGAGGATGGGCGCCGCGAGATCACGGAATTTCGTCACCGCGCCGGAGCAGAACGGGTTGATGATTACCTTGAGGCGTTTGAAGGGTTGCGCGGGGCGGTAGGCGCGGGCCAGAAGGTGCGACGTCCAGGTGGTGGCCTGCGCGTGCTCCTCGGGGCGGACGCGGTAGTGGATGATGTCGAGCTTGTTGCCGTCGACGTAGGTGATTGTGAGGTTATTGGTGGTGACTGCTGCGTTTATGATGCCGTAGAGGTCGAGTTTGTAGTTGGGTTGGTGTTCTGGGAGATGGTTAGTGGGGGTATGTTTGTTGGGGTTAGTGGATAGAAGGAGCAGGGGGTGGCTCGGGGGTTAGGGTACGGTTTGTTCTGGGCGATGCGATACATACCTCGTTGGGATATTAACCCGCAGCAGTATTTCTTGGTTCTTGTCCGTCCGCGGGAGGAGGGACGGTTATCTTAGGAAGGAGACTGGGTCAGCTTGGATACTGTGGAATGACACTGCGAGCCTGGGAAATCATACCGGTCACGGTGACGAATTCATCTTCTAGTAACAGAGTCACTGACTGGTCTACTTTGATTGTGGTGGGGGGTTCAGGTGGATTCATTGCGTGGTGGGAAGAAGGCGTTAGTATGTTTGATTGTTAATGTAGGTATTAGTAGAAAACCGGATATTACATTCAACAGAGATGAAGTAAAGATTAGTCTAGTGTTTGCTGTGATCGGGGAAGCTCTAGGGCAATTGAAAGTAAAGCTTGTTGACATGACAGTTTGGATCAGGGAGGAAAAGTCCGTGACAGTTGCCACGTAAGACTATACCCGGATGGGGTTAGTGGATGTGCTCCGTAGGGGGGATTCCCATCCGAGCATTCCGAGATACTCAATTGATATGATGCAGGAATGTACTGCAGCAGGAGGCTTCGTGTTTGCTTGCAAGGACCTAGCCTATCTAGTATCATCATTGCTCGTAGCTTGACCGTCTAGTGGCCGGCTTTTCTACTCAGACCGTCCCGATAAAAATCACTATATATACATTATTTCTAAACTGGTACTCCCCAATAGAAAAAATCTCTAGCCAAATTTCACTGGCACCTTGGAGCCTCAAAAGACGTAGTAAATGTTCTAGCTACAGAGTTTTCCTTAAACTAAGGAATTGTAGTACGCAGCGTGCTTAGAACGGCGGGCACTTAAAGAAGCGGGTGCTTAAGAAGCGGGATGGAAGAGGCGAGAAAACTTGCACTGTTGCTCGATGGGGCGGTTGGTAAGGTATGCTTCTGGCAGAGCTGATGTGATCGCATACTAGCACGACTAGGTTACTGAAGCTGAGGTGATCCCCTTCAGATGGAACTGAGACTACACAAGAATCGGACTGTCCCTTGTTGCACTCTCTGCTCTATCGGCATCTGACAACACACACACATGAAGGCAACCTTCTCACTGTTGCTCAACCATCTCTCACCGAATAGAACCCAATCATGCGCCAATACCACGAGTGAAAGGAATCCAGAGTCTCCGAGTGAAGCGGTGCCCACCACTTGTCATGCAACACAGCATAGCCTGCCCAGAGATCGTCCGGCCACGGCCACTGCACATTCCACGACAGATCCAGCCGCGTCCAGGGCATCGGACCATCAGCTGCAAAGACGACGTTCACAGGTCTCTGGTCAGCGATACTACTCTCAAAGCTTTCCGGCACCGCCAGCATGGCGGCAAAATAGTCGAAGACCTCGAGTGACGGCTGCAACATCAGAAAGCCCACGTTCAGAGTCTCCCAGTCATAGAAGTCTTCTGGCACGCGCGCTGGGCGTGCTGTATGATTGAGGCGCAGCTGCGAGAGACCGGCCAGCACGTATGACTCCGGCAATGGTAGGACCCTCTCACCCACATGCACCGACGTGGAGAGGGCAGTCTTCGGCTGGAGCTCTGGAAGGTCCCAGACAGCGTCGTTAGACCGAATCAAGACCGAGTCCGCATCTAGCAGCAGAATGCGATCGTACTGCACCATCTGCCACAGCCGTAGGCGCGTGAGTACATGAGCCCATCGCGCATCCTTGAAGCGCGTCCAGTCGGCCTTCAGTTCCGGGAGATCGATCACCTGCGCGCCGTCGCGTCGCAGGCAGTCCCGCTTGCTTTCATCCACCCCCTCGTGGACGAAGACCACGAAATCCAGGTTGAGTTTGGTGCGTGTTTAGGGGGCGTGTAGGATTTGGTAGGCGAGAATCCGGACGGCATCGAAGTAGGATCACTTGAATTCTTGTATCTGGAGAACCAGAAGTTTTGGAATTCCGTTGGGGGGTTCAGATAGGCGGCGTAAATGGTTCTTTGCGTTGGTGAAGCAGCTCTATCATTGGCACGCTGCCAGGGAAGGATTCCGGATGACCACCATGGTGAGAGGAGCGCAATACCCACAAGACGGATGGGGATGCTGACAAGGTGCTTCATGGTCGTGAATATATGCTTGGAAGCAATATGCTCCTTTTCTTTCTTATGAATGCAATGCTCTATCGGAATTTATTCTTCCCAGAAGTGGTGTGGAGATCACCTTGAGATGAAACGTAGTGCTTATGCATGTACGATTTATCAGAGTAGCGGACTGTGCATTGCACCAAAGCAATCGAAGGTATTAATGCGCACAGGATGCTGTCTCATTCATGAGAAGGACTCACAGATAACTCTCGAAGCTCCACCAAGCTGAGTTTCATTCTTCGGCAAACTCCCCAGTGCGAGATAGGGGCTAGGCCATGAATACTAGAGTTTCGTAACACTCGACCTATCGGAATGAGATCGCGTCACACGATCGACGTTCGCAGTTTGTCGATCGCAGCTTGAAGATCGTGATTTACACATCCAACGTGTCATAATCTCCAAAATTCCCAATTTGCACTGTGACATCAACACCCGATTGAAATGCAAGATGATCCAATGCAGATGGGGAGACCGACTACTCACATCAGTTCAGTCAGATTGACCAGTCATAATTACGAGACTATATATTCAGTGATGGGCGCCTCGGTATGCTGGGCAGTTATTCATCTTTCTGTTCATGTCCAACCCGGTCTCGAGACTTTGACTCGTCTGAGTCTCACTTCCAAGCGCACTGACATTGCATGAGACGAGTGGCAATTCATTCGAAGTAGCTCCCAACACAGCTAGTGTATCTTGCTTAAGTCGGAAGTAGAGCGAAGGTTAACGTTAAGAGCATCAGAGCATCCTGATCTGGCCGGTAGCGACTTGAGCCTTTGAAAACATTCATCATGACACTCAAGGAGGGTGCAGATAGGAAAGAGCCGGATATCAAAAGCCGAACACGAAATCTGTATGCAATCTTGGACTATAATTGGGCCATTTTCCCTTGCACAGCGGCAATCTTATTCCTGGGTGAGCCCGACCTTGATCTTGTCAATGGGCCTCCTCCACTGACAGAAGTGCAGATAGGCCTTTATGTCGTTGTGCCTGACGCCCGGTGGACACCAGACTGCACCGTACTCGCCATGATTCTGGGTCCATTCCTGCTGTTCCAGCTCCCGCCATACTACATCCTCTGGGGACTCTGCCTCCTCATACGACCCTTCGCGTATGCGAAATCATCTAAAAAGCGTCCATTCCGCAGTCTGAAAGTATGTCTTGTCACAAAGGCGACAAATGTGCAGGTAGAGTCACCGATGCCACCGGGTTTTCGAGGGGCATGCTAATGCAGGAGTCACTGACAGTAATCCACACCGCTCAGCACTGGAATCGGCTCAGCAAGAGGGATCGCATCAGCTTTCACGTGGTCGTTGACTCAGTGCCAAACCCTTTCGTAGGCATGCTCCCTGACTTTGTGGAGCTGCTGGAGGTACCGTCTTCGTTTCGGCCAGATCACGCAAGGCACAAAGCGAGAGTGCTAGAGTGGTGCCGACGGCACTGGCGATTGTCAGAAGAGAACTGGGTCCTGCATCTCGACGAGGAGACGGAGATTACGGAGGAGGTAATGAGTTCGTGCTTGGAATTCATTGAGCGGGGCGCCGATGATATTGGCATGGTGAGATCCGCAGATGCTTTGCGAAAACTTGATGCTGAATCATGGCTGCTCAGGGAACAATCTTCTACAACGCCCACAATCACTGGAAGAACCCCCTCCTGACCATAGCCGAGGCCCTCCGAGTTGCAGAGGACCTTGGCCGGTTCCAGCTGCCGGTCCGGCTCTTTCAACGTCCATTGCTCGGCTGGATGCACGGCAGCTTTATTTTGATCAATGAGCAGGCGGAGAATGCAGTCACCTGGGATACAGATTGTCTGGCTGAGGACTTTTGGTTCGCGTACCATGTGAGTCGATCAATCGTTCTTTCAAGCACGACAATTCATGGATGGGGTTGACTAATGAGACAATGTGGATTGCAAAGGCTGCAAAACAAGGGTTCAAAACGGGCTGGATCCATGCCGTCGCACGCGAACAGCCCCCGGAGAGCCTGGAGGATCTCGTCCGACAACGCCGGATATGGTACAGCGGAATCATGTCCGTTCCGGACTGGTCGGTCAGACTGGCATTGGCAATTCCGATGCTTGAGACTTTTGTGCATTTGGGCTTGTAAGTGTCCGCCTAGATTGCAGTGCCATGGTTGACTAAGAATGACTCGGTTCAGGGCTATCTACATCGCTTGTGGCTGGAGGGTATCGCTATCGCATCATGCCTTTGTTTGGCTAACTTGGAACCTCTCTGTTCATCTTCATGGGCGCGTGGTGGGGTGTGTGATTCAGGATCTCGATCATCCTGGAACAACAGCGACGGAGTTAATATGGCATGTGATTCTGGTTGTGTTGCTGGGCCCGGTGGTAGATCTGATCCAGTCGTTAGCTTTCTGCTTGTCTCTGGCTTGGCCAGCGAGAGATTTTGCGGTGATCAAGAAGTGCTGAGAATCGAGACCCTCATCGGTCGGAAACAAATAGTCTCTCTGACAGCACTCTTCAGGCCGAAATGCATGAAGAGGGGGAGAAAACAAGCAATCATAATGACCACGATCCACAACGGGAACCTCGATCTCGTTCGCAGAGGCTGATCAAATCCCAGCTTTGTGTAAGTGAGGTTCCAGTCGTACCAATTTGGCGACCTGCAGGTGTAGAAGTTGTAGAACTGGGAGAATCTGCAGGCAATCAGCAGAGCGGGCGTGGCTCAAGAGGGGAAGATCCACGACTTACGGGTATATCATCGAGTTCCATCCATTTGGATCGATGTACCAGTTGGTGCAGCCGCCCTTGGCCCAAATCGAGTCTCTCGAAGCTAGCTGAACCTTCTGGGTCCACCGCAGGCACGCCTCCTCTCTGACCTCCAGTGCTGCAACTTTACCTTCCAGTACAGGCTCGGCGACTTGCAGGATATAGTTGATGGAGTTCTCAATGCCGGCCATGACACTAGCGTGCCCAACTGAGGAATTCGGACCGCAGATGAAAAAAAGGTTGGGGAAATGGTCCATTGCGACACCTAGATACCCTTGTGGTCCTCCCCGTGCAGTCCATATGTTATGGAGGTCGGCTTCATCTCTCCCCGTGATGCGCATAGACGAGAGGAGATTTGCACCTGGGCTATATCCTGTCGCTAGAATGAGTACATCAGTGGGAACGCTGACTTCCTGGCCGCCGTGTTCAAGTATTACTGAGGAGCGCTCGAACCGCTTGATAGGCGAGTTATGAAGGCGAAACCTTGGTTCATGTAGGCAGTCAAACCAGCCTGGATCGAGGATTAGTCTCTTACACCCGACCGCGTATCGTGGCGTGAGCATGCTATGATACTCCTCAGGAGCCCGCTGGCTAACATAGTGCGTGAGTCTCCGTTGAAGCCATCTATGTAGCTTGCCTCCCTTGGGATGCGGCCAATAGAAGGTGAAGTGGAACAGTTCGTAGATGCTGAGAAGCACGAGACGCGCCAACCAGGCGCCTAGTCTGTTCCTGGTAATTAATGGCATGCATTGATTCCATAATTCCAAAACTCTACCAGAGTAAGGATCCGCAGTGACCCAGTGAGGCGAGCGGACAATTTGGGTGACAAATCCTGGCCCAATCGTGCTCCAGGGAAGCAACAGTTGCGGCACGAGCTGCGCAGCACTGCATCCCCCACCCACAACCGTGACGTCTTTGCCCATCAAGGGAACAGAGTCATCCCACTGCGCCGTGTGCATTGTATGACCCTGAAATGTCTCGATGCCTGGGATATCTCTCAATATCGACATGTCGGGAGTTCCGACCTTGCCGACTGCGCTGATCACGATTTTGGCCCTTACAGTGTTTCGCCTCTGCGGTGTGACGACTGTTGCCCGCCATTCATTCTGAGTGGCAACCCACTTCAACTCCGTGACGGCGCTATCAAATTGGATCTTATCTAGAAATTTGTACTGCTCGCAAACCGCATGCAGGTAGGCGTACATCTCCTTGCCAGTGGCCTTGGGACCCAACCAGTTTGTCTTGGGAGCGAAAGAGTAAGAGTAGAGTGGTGTGGGTCTAGCTAGTCGGTTAGGTCCTGTAGGAAGGCAGCTTAAGTGAAAGGCTTTTGACTTGAGACTCACGAGTCAGTAGCTACGCCGGGGTACCGGTGACTCCACCATGTTCCCTTTCTTATGTCAGCGTGATAAAGAAATGAGCATGCAACGCCATGAACTGAAGACGTACACCAATTCCGCCCTGACCCTCGAAAATCATGAATTGATCAAACCTTAATTTGCGTTGCAGTTGGCACGCACATCCGATGCCAGATATCCCAGCTCCGATGATAATAACCGGGTAGTAAAGGCCACCAACAGGGTTATTGGTAATATCTGGCATTGTGACTCGCGAGAACAGAACACAGGCTGCAGCGACAGAATGCTAGAGACAAGCCTGGAGCCATTAGAGAAGGGAAATCGCGGTATTAATCAGGCCATGGAGGCGCCACCGATGATCTGCAGGGCGAAGCAAGGGGGCGGGGGGAACATATAGGTTGCAGCCCCTGTCAGTCTTCGGTGCAACCTCTTGCTCTCTAGGATAAAAGGCAACCTGCTATCTTCTTTTCCTCATCTCTTCGGAAGTCATGGCGGCTCATGGCACAATGCAGAAGCACGAAGTCAGATCTGATTGGGACATCATAATCGTTGGGGCTGGCTTGGCCGGCATTAACATGGCCTATCGGGTTCAAAACCAGCTGCCTCACTGTCGATATCTTGTTATCGAAAGTAAGAGCACACTAGGCGGCACCTGGGACACGTTTCATTATCCTGGCCTCCGCGCAGATTCCGATATCTATACTTACTCGTATACTTGGTTTCCATGGAATCAGGAGACCAAACACCCCGATCGGGAATCAATCTCACGATATTTGGCCGCCGCTGCCAGCTCGTTTCGGCTTTGGAACAACATTCTTTTCAATCACAAACTACATTCGGCACATTGGTCAAGCAGCTTGCGCCAATGGGAGCTGGTATGCCATCATCATCACGAAGCACCACCCTCCGCTGTGGGACTCTGCACAAAATTTGTCATCTTCTGCACTGGCATATTTGACCACAACGAGGCCCGACCAGCTGAGATTGCAGGGTTGAATTCATTTGCAGGCCCAGTGGTACATCCCCAGTTCTGGCCCGACGACCTGGACCATTCGGGTAAACATATCTTACTAATTGGTAGCGGAGCAACGGCCATGACATTACTCCCGGAGCTTGCCCATACTGCTGCATCGGTGACACTGGTCCAGCGAAGTCCAGGTTACCTCCTTACTCTTCCCGAGAGACGGCATCGGAAGAACGGAAGTTGGCACTGGATCCATCACCTTAAATGGGTCCTCTGGATGATCGTTCTCAAACAGTTTTTCCAGCTCTGTCACTGGTTCCCGGGACTGATGAAGCGAATATGCCTTTCCTGGGCCCGATGGCAGCTTCCAGTCCATGTTTCCTTTGACCCTCATTTTATCCCCGCATACAACCCGTGGGAGCAACGGCCCAATGTCTGTTTTGGATGGGATATGTTCCGAGCCTTGAAAGGTGGACGAGCGCTGGTAGAGACAGGCCGCATCGCCAATGTCGACCGACATGGCATTAGGCTTCAGTCTGGGAAGTATCTGCAGGGCGATATCATTGTGACTGCTACGGGACTTAAGCTACAATTTGCAGGCGGGGCAAGGATCCTTGTGGATGAAACCGAGATCGATCTTGGGCAAAGGCTTGCTTGGAATGGCGCCATGGTCCAAGATATTCCAAATATGGGCTTTGTCGCTGGGTATTCGCACACGTCGTGGACGTTGGGGGCTGACATGCGAGCACAGCTGATCTGTCGCGTTATTCGAGAGATGGAGAAGAACGGTGTGCCTGCTATGGTACCTCGCTTCAAAGGGAGCGTGCAGGCCATTGCCCAGCGGCCTGTATTTTTGAAGTCATCCTATATCTTGGCTCAAGAACAATGTCTCCCAAGGGTGGGCCGCGATGGGCCCTGGAAAGCGAGGAACACCTATCTGACCGACTACCTCTTTAAAAGATACAGTCGAAGAGTACTTGAAGGACTTGAATGTGTATAAAGCAGTGAAACTCGGATTGCATGGATTGTCAAAATGAATATCAAGAACAACATGGTTAGAGATAGGAGGTAGGAGGTAGTGTAGTGATTCAAAGTACAAGGTAGTTCGGTCCACAGGCTCAGTTTGCATTGGCTATTCCCTAATCAGGCAGGTGGTCATGTGCCCGGGCTCGGGGCCTAAGGCCACCACGCATTCATCCAACGGCCACAACAGTTCATTCATGCTCCTATTACCTATTTTCTCTCCCCATCTACTGCGACTTGCTTTCCATCAACTTTCCTCGCGTCTACTTCTCGATACTTTCTGTTTCTCTACTCGGCACAGAATACCTCTCTTTGAGTGTAGCCACGCACACGCGACTGAGCCCTCCAACCGTGCCCGCCTTCGAAATCTCAGTCAGACTGATTTCCATTCCGAGTTGCCGGCGAAACCAATTTCGAATCTCGATCGACATCAATGAGTCAATTGCAATGTTGGCCATGTCGTCGTTCTCCTTGCCGTCGCGAGACATATGAGCGTTGATCAGATTGCACAGCTCGGACATGATACGTAGTTCTGTGGCAGGATCATCTAACAGATCTGGGTTACTCTGTATTTCAGAGAAAAGCCCTTTCAGGTCTGTCTCATCTGTTTCCTTATCTCGTCCAGCTTGCCCATGCAGGTTCTCATACATCGAAAACCTGATATCGGGTCCCCACAAGGGAGTCACGCCTGGCGCCGAGAGGGGCCTGACGGAGCTCACTCCGACCATCATCACACTCGAAACCATGTTGGCGGGATCTGGTGGCAACCGGCAAGATAGAATGGCTGCATGGAGTGCGTTCACAACATTTTCCTCACGTAGGAGACGCGCTCCGGTTGACCTGACCCGGTTCAATGTGGTCTGGTCCTGATGCACGCATCCGATGTCCTCCACCACGCCCAGGTTTAGCACCGACGCGACGCGGCCTAGTTGACGACGATACAGTACGAATGCATCGAGGAAAGAGTTTGCTGCTGCATAGTTCGATTGTCCGACTGTGCCAACCACGCTGGACATAGAACTAAACAGAACAAAAAAGTCGAGGCTGGATTCGTGCGCCTCTAACGCCCAATGCAAGTTGTATGTGCCATCGACCTTGGGCCTAATAGTTTGCAGCCACTGACTATGCGTCATCTTAGCTAAGCTCTCATCCTAGATTGCTAGGTTAGCTGGGGCGCCATGTGGAAGGATGTGCTGTGGTCGGAAAGACTGACTCTAGAAACATACCTGAAGCACCATGGACATCTGAATTACCCCTCCAATTGCTCGTCCGGCTGCCTTTGAAAGAGCCACTTCGACATCCTGCAGCCGAGCAACGTCTCCAGAAAACATCTCGACTCCGCAGCCCTGCCGTGCTAGCTCGCAAACGAACCGTTCATGATCAGTTCGCCGACCAGCCGATCGTGAGAGGAAGATCAAGTGGCGAGCTCCTTTTTCGACAAGCCAAGTCGCCACGGCGCGTCCAATGCCACCTAGTCCACCAGCCAGCAAGTACGATTTGTCTGCCGATAGAGTCATAGGTATTTTGACTGGACTCGTGCATAATCCGTCCCCCACTGTCGGCATCTTGACCACGATTTTGCCCATATGGTTGCCACTTTGCATATACTTGAAAGCCTCAGCTACCTCGCTGGCTGCGAACAGTCGAAGCGGTCGGATCGGTCGTACTCTATTGTCCTTGTACCACTCAACAAATTGGTTCATCAATCTGGGCATCTCGCATTAGTCAATCAATTATTTCATTTTTGCGAGGATGATTACCGCTGTGACAGCCTAGGCTGTTCTGCCATGATGCTCAACATGTCGACGCCAAAAAAAGACCTATTGCCATTGAAAAGATCCATGCTCAAGCTTCCACGCGCCAGAAAGTCTCGCTTTCCCAGCTCGATCATTTTTCCAAACTTGGCAACACACTGCCACGATGCATGAAGCAGGCTTCCAGCCAGTGAGTTTAAAACCAGGTCTACCCCTGCTCCGGCTGTTCTGCTCATGACACCTTGACGGAATGAATCGTCTCGAGAGGTGAAAATGTTCTCTACGGGAATCCCATACTCGGTATGCAGATAGCCACGTTTTTCAGGTAAGCCTGCGGTGGCGTAAATCTGTCAAACCTGTTAGCGAACAATCACAGGTGGAAGAGGGCAAGTCGGGATCTATACGGTTGCGCCGATTTCCTGGCATATGTGAATGGCGGCCAAGCCCACACCCCCGGTGGCACAATGGATGAGAACAGTCTGCCGGAAATGTAAGCCTGGGTTATCGCAAAGCTTCCGACGCTCAAAATGGAATCGTTCCTTACCTGGCCTGGCTGTAACTGACCGACAGTAATCAAGGCGTAAAACGCTGTCGCATATACCGCTGAGACCGCCGCCGCGTCCTCTAAAGACAGCCCAGGAGGAATCTTGGTACATTCGTGCTCCTGAAAGTGCGCCCGTGTTCGAAACAGACCCTTACCACAGACTACTACCTGGTCCCCAGCTTTAAGCCGCGTGACCTTTCTACCGACTTTGCGCACGGTAGCACTTGCTTCAATCCCGAGCTCACTTGCATCGCCCATGACACCCAGAGTAACCATGAGATCCTGGCTCCGTATGCGATTAGCATTCAGAAAGGCTCCAAGCTGTGGTGCTACCACCTACCCGAAAGTTCAGTCCAACGTAATGGACATCCATCTCAAGCTCTGTAGGCTCAAGCACAGGCTTTGCATCTGCAATAGCTTTCCAATTTAGGCTATCAACAAGCCCATACCGTTGAACAGACAAGCAGCGTGGTGCCTCCAACTTAGGCTCTTCTTCCAGTTGATCTCTGAGCGTGTGCCAGTGAACTCGGCTAGTATAGACCTGGCCTTTCTGAACCACATATTCGTCGTCTATCAGAGTCTCCTTCGGGACCTTTTGTCGTGTCCGGTCATATATATCCACGATCGCTCGACAAGTTCCCTCATTCAATGCATCAAGCTCAACTGTGACGATATTTCCCACTATCTCCCTTCGCAGAGTTCGGGAAAAACCTAGGGCCAGACCCAACCTTGGATCACGGCAGGTGGTTTGCACACTGCGTGTTAGATGAATGAGGGGCATATTAGAACTGATCGAGAATAGATCTTTCATCTGCTCGAATCGGGCCTCATCCATGTCATGCAATGCAGGAGCATGCAGATCGAGAAGAGAGATGAGACATTCTGTGTTTGCAGGCAGTGAATGCAGTGTGGCCCAATCTACGTGGTAGCCCTGTTCCAAAAGTGTTTCCTCCAGCCTTTTCTCCCATGGAATAGTGCTTTCGGCGCTGACTGATAGGAGGGTGACCTTTTGTGCCGGCAGATACTCGGCAGGTCGACGCGAGACTATGTTGGCATTCTGCTGGTATGGAGGCTTGTTATCCAGCGTCACGCACATTGCTCCAGTGAACCCCGCTTGCAGAAGCTCGTTGTGCCATCGCTCCGGCTTGACGTACGGAGACAGTGGTCGTCCATCGCTTTCACCATTCCACCAGTCAGGTATCGTGCCCTGGTGGTAGCGTGAGCGAACATGGTCCAAAAATAATCCGCGCGGGCATGTGACCTACCATGACGAAATCGGTGAACAAGATGTCTGCTGCTGTCAGATCAAAGACCTTAAGTACAGACGGGATGGCGCAGTCTTTACTCACCGGGACAGAGCTCCTGGAGCAAAAGGTATCCTGCGGGAGCCATGAGCTTATAGACATTCTTTAATGCACCGCGGAGCGAAGGTGTGGCATGAATGACCTTCAACTATAATGTTAGCAAATACGAATCATGCTACGTGCCAATGCCCGAATCATGTGAGAGGCGACGACAAATCTTACATTAGAGATGATAATCAGGTCGTATGAAGCCGAAGTAAATCCCTGCTGGAGAGGGTCTTGAGTGATATCAAGTGTCTGGAACACAATATTCTCGTGCTCGCTGAATCTTTCTGCTGCGGTTGAAAAGAAAGCCGGCGATATGTCAGTGAAGGTGTAACTGGCCCATGTTCTCTCTCCACCCTTCGATCGCAACGAAGCGATCACCTGTGCGCAGGTGGCCCCTGTGCCAGCTCCAATCTCGAGAATCCTGAGCCGAGGGTTCCAGTGGCCGACTAGAGACAAGAATGGCTTCCAGTCCGAGAGCGAGCTATTGAAGTCATACACATCTCGCAAGACATCCATGGACAGAATCTCAAATGGAGCAACGTGGCCCTGTATAATCTGGCTTACACTCTCAGATACTCGTCTCAAGACTTCTTCTAGCCTTTCAACACCTCGTCCTAGCAGTGTGAGCTGCTCTTGAATCTTGGCGGCTTGACCATGTCGTTCATTACTAGTCATGTCCTGCCAGGGAATCTGGAGAAACGTCTGCGTTGTTCTGTTGGTGAGTTGATCGTGCGTTCTCATCAGCCATGACTGATACTTTGCCAGGTGTGTAGTCGCGGGTACCAAGCCTGCGACCTGGGATGTGATTTCTAAGATGTAGAAACATGTCAGTTCTGCCATCAGAGACACACCCCTTTCCTCCCACTTGGAAGGCAGCCACTCTGCCGGCGAGATGAGGTCAATGCACGGCGCCCATTCCAACTGGGACATGAGAGGGATTGGGCTCTCCTTATCCGGCTCATCATTGGCGAGAGAAATACAAGTCGCTCCGGTGATCACCAGTGCTGGTCCCGCCTTGCTAAGCATACTGACATTTCCGGACATGCTGGTAGATGACAGGGCGCTGCATGTATCATTTTGGATCCACATATCTCCTTCAGTCCGCACGATGCTGATACGGTCGATGGAGGCCGGGATGGCCAACGAGGTGGCATGTCTCCGAATTCCATTGACTACAGCAACTGACAATAGTTGAAGGCAGTGGTCAATTACCGTTGGATGTACCAGGTAATCGCCTTCAGAGTCGCTACTGCTCTCGAGCACAGTTGCATTCGCCAGATGCTCCACCGGGTCGACCGATATCTCCTTCATTCGCTGAAAGCTCGTCCCATAATTCAGCCCCAGGCGAGCCAGGAACTGATACCAATCCGCGGGCTCCACTTCCCGCGTCCAGCGGGGCTGTTTTATGACTTTCGGTATTGCTGTCGGAGAGATAGCCCGTATTTGACCATGGCAGTACTTGCCCCACTCAGTTCCATCCAAGGCAAGAACAGTAAAGTCATACCACTCGGAGTCAGCAATATCGCTCAATCTTTCGGGCTTCAGAGACGTAAGGACCTCAGTGCCGCTTGTTTCCTGGAGGAACAGTGGCTTCTTGAGGATCATGTTGCGGATCTCATATCCCTCACAATGACAATGCTGTCGAATGGCTTCCCCGATCATCGCTACATATCCGGCACAAGGGAAAACAGTATCTCGGAACAGTTTGTGATGGCCTAACCAGGTACAATTGTGGATTTGGAGCACATTCCTCCACGAAGGCTCAAGAGGACTTGACTCGAGTACCCTGGACCCGAGAAGCTCATGATGCGGAAATTCCCGCAGTCGCCAGCTCTCGCTCAGCCGACTCTCGCTCCAATGCCGCTCAGTATGTTGCCATGGGTACCGTGGCAGGCAATCAATAACTCGCCCTGGGCCATTGACGCGTAATAGGTCAATATCAGCCCCTCGGGCATAAACCAGTCCTGCTGCACGAAGGAGGGCGTCTTCTGCACTCAGACCCCGTACCAACGTCGGATATACAGATTCTGTCCCTTGGATTTCATCGAGTCGAATATTTGACGTAGCGGCCCCTGAAGCGCGCTATGAGGTCCGACCTCTATGAAAAGTCGATCATGGTCGGGCTCGGACAGGAGCATGGTCTTCATTGCCTTGTTGAACTCGACGGTAGAGATCAGGTTTCGGCTCCAGTACTCACTATGTAGCCTAGAGGGATCATTAATTACCTCACCTAGCACGGTGGAATACATCGGGATCATATGTGTGGCGACTGTCTCAACTTCGGGAGCAATAGCTGCGGCATAGTCCGCGGCCATGGGCTGCATCTTTGCTATTCATTGGGTCAGTCAAGGCCAATTGCAAAGGCTTTGTCATCGCATGGAGTACATACGAGAGTGATAGGCCTTGGTGACCTTGAGAATCCGGCAGAATGCGTCTGGGTACGCGGTACGAATTGCGTCGATGGTTGAATGAACCGCCTTTTTGTCGCCTGAGATTGTGATGCTCTGAGGACTGTTCTCGCAGGCTATTACAGCTCCTTCTGCCAACCAAGGCTCGACTTCCTTGCGCGAGAGACCAACTGCAGCCATAGATCCATCGCTCACATTTTGGGCCAATTTTCCACGATGATAGGCAATCATTATTGCGCTGCGAAGCGAGATGGCTCCCGCCGCGTAAGCTGCCGCGATCTCACCACTGGAATGTCCTATCACACTCGAAACTTTGAATCCCCAATCTCTAAGTTGGTTGGTTATTGCGATTTGTATCGCCGTGCAAACAGGCTGAGAGAGACGTGGATCGTGAATCTTTGATTGCGCCTCTGGGGCTAGCAGGGTCTCTGCAAGGGCATGAGTTGAAGCATGGTCATGATTGAGGGTGGCTGGTGTACATACCTGCTATCGACCAGGACGGAGGATGCTTTGCAGATCTCAAAACATTATCCATGTGTTGGACGTCACTTCTGAAGTCTTCACTATTTTCAAGCAACTCGCGAGCCATTCCCGCCCATTGTGCACCTTGGCCCGTGAACACTAAAGTGAGTTCAGGAGACGGTGAAGCCTCCAGAAGCAATTCTTGCAAGCCAACATCAGTATCGGAAGAGACAATCGCGAATGTGCGGTACTTCAGATGCTCTCTTCTTACTCCAAGGGTGTGGGCAACATCGTTCAAATCCTGGCTTTTGTTCGCCAAAAACGCCTCCAAGCTTCGGGCGCGTTCGGAAAGAGCTTGTGCACTAGCTGCAGACAATACTAGCAACTTTTTTGTCGTTTTATGGGGAGACTGGGCATCTAAAAATTGAGTCTCTCGACACGATGTTGGGGCTGGCTCGAGAATAGCCTGTGCTGATGGTCAACATCCTGCGGAATTAGGGCGGCGTGAGCACTCACATGCGCATTCGCGCCTCCGATACCAAAGCAGTTGACACTAGCCCGGAGTGCTTTATGCGATGGCCATGGCATAGAATCGACTGGTACGACTAGCTTGCATTCCTCGAATGGTACTGCAAGAAAAGTGTTAGTGACAACCAAAGACTATGTCGAAACATGACGCCTACTACTCGGATTGGGGGACCTGAAGAAGATGTTCGGCGGAATGGTGCGATGTTCGAGTGCCAGAGCAGTCTTTATTATGCTCGTAATTCCCGATGCGCCCTCTGAGTGGCCCATATTGGGTTTTACCTATTCCAGAATTAAGCCCATAAGCCTGTGTGGTTCATTGCATCGACAGCACTCACCGAACCGATAATGACGCCAGATTCGCGGAACAGGTCCCCAACCACCGATGTCTCCGCAGTATCTCCAGCGACTGTGCCCGTGCCATGGCACTCAAAGAAACCAGTGTCTGTGATTTTCTGGATTTGTGCGCGCTTGTACGCTTCTCTAACAAGCGCCATCTGCGTAACTGAGCCGGGGGTAGTGATTCCTGGAGTCCGTCCATCGCAGTTGGTCGCTGTGGCGCGGATGACCGCGCGGATGGGGTCTCCATCGCGGACGGCATCAGCAAGACGCTTTATATACAGTGCATTCACTCCCTCTGCCCTACCGTAACCATCGGCTCCAGCGTCGAAGGTACGGCAAATACCGCTGGGCGATAGCACCAGGTTGTCTGACATCGTTGTGGTCATGGTCGGGGTCAGGATGAGGTTCGTGCCAGCCACAATTGCTGACTCGCAATCTCCAGATAATATTGCCTGGCAGGCTTCATGCAGCCCCACCATGGACGACGAACATCCCGTTGCCAATGTCATGCTGAAGGATAAGCCGGTTAGCCGCCAATGGTACTAAATGGGCTTCCACGAGAGGAGCCGCTTGAACCTACCTCGGCCCTGTGAGGTCGAACTCATAGGAGATGCGGTTCGAGAGCGCGAAGTATCCTGTTCCGAGCACATGTAACCGGTCGATTCTCTGCGTGTCCTTGGACTGCATGTCGTACCAATCCTCGCCGAAAACACCGACAAAGCAGCCAATCTTCCTCCCTTGACCACGCCACCCCACCTGCCCACCGGATTCCATGCACTCATAGATGACCTCGAGCAGGAGACGCTGTTGAGGGTCGAGTCGAGAGGCTTCGAACGGGGTCAGCGAGAAGAACTGGTGGTCGAAATAGGCTGGATCCTCGGGGAGAAAGTATCCGTCCTTCGTCCGCACAGAACCCGTCCGCGAGGGATGGTGGAAGGCGTCGATGTTGTACCGGGACCCAGGGACCTGGCCGTGACCATTTTGCTTGTTCAGGAGGAAGTCCCAGAAGTCCTCCGGTGTGTTGACGCCCCCGGGAAGACGCAGCGCCATGCCTACAATAGCCAGCGGCTCAGGGCCGAACTCCTTTGCTGGATGAGAGTCGTGACACATGGTTGGTGAAGCCATTCTGCATACATTCGAGTGAGCTGCGCTGCACGGGATAATTCTTTTTTACAAAAGCTCGGCGCGAGCTTTGGATGTTCTACGGGGCATTGGATGTTTTATGTCTGCGAGTGACGTGGAATTCAGCAGCTATTTGAATCTCGATCGGGACAATATGGGATTGGCCTGTCGCGGAGAGAGCCCTTTATGCTAGAGCTTTCATAGCGCTCTGGAACTCGTTGCCAAGATTGGCCACTGGACCCGCAATATCATCATGGAACGATTCGGGGATCTTCGCCCGCGCCGCATCCTGGAAGGAGCTACGTTCGTTCTCGAACATTTGCATAATAGCGATTGCCATAAGTCTCACACCGCTCTTATCGTACATTGAGCCCTGTGTGGCGGGGAAAGACAAGTAGTGTCAGCCACCGAAGACGCATCCAGAACGGGCACAACCGCAGCCCCGGTAATAAGATGGGGAGGGTTGAATGCCTACCTTACTGCCGGCCGCACCCAACGTGTTGGCAACAGACTGTCTCATAGAGTGGTATGCGACTAGGATGTCCGGCACTTCATCGTCTTTGAAAGCTGGGGCGGAATCCCATTCTCCCCGAGCCGACTTGGTTTGGGCATAGACGTCCCAGACGGCACGGGCCAGTTCCCACGACGACATCCACCCACCATCGTAGCCGTTGAAAACCGCTTGAGCCGAGTCAACACTTTGGCGAAGGTTATTCATGCCGGCAATCACCATGGGGGCATCCTTTGCTGAGGCTGGATGTACGACGGCGCAAATCCAGGTGAGGAAGCAGAGCCACCGAGCCGAGGCCGTAATGTACATGATGGTTGTCGTTCGTCTGTTCTGTGGATGTTTTCTGGAGTCGGTGAGCGTTGGGAGCTCAAGTTACAGCAGTCAATTGGGAGGCAAAGATGCTTAAGTTTCGCTAGGCGCATGGGCTGCAGTGGCTTGGCCACCAATCATATTTATACCTCCAGCTTATATGCGCGTGCCAGCACAACGGAAGGGCTTGACGGCTCTACATCGTATCCCGTGTCTGCATACATGCCTCTTTAACTAGTTAATGTGTGCTCCGTTGCGTCAGTGAAGGTCTGCCACTGATTCATCCGCCCCCTTGTTCCACTCCTTACTGCTCATCGAGATGAATTCCTTCAGGAGATCATTACCATGCCAATGAGAACCCAGAAACTGGCTCTAGCGCGCGATCTGGTCTCTGATCCAACCTATAGGAGGTCCCCAAAGTTTGTCCCGATGAGGTGGTTTGACATATCACATCGCATGCGTAAATGAGTCACACATCCGATCGATCACACACACATTCCTCTCTTTGCATTGACATTCAACAATCTATCCCAAACATGCAGAAGGTCAGTGTAGCATTCTCCTCCGGAGTAGATATCTTCCCATTGCCAGTTTGACTTCTGACACCAGCCGTTCAATCGACCCAAGGAGATTCATGACTCGCACCGCGCAAATCATCAAGCCTTGGCTGGAGCCTAAGAGACCCATTCAGGGGGAACTATGTGATCTATCACTTCAATTGAAGCCTATGCCTTTTGAAGGATCCCCACTTGAAACCGAGTCACGACGGTACATATCCGGGTGCATTCAGAGCGTAAGGATGCGTCAGTGGTAACCGTCCATGACGGCCTCGAGCTCACCTCTCCCGCCTCCTCTCCAGGAAAGATATGAAGCTCTTCCGCGAAATACCAATCACGAGTTATGACCACATTGGCAAGGCCCATACATACAATCCCAAACCCGTCGCACTGTTTACGTGCCGAAGGGCGGGGTACAAGACCGTGGCACTACATACTAGCTCCGCTTCGGTTTGCTTGTCGCGCGCGTCCCATGCACCCGATCCATGAGGCCGATCAAGCCGTAGTTGACCGTCATCAGTTCATGGTGCAGATCATGGACCTCGGGCTTCCAGCCGTCTGGGGTCTCCCACAGGCGGTACCCGCTGTGCGCCAGGGCGGCCTTGAGGCCGACGGCGCCGATGAACGCCCACAGGGTCACGACGTGCACGTCGAACAGGCGCGCGGGCCCCACGATGGGCAGGATATTGGTGACGATGTGCTCGACCGGGTGGGCGTACAGGGTCGCCAGCGCGACGGGGGCGTGGAACCGGTGGTGCTGGCGGTGGAACCGCGCGTAGAAGAACCGGTGGTGCAGCAGCCGGTGGCCGTACTAGTAGGTGGTCTCGCGCGCCAGGATACACAGGACTAGGTCCACCAGGAACTCGCGGAGGGGAGGCAGGGTCGCCGGCACGCGGTAGCCCAGGTCGGGCCGCCCGAGGACGAGGTGGACCGCCACTAGCTGCAGGGCGTGCAGCGTGGTACTGAGCAGTTGGTTCCCCAGGGAGCCCAGCAGGGCATCGCGGATGATGAGCTTGCGAAGGGGCTGCTTGTGCGCCGGTTGGATCTTGTATTGTTGGATAGACGGCCAGGCCAGCAGGTCGAACACGGTGAATATGCCGGCTGGAAGCCAGAAGGTGAGGACTTGGGTCGCGAGCATGCCTACCAGCTCGATCCACGGGGACGGGTGTTTGTGGACTAGCATTGTCCAGCGCGTGGCGATGTCCATGGTTGCTGATGGCTTTCTTGGCTTTGGTAGAACGCTCGGCGAGAGGTTCGTGAGAAGATGCTGTATGGATTGGGAGGATCGGAGATGTTAGAAATAGCAGACCGTGCAATCCCCTCTGTAGGGTGACAGGGTGCCAGGACCAGAATTGTGCTGTAGACGACGGAGTGATCCTTGTGGTCACTGGACACAGAGATAGAGCTTTCACCCTTGCATAGGGGCCTCAGTCGATCAGGGGGGGCACATATGTGGATCTGAAACCGAGGGTCAAATGCCGGCGGGACTTGTCCCTTGTCTGGGGTTCTAGACATGACTCCTCAGCTGGAGAGCTTTGTTATGACAGGGCGTCCGTCCTCCCACTCGCCTATTCCAGCTATTCACTCGCATTGTTAGTACTGCATCCCATCATTGACCTCGAGGTCTTCATACCATGGGTTCTCGTCCCAAGACGTGGTGGAAGCAAGTGCACCTCCGCTACGCGGCAGCCAACCTAGGGCTGCCATTATACGTGGCCTACCATGCGCCCAGTACATCATTACAGTGGAAAACCTGTGTGTGGACGTTGATTTACGCCTTCATGACAGGGCTAAGTATCACCGCTGGTCCGTCCTCCCCAACCCGCCTCCGAGAAACAAACCGCCACTAACACCCAAGAACAAAATCAGGATACCACCGCCTCTGGACCCATCAAGCGTACAAAGCCTGCCTTCCACTCCGCATCGTCCTCGCAGCCCTCGGTGCCGGCGCCCTCCAGCTCCCCATCCGCGTCTGGGCCGCCGACCACCGCGCCCACCATCGCTTCACCGACACCGACCGCGACCCTTATAACGCCAAACGCGGTCTCTTCTACACGCACATCGGCTGGATCCTCACCTACAACCCCGACAGGTTCGGTCATAAGACTGAAGGAGTAGACCTGAGCGACCTCGACCGCGACCCCGTGGTAGTCTGGCAGCGGCGCACCTATTACCCGCTGGCGGGGCTGATGGGCTTCCTGCTGCCAGCTGCCGTGGCCGGCATGCTTTGGGGCGACTGGCAGGGTGGATTCCTGTACGCGGGGTGTCTGCGGGTGGTGCTCGTGTGGCATGTCTCGTATTGCATAAACTCGCTGGCCCATTGGATCGGGGAGCAGTCGTACTCGACACGCAACTCCGCAAGGGACTGTGCGCTGCTGGCGGTGGTCACCCTCGGCGAGGGGTATCATAACTACCATCATGCGTTCCCCGGGGATTATCGGAATGGGGTTCGACGCACGGATTTGGACGTTACCAAGTGGTGGATTTGGGCCTGGGAGCGCGTAGGCTTGGCTTGGGATGTGAGGAGGTGTACTGGGTGGAAGGCTAGAGGTGGTGGCTTGGGGAAAGGTGAGTAAGAGCTTAAGAGGAAGGCTTTCCGAGGAGACAGGGATGGGGAGGAAACTGTTGTTGTATGCTTTCGACTATGTGTAGATCTTGTCAAGGAAAAATCCATTGAAAGTATGTTCTTAATCATGTACGCCAGAATTCGGTCTTGTCCTCCCGGAGAAGATATCTGGAAAAGCTTGTAGATTGAGGATAAAGACACCGTAAAGCCTTGGAAACTGTACATTATGCCATACGGCTTGAACAAGGGAGTGGTCCGTTGCTGCGCAGATCAGAAAACCGGCATCTTGAAGGCATCGAGTTCGTATTTCCAGGTATCAAGAGACTCTTGGTCATAGACGCACTGGAACTGGGTACCGTTGTTGGTCCAGTATGGACGAAGAGGCCAACCACAGATTTGCTGCTGAGCACCAGTAGACTGCACAGTCCCATTAAGTGTCTTGGGCTCGATTCCCTTCTCGACCCAATCAATTAGGGTGGCTAAGGTAGTCTCCGGCCACGGAGCGTTGGGTTGAAGGCTGTTCATACCGCAGTGAGCGCCTCCAGGAATTAGGAACAGACGGTACCAATCATTCAGTTCGGCAACACCTGGTTGTAGGAGAGATCGGGGTACATGATGCTTCGGACCGACTCATAGTAACGGACTGAGCCAGAGGTTGGAACCTGGGGGTCGGACTCGCCGTGGTAGTGAAGAACTTTGCCCCCGGCGTTGTGCCAGACTGAAAGGTCAGGCCAGGTGGTCTCGAGGGAATCGTAGTATTTCTGGAAGCCAGTGGCAATCCAGTCACGGAAGGTATCCCTTGTCACGCCTTGAAAGCTAGAAAGAGCTGAACCGTTGGTCAACGAATTCAGCCCAATTTCAACCCACTGGGCGGACTGCTCAACGAAGTATGCACCATACTCCCCGGTGGTCTCGTTATAGGAAGTGACAGCAGCTTGAAAAGAAGCTGTAAGCTGATAGGACATGTAAATGCGTCGGCCAAGGTTGTCATGTGCACCATTGAGGATCTCCCGAGCGACAGCCACACCCTCTGCAGTCACGGTTCCATTTTGAGCTGGGATATAAGGCATGAAATTGGGGATCTCGGTCGATGAGCCACAGCTATAGGCTTCACCGATGGTCGAATTCAAGTTGAAATGCAGCTTACACAGATCCGTGCGAGCGACCACCCCGTCTACCCGGCCGTCCAGATGATCACAGGCATCGGTGGTGAGGGTGACAATCTTCTCCAACTCACAATATGGCAGGTAGTAGTCGAGCTGGTACTCGACAAATTGAGACCACAGATGCTGAATCTGCTGGGAAAGAGAAGTGCATGCCTGGGGCTCCAATGACGGCACCGTCTAGATCAGCTCCGATCTGGGCCTGGCTCCAGCCCTCGCGGTCTCCCTCGGAGCAACCATCGTAGTAGGACCAAAGCTTGGTGTCTGACATGTTGTAGAAGGACTTTGTGAGTTCCTTGCCGATCCGACTAAGCTCATCGATGGCCTTATAACCAAACATATAGACAGTGTCCCAATTGACCTCGCCGTCGCCATTCAACCAGACTTCCCAGGAGCTAACATCAAAGCCACCAAATCCACCGTCCGTGGTACCGGCCACCGCACCCATGTCGATTCCACTAGGGAGAAAGGAATTCTTCTCGGTAATGTTCCATCCTTCGCCGCCAGTCGATACGTAGCGGTTTTTGAAATCGGCGGGAGCTGGCATCCAATAATTGACATTAGTTCGATCCGGTCCACCATGGGTGTATGCAAAGCTGACATCGCACACCGGGTAGTCAGCATCATCAGTTGACGTGCTAAGCATTGCGGCTGTCACAGACGACTCATCGATATTGGTACCGAGTAATGTATCATGGCCGGGTAAGTTTGCAGTCACATACTCAACAGTACATACACTCTGAAGAGTAACGGCTTGAATTGTGACCGCGAGGCAAGACAATTCCCACAGAAGTCGAGTCATTTGGTCAGATGAACGGTACGAACATTTAATCCGAGTGGGAAGTGATGGAGCTCAAGGTATGCGGAAAGGCAGATAGCCGTCAGATGCACCCCTGAATATAAATTTTCGACTTGACAACTATCAAGCAAAAATGGTTCCAGCGGCGGTGACTAAATAACTTGCATATATAGATTATCATTCTACCTATACGTACCACTGGAAATGCTGATCTGCAAATTGCAACTTGATACTCTCCACTCAATCTGATTACAAAATCGATGTCGTCGGATTACGTACAAGATAGACCTTAACCTACTCTAGTCTAATATACCTAGCTTGTTATGGGCAAGCGAAAGGTCGATCATCGCCAACAGCGGGTGGCCTCCGGGACTCTGTTTGGAGATGAAGGCCAGAGCCGAATCTTTTACGTGCATGTACTGTTGGTTATTATATACAGTACTGGTTCGCCGGTATTCTAACCTTGGAAACCCCTAATAGGTTCTGTGTATTTGTCTTCTGGCTTAGTCCCCTTGTTCGATGCTCTTTCAATGATTCACCAGTTATATGTAGTTCGCAAGGTCCCCCCTTATCTGGTCTAGCCTCATCTCAGCCCCATGTAGAAACGATCTACTATAAAAGTGGGGGGAGGGCACTTTGAATAGAATCTCCATTGCGGTACTTCATATCTTATGACACATACCAACCCCATAAAGCGCTCAGGTGGGTTGCCGACGTAAGACAAATCCGCGTAGGCACTCCTACATAGACGGGGTTTACATCCCGTTGTAGTTTCTCAAGTTGTCATGGACATCAGACTTAAAGGTTAAGACTTGGACTCAGGCTAAACCGGCCTCAATTGTACCCAGATAGCGCGGTTCCCTCTTATCGCGCGCCGCACGTTATCGTGAACTCGAACCCAGTGCCCTGTATGAGTATATAGCAACCCCATCTGTTTCTAGACAATCTATGTCCGGGTCAAAACATTCTTCATTGTTATATCCGGACATGTATTAGTCTATTCATTCTTTCTCCATCTGTCTGTCTCTTGTCTTTCCTTCCAATTAAACCAGCAATGCGTTGGTCTTCAATTTCAGCAGCTCTACTGCTTGCTGCAAGCACCTTTGTTGGAGGATGCCTCTGTGCCTCAGCTTCCTCAACCGCCTGTGCCGGAAACACACCAGCAACCCGTGACCAATGGTGTGACTTTGACATCCAAAGTGACTACTACACGGAGGCCCCGGACACCGGGGTTCTCCGAGAGTATTGGTTGGTTCTTGGCAATACCACGGCTGCTCCTGATGGCGTCCCTCGCAATGTGTTGACCGTTAATGGCACATCACCAGGACCTACCCTGCACGCTAACTGGGGAGACTGGGTGCGTATCCATGTTTACAATGAACTGGAGAAAAACGGTACCAGTATTCATTGGCACGGAGTTCGTCAGAACCATACCAATCCCCAAGATGGCACCAATTCTATCACACAGTGCCCTGTGCCTCCCGGTGGTTCTATCACCTACGAATGGCGGGCCACTCAATACGGCACTACTTACTACTACTCGCACTTTGCTTTGCAAGCATGGGAGGGTATCTATGGTGGAATCGTCATCAATGGCCCTGCGAGTGCAAATTATGATGTGGATGCTGGAATACTTTATCTCAGTGACTGGTCCCATCCCACCTCCGACGCTCTATACTCCACCGCAGAGACCGATGGAGAGCCAACCTTAGCAACCGGACTAATAAACGCCACCAACATCTGGGTCACGGAGAATAACGAGACCACCGGCTCTCGCTTCAACATGAATGTGACGTCCGGTCAAAGCTACCGCCTTCGTCTGCTTAATGGGGGAATGAGCAATCCTCTCCGTTTCATGATCGATGACCACACTCTCACTGTCGTTTCTACCGACTTCGTGCCCATTGAGCCCTTTAACACGACCTCGCTCTTGGTTGGGGTTGGTGAATTTGAATCCCGAATCGAAACCCAGCATGCCATAGCAGGCGGATCAAGGGTCAGCTAAGGCTAATTCACAATTCAAGGACAACGATATGATGTTATCGTTCACGCAAACAAGCAAATGCAGGGCTCTAACTTCTGGATGCGGTCAATTCTTCAATAATCTTGCGCTGAAATTTCCAACTACGATATTCGAGGTATTTTCCACTATGAAACGCAAGATAGCAAGCTTGAAAACTCCAACCACAACTGCATTCGATTACACAGACAGTTGTGAGGATGAGTCCATGTCCAACCTTGTTCCAATGGTTGCCATTGATGCCGCAGGAGTCAGTTTCAGTAGCCACAATGAGGTCCAGGTTATCAAGAACACTGCCGGCTTATATAAGTGGTACATGGGCCCAACAACCTTCGTGGCCGAGTGGGACAACCCTACTCTTCTACAGATTGAGAATGGAGAAACTTCCTGGACCAATGCCTCCTATGTTGTCCAAGTTGAAGGCAATGGCAAGTGGGTGGTCATCGACATCGAAATGACGATCAATGTCCCTCATCCCATCCATCTGCACGTGCGTGTACTCGCCTGTCTTCCTCAGTTGGTACTTGGATTAACAGCATTGTCTCACAGGGACATGACTTCTTCATTCTCGCCCAAGATACAGGAAGCTACACGTCGAATACCACCTTGAACACCGTCAATCCACCCCGTCGAGATATCGCTATCCTTCCCGCTCTCGGATACCTTGTCATCGCTTTCAAGACCGACAACCCCGGCGCCTGGCTTCTGCACTGCCATATTGGATGGCACCAGTCTGAAGGGTTTGCCATGCAGTTTGTGGAGTGTATCGATCAGCTGAAGCCCATGATTGACGGCGAGTCTCTCGAGAAGAACTGTGCCGCTTGGGAAAGGTATGCAGCCCAGAAGGATATTGTTGAAGACGACTCAGGTGTCTAGCTGAGGAGGGCTTCCAATGTGGGCTAGGAGTGCGTTCGTTTCCATGAGCAGAACCAATCTGTGCCAGTGGCAGAAATTGGACACACCACTTGACCGTCTTCGCGCATGGGTGATATAAATGTCTTATCTCCCTTCAAGCTGGATTTAATCTAACTCTGCCTAAAGATGGAGATATTGCTATTGTCGGCATGGCATCCTAGTAGAATGTGGATATCCTTATCAATCGCAGGAAGAGACATTCTCAAGCCACGGTGCATGTTCTGATTCCAACGGCTATAGATACGAGTGCTTACACTAGTAACTCAAGTCTAGCCAATTCGATTCAAACATCTAGCTAACAATTACTCGAGAATCGAGCAGTCATATAGAACACCGAGGGGCGCGATATAATCCGTGTGCATGTAAGCCAAGTTCAAAGACATGAGCTGACCCACAGTCACATTGTACGCAGTCGCAAAGTTCTGGAGAGTACCATAGGTGAATGTGAAATCCGTCATGGTACAAGCTGTGTTGGCGCAAGTATGGATCTTCACCGTCTCTCCGGTCTGGAGCACGTCATAAATCCCGGGGTTCAGAGCTGCAATATACCCTGTTTGAGCGCCAAAGCTGAGAATGGACTCAGTAGTGATATTGAAGCGTTCGTTGGCGATCTTTTGGATAGTGTCTCCCGGAAGGATAGTGTACACGTGAGGACCGCCGTAGATACAGTCTGATGTCGCGTTGGTGTTGTTCGTGCTGAAACAAGAGTAGTCGTCTGGGAACGTGGCACGGGCCGGAATGCGCAAAGTCTCGTTCACTTAGAGGAAGTTTGGGTCGGCTAGCACATTGAGTCGTGCCAGGTCACAGGCACCAACCCCGTATTTGTTAGCAATCGTGTGGATGGTGTCGTTGGCAGTGACGTTATAGGTGATATTGCTAGCAGTGACAGCGAGGTTCAAGACAGTTCCTGAGCTCGGAAGGACTAGGTTGCCTCATCAGCTGGGGATGCCATTTTAGAAAGACATCAATAATGGAAACCGGACCGTCATAGTTCATAGAAGTTAGAGCAGTGGCTTGGGCTATAAGCATAGGCACCAGCATCATTAGGCTTCTCATAGTTAGACACATGATTTCTGCTATCTCAGGGGTTTCTTTGATGTGTATGAAGACCTTTGTGCTCGTTGTCTACTTAACTTCATTGTTGGCTGTTCCTTAGACGTATTTATACAATCTTTGATAGCAGTCGGACAAGTATCTCGGACTTAATATCTACATTAGGCTAATTGATTTACTTGATCAGCAGTGGTAGTACAGCATTCACCAGAGCTCAACTAATTGTAGCGTTCTTGGCCACCAAAACTTGGTAGCGAAGCGCCATCTGTTTTGTACAAGCTCAATATTACCATACTCCGCTCATCCCACTCCATCCCCACATCCCACTCCCCACATCCAGCATTGACATTTGAATTTAGGTTCTTCCATTTGCTCCTTGACGGAAAGGAAGAGATAATGAAGACCATTCCGTCGGGTGAGCCTACCAAAAATGGAACCTCAACGAGGCCAATAAAGCTATCTCCAATAGAAGCAAGAGGTGATTTCAAAATGTTGCCTTGCCGCGCACTTCATCCCACTCAACAGGTCTCAGTCTTGACTCTACTTGCCCATATTGCTGTAGCTGATAGTGCTAATCTACAATCAGGCCTACCGACCCGCAGCCTCTCGGATTGTGTGACTACAATGAGGAAGAAAATCTGGGAAGTGCATGGAGGTGTGTGCGCAGCTATTATAGCCGGATGGTCTAACCTATCTACTAAGATGTGACCATGAACCACCGGCCACTGACCATCCTGGGCCCTTGCATCGGCGATTAATGGTGCCTTCATAAGCATTGAAGAGGGGAACGTACTGTAGTGTAGTCAACATGCACGGATCGATCCGGTATGAAATCTATACGGCCGCCATGTTAAAATGAACAGAAATTATATTTGTTGATAATACAGAAGCTCGGTTTGATTGGTCAATATAATCATCCTGCAGTGTTCTAATATTTGCTGCAACAATGGCTCAGAAATCCGCCCACTTTTCACATATTTGGCATCATGCGGGCCCTCTAGCTACGTTTGATCTATTGGTATGATTAGCCGGACTGGATTTGTCCTACAGGATATTCGTCCTCAACCAGGCGACCTTTTTCTGTAGGATCAACAACCATTGAATCCGTGGGTGCCAGAGAAAACCGGTAGGAAAGTAAAGAGATGAAATTTCAACTCCGAAAGTACTACAAGCACATTGACATTCAAAGAGCGAAGGGTTATGTTTGATTAATGGGATTATTGAAGTTCACTGCGTCTCTATGGTTGCTGCTCACCTACCTTTGAGAAGCAGAAAATAGAGAAACGGTACCATCATGAAAGTCTCTAAATTGTGTTCCTAAGGGAGTTTTGGGACTAATATCATTCTTTATGGATTGCACAAGCAGAGACACTGAGCCTCTGCTAATCCCAGAACAGCAAGTTCCCCCCATTGGAATCCGTAATTGGCCTAGCCCCTGCACTTCTCACGTGGCGCAAACCAAGCCAAACCGAGCAAACACCGGATAAGCCTGCCGGATACGGATACGGGATATGACGGAGTTCGTCCGGTCTCACCCCTCCTTCCCCACCATCGCGATCGCCCCATTAATTTCTTCTGCATCTGCACTGTCCAAAATCCCATACCCCTCAGAATCTGCACACCAGAGGTTCCAAGCGAGCAACCAGAAAAAATGGCCGACGCACCCCCCTTCTTCATCTACAAGCTCGTCCCCTCGACGGCGCCGGTGCGCGAACCCCTCCCGGACCGGCTCCCCGTCAGCGAGCTCGACAACCAATCCGGCTTCATCCACCTCTCCACCGCCTTCCAGGTTCCCAACACCCTCAAGCTCTTCTTCAAAGACGAGCCCCTCGTCTATGTCCTGCGCATCCGCTACGACCAGGTCGAGCACGACATCAAGTGGGAGAATCCCGAGGGGACGGTGTGCGGGCCCCGCCCGACCGAGGGGTTGTTTCCTGTACGTGCTCTTTGCTTTCATGGAATTTATTACGAATGAGTTGGGGACGGAGAAGGGAAATGATGATTGCTGAAGGGGAATAACGATTGCTAACATGGCACAGCATTTGTATAACGGCCTCAAGCTGGGCAAGGATGAGGTCGAAAGTATATCGATCTGGACGAATGAGGATGGTTGGGATAGGGCGTTGACGCAGGCGAAGCCTTGGTTGTTGTATTGATTACTCGGTTGATTTGTTTGATGGGAGTAGTCGGTGGGCGGATGGGATGAGGTGTAATTATTGCTGTTCTCTGGACGATTGAAGGGGACGGGGTGTAGGGACCAGAGGTCTTTAATGTGGGTAATGTACAGCGGGAAAGTGGAAGAGAGAGAGGATTGTCAGGTCTTTCTTCAAAGGGCTTTTGTTAATGCCTACTGTGTTTCGCATCGCCATCCGGCTGACTGGAATACATGATTCTCCAGTAAAGTACCGCTGTAACCACTTTGGGGAACACGTGCTTACCAGGCAATGGTAAAGAACTGTTATTGGAAGCGAGACTCCAAACTTTGTGGCTACGTAGATCAGGGGAGTGCATTGATCAAGCCGCGCGCGTACGTATGCATGAGGCACGGCGGAGTCGTGCAACTCATGGCGTAAGCGCCCACCCACGTTCTATACTCAAGGGGAATAGGATCATTCGATCGGAGCCTTATCAAAGAAGTTGGATGGTACACGAATTTTTTTTGGAACACATGCAATCTTCTGGAAACGAGCCTGCTTGACAGAAAGTGTTATACTTCAAGATCTATTGATACAACCTGCTGGCGAGGCGGTGTCCGGCATTCCCACAATTGTGTTTGATTACACCTACGCCGGTTTATGCAGTGATTGACCAAGCCAGAGTAAGGTACACCTATCATGTCGTCCAACAAATATCGCCTGTACGTTGCTCTCTATGCCCGCGGAGGCAAGGCTAGAATGCCAGGCAAGGAAGACACGTAAGAATTACAGGCCCTACAACTTCAGCAAGACAGCTGACTCGAACAGATATCACTGGGCCGTACACATCGGACCCAAGAGTCCCACCAAACAGAGGCTTGGAGTCCGCTATCACGCCAAAGAGCGACTCACCGTGAAAGGCAAGTCCGAGTTCATCTTCGAAGAAAGCGAGGTCTCCCCGCAGATGCCACTTGTGCGCATCGCTGTAGCAAAGATCTTGGACCAAGACCGTGCAGTCGAGATTCTCCGCAGTACAGCCACCCGCCAAAATGCCCCAGAATGGAACTGTGTGTCTTGGGTCCAAGAAGCTCTGGGTGCGCTGAATGTCGATTCGCGAGCCCTGGGCACACGGATCCTCGACTGGGAGAGCGTGCGCGATGCAGCGATGGAGTATTGCCCACGGAAGTAGGACCAGCATCGGTTTGATGGGAAGGGGGATCTCGATATGGGTGTTGTTCCCACGTATGACCTGATGGTGGGGAGGGAGCTTGCTGTTTGAGTCTAGCAGGTATCCGAGTGTCACTGGGCAAGCATGTTCGGTTCCTAATGCTGTTGGGAAATGCTCAAGGATGATGCTCGGCACAACTTCATGCTTTCTGTAGATGGATCTCTGGTCGATACGTATGTCTGGGTGATATTGGTCGCTTTATAGAATTAACCACCATCTTTCGTATGCTTCTCAGAGAAGTGACACCTGAGTTGGGAGTACTCGCTTCTGTGTTAGAGGATATCCGAGGCGGAACAAGACTGTGGTGTGCACACTTGTTAAGTATGTACCTCGGCATTTTGAGACAAACTGACAGTCTGGGTATCTGTCCATCCACGGATTGAGGTTCTTCAAGAGCGCGAAGTCTCACTGGAATTGGAACTCCAGTGCCAATACCGTAAACCCGAGCATCTGGAGTTGCGACGGGTAAAGCGCCTCGGGGCTAGCGCTTGTCCAGAAAAGGTAACTCCGAATTGAATTCGCCGAGTGGCACAGAAATACGAGTATGGCCGGACAACCAAGAAAGTCCGGACTGGAGGTATAAAGATCCTAAGTCCGTCTTAGTAGATGCGATCGATGTCAAGGCTTGGGTTCATTCATACTCAAGCGCACACGGCAAACAAGCTGCACCAAAAACAGACATATCCTCAAAAAGCCACTACCCTCGTACATCTTGGTCAAGGTGCTTCGACAATGGTAGCCGTGACGCTGTCATCTACGCTGCGCGAGCAGCATGTGGTAATCCTGGGCGGCGCATACGCGGGTCTCTCGGCAGCCTTGAACCTACTTCGCATCTGTGACGGCACGATAAATTCCTTCGGGAAAGGCGGCAAGGGAGGAAGAGGAGGTCGCGGCAGCGGCGGTGGAGGTGGCCGGGGACGAAGGCTCGGGGACAATGGTCGAAGACAGATGATGGCGCCTCAAGCCCCGCAACGCATGCCCAAAATTACCATCCTCGATCCAAGGGACGGGTTTTGTACGTCCCTCTTTACACAGTCAAGAAATGTAGCAGAAGCCCTGACAGCCGAGTCTCACAGATCACGCAGTCGGTACCCCCATGGCACACACAACAAAAAGCTACATCGAGCACCCGTGGCGGACCTGGGATCAGATCGCGGAGCTGAAAAGACCGTCGGTGTCGATCTTGAAGGGCACGGCGGTGCGAGCGGACCCGGAGACGAAAAGACTCCTCTATCTCTCGTCAGAGTCGAATGGGCAGCAGCAGCAGCATACTCTAGATTATGATATCCTGGTGATAGGCACGGGGTTGCGACGGCCTTGGCCGACTGTGCCGGTTGCTACAACCAAGTCGGAGTACGCGATGCAGGCAGGGAGATATATTGACCGACTGCGGACATGCGATTCGGTGGTGGTAATCGGTGGAGGTAAGTTGACTTCTAGTAGGAAGTTGGCAGGGTTGTGGCTGATGAATCCAGGTGCCGTTGGAATTGAGATGGCAGCTGAGATCAAACACCGTTACCCAACGAAGCAAGTGACCCTGGTGCACTCCCGTTCGGCACTCCTCTCGTCGGAGCCGGTTCCAACCGAGTTTCAATATCAGGTTCTGCAGGTCGCCCAGCTCGGTGGGGTGAACGTGATGCTGAAGAACCGCGTGCTGAGTGTCACGGAAGGACTTGGCAACACAAAAATGATCAAACTCGAGGATGGCAACCATCTCATTGCCGATGAAGTGATTTGGGCAACGTCTTCAGCTGCTCCGGTCACCGAGTTCTTGCCTCGAGAGGCTCTGGATGAGAAGGGATTCGTCAACGTGCTTCCATCGTAAGTGATTACATTGTGATGCGAGATGTTTTGGTATTGACCTGAGCACTATAGAATGCAATTCGCAGCGAGCATCCCCAACAACCAGAACCACTTTGCAGTTGGTGATGTGATCGCAACACCCGGAATTCGACTCGCCAAAACAGCCATCCGCATGGGACGTACGGCAGCCATGAACATTGCCCATATGATAGTATCTGCCGAAAGGGGTCACGGCTTGCAGCCAGACTTGGCCGAGATGCGGGGCCCTAACAAGGGGTTGAGCTTGATAATTGGAGGTTCCGGCGCGGCTTTCGATGAGAAGACAGGAGCTATCTTCTGCGGCCCGGAAGTCAAAAACGTGATCTTTGGTGATGACATGGCACTTCATCGTAAGTATGGCCTTCTTAATTATAAAGGGCCACGATGCTGATTTCTTCACAGGTGCTTTGGGTGCGCTTGGCTTGCCGTTGAACCCATGAGGTTGCATGTCGTGGGAGAGTTAAGGGGATAAGAGAGCGGGCTACAACGGGGGCCATTTCCATAGTGAGAATACACGTGTTTGCAGACCCGACGGGAAATAATCATGCTTGTATATCAATTATCCCAAGATTTCTAGGACTTCAACTTCTTGCGTCGGTAGAGGGGATTCACAGATACGACCCAGAAAAAAAAGACTTCCTACCGGAGCGATTGAGGAGCACCATGATTCAATCTTCGGTCAAGCCGAATGAACAAAGTAAGCCATGATGATCGCTCCAAACCGGTGCTTCTTCGGCAGTCTTGGTCTGTTGGGAGCTGGGCGTATCCAAGTCGCCAACTCGTCTTGGTTCTAGAACCTGGATTGTAGACGCCTTTAACCCCAGGGTCCCCACTCGATCAAGCCGGTTAGGCGGGTACGGTTGCTGCCCATCAACCCCCCATGTGTAACCAGGCTCCTTGGGACGCAAAGACGTCCAGACATCAGTCAAGCCATTGAATTCAAGAAGCTCGTCGTCTTCGTCAAGAACGGGATTGAAATCACCGGCCACAAGCCCACGTCCCGCGGTGCGCAGAAGGGAGGCAACCATAGATATTTGTCGAGGCCGGTGGGATGGCTTGATCGGCAGAGAATCCAGATGGACGTTCACTAGGCGAATTCGTGTCGCAGAAGATGCTTCATCCTCGGGGTGTGAAGGCACAAAGATGTCACAGCAGAGCGCATCTCGACCGAAATAACTTGGAAACCTGACCCTCCATATTGGGCCAGCAACAAGGTTGTGGGTCTCTGGATTAGAAGGTGCTGCGAAGCGTGCTCTGGACAGTAGAGTCACGGTCATAAAGGGTCGATCATTCCACGAGAGATCATCACAATCGCTTGAAAACCAGTACCCACGAATGCGCTCGTCATCCAGAATCTGCTGCAGGGCCGGCCTGGAGACCTCTTGAAGGAAAACGATGTCTACGGGGGGGTCTAACCGGGTGAGATACGTGATAATATCGGTAGCGCGTTCCTGAGCTTGAGAAGAGCCCGCATCGATGTTCCATGTCAGTAACACAAGATTTGATGCGTCGCCCCCGCGGGTTGGTTCTGCATGGTCACTTGAATCGGCATCCGTTGGGGTGGGGATCCACTTTTGGGCAGGGTCGAATTGATACCAAGATTGAAATCTGGGATGCAGGTCCTCTCGATGGGGAAGCGGAGCCTCACGAGTCCAGGATAGTGTATTTGTCTGAGTGCGCGTGTTGAGATCCATAGAGAGAAGACTGTGGTAGGTGAAAGTTTATGTATGTACTGTGTACAGTACTGGTGTAGATGCTGAAGATGTGTGGAGGGGAAAGAAGAGACGAAGGAGTCTCAGGCAGCCAGCCTAGCCCAATGGAGAAGCCCGTGCAGTCGGCCCGCTGTTGTTCCGACTCAGGCTTGCCTTGGTGCCTTGATGTCTGAGAAACATCCCGTCCCTCCGACCCAAATCTCATTGTAGCAACCAACAACCATCGACCCTTCAACTGCTTCAGCTCATCACTTCTTCATTCGCAATATCTCTCTTCACTGATAATCATCTGCTTGTTCTTTAAGGCTTGAACTCCAAGTTCTGTGATTGATAGGATCACCCTCCAATCCCACAATCTCATTCCTCACGTTCAGGGGCAAAGATTTGCTCGCTTAAACTAACCGCTTTTTAAAGCGGACTCGCCGTATTCTTGAAAGACCCCGTAGAACGAACGTGTTTGAACTCATCGAGATAATGCCTTCTTTCAGCCTCAGTGGAGCTCCGGCTTTTACGTATTCGCTCTTTTCGACGGAGCCAGACCCTTGAGCAAAAATTCCTTTATAACCGATGGAGATCCACTCGCTAGCCTTCAATTGACTTTCTCTCTCTGTCCAGTCCATCCCCTCATTCTCTAGTGTTCGGTGCATTATTGGCCTTCACAGACAGTCACTCTTTTCGTACTCTCTCTGCGAACTGATCAGCCATGCGGTCCTTCTCTCCTATTTCTGCTGCAGTGCTTTTGGTGCAGCCATTCCTTGCTGCGGCTGAGACCAGAGTGGTAACGGGGACTACCCAGTCATGCACATGGACTGACAACGCCTTGTCAAATCCTTCATTCGACTCCGGAGTTCTTACTCCCTGGGCTGTCTACAATGGATACGGTACTGCTTCGATTGTCGCCGATGCCTCCGGCGACGGAGGCTACGTCGCGTAGGTGAAGCCTCTCTCGACAATGGGCAACTACTAACGCACAAATGAACAGAGCAATGGTTCCCAGTTCATCCTCATACGCCGTACTATATCAGACCTTGACCGACCTGGTCGCGGGCGATACCTACTCGTTGTCTTTCGACTACAAGATCCAGTCCGCGACAAGGGCAGGAACTTGCAATTTCTACTTCGCCATCGACGGCATCACCGCAGCAAGCCGAATCACGACGACGGTCAATGGATATATTCAATACAGTACTACTGAGACCGATTGGCAGACTCTATCGACTACCTACGTACCCTCGAGCAGCAGCCTAGACATGTACATCCAGGTGATCTGCAGCTCCGGAGTTCGCGGCATTGCGGCTCAGCCGACCATCTACGTCGACAACACGCAATTCTCCAATCCCAACAAAGAAATCGAGATCTGCACGGATGTACCCTATGCCTCCACCATCACGCTTCTTCCCACTCCAACCGTGACTCCCACGTCGACGCCTGTCGTGACTCCTTCGCAGGCCGTGACTTCCAGCGCTAGTGTGATTACGGCAGCATCCTCCAGCGTCATCGCAAGCGCGATCTCCTCGCCCCAGCCGTCCGCTTCTTTGCAGGCATCATCCTCCATAGTGGTGCCATCATCTATCGTGTCGATTCCCGCCGCATCTACCCCCATCATTCCATCGAGCCAAACCGTCTCTACATCCCAGACGCCTCAATTGTCCGCCCCGTCCAATCCCCCAACGACTTCCCCCGCCGCACCTTCGTCCACATTGATCCACTCGAGTTCTGCTGCCGCGCCATTCTCGTCTACTATATTGTCAGTGCCGGGGTCAAGTTCAATCACTCGTTCTGTGACTCCCAGCCCCAGTGCCATCGCATCGCCTTCTAGTGTATTTGAGGACGTCGTGACGATCACAACTACCGTCTATACCACGGAGCTGATTGTCGAGACCAACTGTCCTGTCCTGGAGTACTGAGCCGGCAGTCCTTTGTCCATACATTCTGTTCAAATGAGATCTAAGAATATTTACTACCAGTCATTGTTCCGAGAGCTTCTCAGTCTGAGTTCCTACGATATATTGCCATAGCCCGGACGAAATCACTGTATAAGATCTCCGAGATCCCAAGGTAGATCTGCAATCGGACGGAATAGGATAAATCGAGTAATGGAGAGCCAAGGCTATCGAGTAAAAATTGTCTAAAGCAAAAGCCAGTAGTTTCGGTTTGTCAAGCTACCACGCAACTACAGCAGCAAGATATCAAGCATATCCTTTTCTTCAAATTTATTTAACAATTCCTCAAACCTATCAATTCAAAGCAATCTAGACCACCTTTACACACATATAGATACACAAGCGAGCGACAGCACATTCCCAAGCCCGATCCAACCAACATCCCCCTCAGAGAGGACAATCGAAGTAACAAGCGCAGTACCCCTTGGCATCGAAGACGGTGTCATCCTTGCCGCAGACGCAGTTGGTGCTGTCGGCCTTGGACTGGATGTCCTGGCCGGCGTAGCGCACCTCGACCGAGGTGCAGCGGGTGAGGGTCTTGCTGGTGTCCTGGCCGCAGTACATGTCGACGGTGTAGGGCAGCACGGAGGTGAAGGTCTGCCAGGAGTTGAAGTGTTGCGACATCTCGGAGATGATCTTGCCGTTGGGGTCGGTGACGAAGCCCGTGTGCGAGTGGTAGTTCTGGGTGCCCAGCGTCGGGCCCATGTACATCGAGGCGTCCTCGTTGGCGTAGCCGGCGATGCAGCGCTTGCCGTCGGGCTTGAGGGTGGTGATGGCGGTGGCGGTCGTGGCCAGGGCCGCGAGCACGGTGGTGGTTGCCGTGAGGAAGTGCATTGTGGAAAACTGAAGTCTTTGGGTTCGGGGTGTTTGGACGGTGGGATTGGCTTGGTTTGTGTGGGGTTGAGGTTGGAGAGGAAGAGGAAGAGGAAGCTGGATGATGGGATGAATGAGTTGAGTAGGGGTTCGTCCGCTCTTTATACTTGTGAGTCTCTCTATCATGAGAGACGTACGATGATTGACCTTCCTTATTGAGTAGGAGACGTTTTTCTTGGGCGTGGAGATGTCTCATATTCCTGAATCCTGATATGGAGACGCGAGATGGTGTCTACTACACCAAGGCTTCTCATGAGGAGAGTCAGGGTCCTTCCAGGAGTTTGGCTCTTCAAACGGCGTATAGGCATAGAGCGTGGGGGCGATCTCCACTTCTCGTACCTGCAGCTCAGGTTGGATGCGCTGCGAGTGGGCCATGCATCAAATTAACAATCCGGACTGCATTCGCCGATGGTCTCCCGCAGGCAAGTTGTTGAAGAGCTCTGGCGATTACTAACACTAATCGAGTCTCCGACTCTGAGCTATTGAGCCTCTGGTGAAGAAGTATGCAATCAGCAAAAGGTCTGTCAGAATCGAACCTCCTGCTCTTCGGAACCCTTCCGCCTCCAGCTTAGCTCCTGTTACTGGCTCCAGACAGCCCTATATTAATTCCCTCTATCGTCCCCATATGAAGGTCTCATATACCCGAGAAAATTACCATCATTGAACTAGCTTCACCATCATCTCCATGTACAGAGCGGGGAACAAGCTTCCCTTGCCCTGCAGGAATATTTAGCTTGGGGGCCGAAGGAGTGGGAGAGGCTGTGAGGCTGTGGAAGCGGGTCCTTCAGGGTCCACCCCTCAGCCTTCCGCCGGATACAAGCGCCCGTTTCGCGACCAGGGTCTGAAGGCGTTGAGGGGGATTTCCGGACACTTATAGATCAGGTTCGATTGAGGAAGGCAAACCGAGAGACTCAATTAGGCATCATGCTGATTTAGACTGTTACGGGGCACGTGACGAGCACTATCGCGTGCACAGTCCAGGACAACAGGAAGAATATCCTGCTGTCGTGCGAGCTCAGTGAACTTTGGTCGCATCGTTTTCTGTTTGCTTGTTGACCGATGTACACCGAAGTTCTTATTCTATACCCTAATTCAACGGATGTGATGCCCTGTGACTTAACTTTATGGTTGACTCGCAGTTATTGATGCTGGTCTTGTAGAGAATTAATAGCTCAAAAGTTGCCTGACACAACAGAATGTCTGTACTGTGATCATCATTGCATTGAATGCAGTCTTATTCCAGAGCCACGCAGTCTGTTTCCCAATGCCTTGTATACCCTTGCAACAGCAAAGGTTGAACTTCTGCTCGGAAAAGCCGACTGTGAGGCCGACAATTCGGTTTCGGCTTTGGGTTCCCCCCACTGGACCCGACCCCGAGCTCAAGACCGAGGCCGACCCCGACCCCGAGACGGACATACCTAATTCAGCGCAAACCTCGGATTTATGCAAGGCAGTGACTTTTTCGCATCTTATCGCCGAGCGCATGCCACGCCTGAATAAAGGAGCATCATGCTCACAATTCATCTTTAATCTCAACCACATCTCATTCCCGAGAAAAACAGAAGTCCAATCATGTCTCGGTCGGAAGAGGCTCACCAGCACCATCCGCCACACCATGGGAAAGCCGTGCTAGCCCGTGTCTTGGACGAGATGGGGCTCGTCACCGTCTGGCGGTCCCCGCGCGACGTGAAGCTCCTCTGCGCCCAGCGGTTCGTGCGGCTGTTCGCCTACGGGGCCTCCACGCTGATCCTCGTGTCGTATCTCTCCGCGCTGGCCATCTCGGAGGAACGCATTGGATTATTCATGACCTTGACCTTGGTCGGGGATGTGGTGATTAGTTTCCTGTTGACGTTGTTTGCGGATGCGATGGGGCGGCGGGCGGTCTTGTCGTTGGGGTCGGCCTTGATGGCGGGGAGCGGGGTGGTTTTTGGCCTTGGGGCTGGGTTCTGGGGGTTACTGGCTGCTGCGGTGTTGGGAGTTATCAGTCCGAGGTATGTTGCTCCTCATTTCTGTTTCCTACGTCTGCGATCTATATTTTTCTTTCTACTCTTGCTTGCTACTTATATCGACCGTATCACGTATGTGAGGAGGATCACGCTAACAGAGCTTCCAGCGGCAACGAGATCGGCCCCTTCCGGGCGGTGGAGGAGTCCACGCTTGCGCATCTGACCCCCCACGAGCATCTGAGCGATATTTTTGCTTGGTATTCTCTCCTCGGGTCGGCGGGGACGGCCCTGGGCATGATGTCGTGCGGGTGGGCTATCAAGTTCCTGCAAGTCACGAAAGGGTGTGATTTCATCACCGCCTGCCGGGTCATGTTTTTCGGGTATGCTGCGGTCGGGGTGGTGAAGTTGGTTCTGACCCTCTGCTTGAGTCGAAAGGTTGAGGCGATCCAGGAGGACGACCGTGTAGCGGAGGAGGCGCAGGAATCTGGCGAGACTGAGGCGCTGCTAGGTGATCGTCCACGCGAAGAGTCTCTGCAACAACAGCAGCAGCCGCCGAAGAAGGATAAGCCGTCACTGTTCGCTGCGTTTGATCGTGATCTCCTGAGCCTGGTGCTCAAGTTGTTCCTGCTCTTTGGACTGGACTCGTTTGCTTCGGGACTTGCGTCACTGTACGTTCTCCCCTTTTGAGGCTTCTTGCATTCCGGATAGATGCTAATCTGGCTGCAGTTCCTGGATGACATACTTCTTCAAGCGCAAGTTCTCGCTCCCCGAGAGCGAGCTGGGGTCTATCTTCTTCACCACGTCGATCATTTCCGCCGCGTCAATGATCGTCGCATCTTCCATTGCGAAGCGTATTGGTAATGTCAAGGTCCGTGTCAGCCCGTCCAAATCCTCTTTCAAGATTAGTGAGACTAACTTCCCTGCAGACAATGGTATTCACCCACCTCCCCTCCGCCATCTGTCTCGCCATGATCCCATTCCCCTCCGCCCTTCCCCTGGCGCTGATGTTCCTGATCCTGCGAGCGTGCACGCAGAACATGGATGTGGCTCCGCGGTCGGCCTTCCTGGCCAGCGCCTTGCCGTCGGACAAGCGCACCGCCATCATGGGCGCGGTCAATGTGGTCAAGACCAGTGCGCAAAGTATGGGCCCGCTGATCACCGGCGTGTTGGCTAGCAGGGGGCTGTTTGGGGCCTCGTTCACTGTGGCTGGTGTTCTGAAGGCATGCTATGATATCGGCATGTTGGTTTGCTTTGGTGGGCGGAGTGCGCGGAGGTAGGTGGGGATGGGCTAGAGCACTACCCAAAAGCATTGTTTACAATTGAGGTTTTTTTCATTGGGCCGCACAAGTGCGGTATAGTTTTGGTGAGAGCGAGAATGCTCCTCTCAGCTTCATGCATCTGCCAAGCGAGATCCCGACCAATGCGATGATCTTACGGTCACCCTGCCCGGAGAATATATATTCCCAGTTGGTAGAAAAGCAAGGATCTTCTTTCTATCAGCACCTTGTGCCACCTTATTTTGAGGAAACTCGTATCGGGGATTAGATATCGATGCTGTCACTCTGCGGGGGCGGGGATATTGCTGATAGTATTCCCGCTCCCAGCCAGGGTTCCCTGTGCTTGAGACTAAGTAAGTTTATTGTCCGATGGGATGGCTTCATCTTTGCTCGACCATGGTTCCATTGCTCGCAACCTTATTCTCTAGACGCATACCCGCTATTTATAGCGACCTTATATAACCTGTCTATATCCTACCTTTGTTGCACACAACATCTCGTTCCTGACCGGGCCTCCATCCCCTCTCTTCATACGCAAGTCCAAGCCTCCCACCCGTGCGAGCCACCACCAATGTCCCTCAGCGACCTCCTTTTCGACACGTGCATCATCGGCGGCGGGGCAGCAGGCGCCTACGCCGCCTACCGCCTGCACCAGCTCAACCACACCGTCGCCATCGTCGAGCGCGGCCCTCACCTGGGGGGCCACACCGTCACCTACCGCGACCCGATCCTCACCAACAACCAGCCCATCGACTACGGGGTCACCTGGCTCCAGAACCTGCCCGTCATCCGCGACGCCTTCGCCCACTACAACGTCCCCCTCATCAAGGAGAAAATCGACTACGCAATCGACATGTTCGACTTTACCACGGGGGAGCCCCTCACTCCGCTCCCCGCCAACGAGACCACCGCCACGCTCGACCGCTACAGCACCCTCCTCGACCAGCACCCGTACCTCGCAACCGGGTTCGAAGACCTTCCCGACCCCGTGCCGGACGATCTAGTCGCGCCTTTTAGTCACATTATGGACAAATACCATCTAGGTGGGCTCCTCGACACCTTCAGCTCATGGCTCAGTGGCCTCGGCGAGTGGCCGGACTACCCGACGCTGTATGTGATGAAGTACGTGGGGACGGACTACCTAGCCGGCCGACTTCAGCTGGGGTGGGTACGGCCGAAGAGCCACGATGCGAGCGAGATCTACCGGGCGATGGAGCAGGAGTTGCGACAGAGTCAAACGTTGCTGTTCAACAGTAGCGTAGTGCAGGTGGATGCTCGCGATTCTACTGTTGATCGCGTGGTAGTGGATGTGGCCAGTACGGTGGACGAGACACGAAGGCCGATCATCACCACAACACGCCGTCGACGCATCCGTGCAAAGACCCTCCTCTTCGCTGCGCCTCCCTTACCCGACAACCTCGAGGCGCTGGGCCTGGATGAACGGGAACGAGCCCTGTTCCGCCAGTTCAAGGACCCGTGGTTCTACACGGCACTGATCCGGGTGGACGGGTTTCCGGACAGCACGTTCCTGGAGAACCACGGCAAGGACCACCCCTTCCATCGCCCGCGCCTCCCGGCGGTGTTGGCCTTTCGGCCGACAGATGTGTCGACAATCGTCCGGGTCACGGTGGGGAGTAAATCGCGGGGTCTGTCGGAGGCGGAGGTGGAGGACTGCATCCGCGCCGGGGTGGACAGCGTGCAGCGCAGGCTGGGCGGCGGCAACGTGTCGGACCCGGAGATCCTGGCGGTGCGCGATCACTCGCCTTATACGTTGACGGTCTCGGGTGCGGCGATCGCGGCGGGGTTCTACCGGCAGCTGAGTGCTTTGCAGGGCCATCGCCGGACCTACTACACGGGCGCGACATTCGATACGCATCATATGCCCCAGGTATGGATGGTTACCGATCAGGTCCTGCAGAGGCATTTACTTCCCGCACTGCGGGGCTTGAGAGGTTGAGGGCTGGGCTAGGGGGTATTTTCTCCGACGATACTGTGATAGTTTGGCTAGGTTTGTAGCTGAAGGTCTCGTATTCTGATGCTGTGCAACCATTCTGGGTGCAATAAGTAGATAGTGGCATGCCCGGCATATATACCGAGATCATGTGGGAACATAAAGTGGGGGGAAATGACGATAGTCTCTTCAGACACAATGAGACCTAATCTCACCCGTCTAGTCCATCTTGGTGCAACTGCTTACGCTTTTCAGCTGCTCTGTGCTCAGAGAAAGTCGATGGCTACATAGAGCGTCTGCCGCCGCTGGCGCTACATACATATTTCCCATTCGGGCCCTTCATCTCACCGTTACCGTAGTTACCATAAGGTGAGTCGGTCGCAAGTTCGTGCATTTAGGAAGGCGGTAAGTCACCCGACACTGCAGCCCCGCGGGAATGCTATAGGTACAGCTTTGTGTGCGACCCTCATCGCAAATCAAATCACGGTTCAGTCATTAATTTCAAATAGTTACCAAAAGAATATGTCTTAACTAAATTCAATCGATTTATTCCAACTTGAAGTCTAGTGATTGAGATCCATGCAATTAACCACGTGTATCCCAATTGCCCCAACAACGCAACTATTGCACACACATTCAGTAGAAACACATATCTCCGCACCCGAGAATCCCTCCAGAGGGCTCGGTGCAATGAAATTCTCCCCAGAACTGCGTCATATGTACAAGACGGTGGCATCACCCGAAACCCTTCCTTAATTCGTCCAAATTTACTGCTTCTGCTCCTCCCCGGGCACCAGCTCCTCGAAACGGCGGAGATCCATCTCCTTCTCGAGCAAGGGGATGACGTAGGGGTCGAAAGTCTTCCAGTAGGGGTTCTCGAGGTGGTACTTCTGGGAGCCCTCGTTGAGGTAGCGCTCGACGATGCAGAAGTCCTGCTTGTCGTGGACGCTCTGCATCACGAACCAGGAGAGGGTCTCCTTGTCCTTGGAGTAGACGGCCGAGGCCTCGAGGAGCTTGGCGTGCAGCTTGTTGATGCTCTCCTCGTCGGGCTTGGCGCGCATGTCTGTTGTTCCCGGGAGGGAAGGTTAGTTCTATGGGTTCGATGTGTTCTTGGGGGGGGGGTAAAAGTTGCAGGGTTCGAGGTTTCACGTACGAACAACGATGGTGTAGACCATTTTGGCGGATTGTGTGGGGGTTTTGGGTTTTTGAGAGGTTGCGGAAGAGGTGAGTAACGAGGTTGGAGGAGAGAGTTGGGCAGTGAAGAAGCTCCGGGGAACAACCAGGGTGGTCGGATTGTTTTTGTACTGTAGGTTGGAGAATCAACCCCGGTTGACTGAGCTCCTGACCCCCCCCACCCCTCACGGTCTCACCCTCAGTGCCCCTCGGTGGGGCAATGGAGGGGAAAAGGCCTTCCAGCTTGGAAAGTTACTCCATACTTTTGGCCCGGTGAAGCGGGCGGATGTTCCCCGCGTGGTGGTGGCCGGTCGAGTTGGTTCACCATGCTCTACAGGCATGGGCTGAGATAGAGAACGGTATTGGAGTTATGCACGACGATCTATACCGATCCAGCTGATTGTAGGTTTGTGTATCTGCATAGAACGGTCGCAAAGCCGAAGGTCGCTCCCCGAATCTTGAGGGTAGGGCATCCCGATCAGGTGGATCCGAACTCTGTTTCGGGGTTTCTTCGGGGGGCCACCGATGCCGGCGACCCCATTGGCGGGCGAGCTGGAGTCGTGCGTCATACTCCAACTTACCTACGGTCTAAACAGGTCGTTGGGTGATGGGCGCATACTGTAGAATCGGCTTCCAGCATCAGTGTTGTCTCTTTGTTTTTTTGCGATCCTTGGTCGGTGCAGCGATATATCAAGTGTAAGACGCTACTTAGGTCTGCTGGTGCTATCCGCTGATACAATTGAAATGAGAACGTAGAAAGTAACAGGCGCAGCAGTAACAAATGTCCCAATCTAGCAGTAAGTTGGCGTGTCCTTTTGCAAGAAGGAGAGAAAAGCAGAGGAAGGGCCAGAATCCCGACCGTTCATGACAGCCACGAGGCAGAACAACAGATAAGTAGTCTACAAGATAGCCTTTAGCTGAAGAGCCGAGATCTGATGTGAATTGCAGTAGCGAAGACCCTGCTCAACAAAAGATTCAGACTGCAGCTCACTCAATTTTCCTTCTTAGGTGTACCTCTATCTTAATGACGCTGTTACCTATCTGGGACTAGCGCCATATTAATGGCGGAACAACCCGGGTTGTAAAGGCAGACCCCTCGGAGATGCATTGAGAGTGAAAAAAATCCACCAAGAAGAATGCTCTCATGCGTCTCCGATGCGGGGAATCGAACCCCGATCTCCTGTGTGAAAGACAGGTATGATAGCCGTTACACTACATCGGAGGTAGTGAAAGAGTGCTTTTGTTTTGCAATTCAAGTAGCACAGTCTGTCTAGCTATCATAATCTCGACACAGTTGCGCAGGTCCTCCTTCGTCCCCCGGCCCGGAACCACCGTCACAACTGATCAATTAGGCTAAATACTCTTGGGAAGGAGGGCAGAAAGCTGCAAAACTGGCCTGGATAACCTGTTCTCGAGTATCTTACCTTCCCGTAATCCGCATGCCTCTGAGCCACAGAGCGTTGTCATTAGCACTAGTTGGAAATTTGGACACCGCTCTAACACCAATTCTGCGAGTCTGGGTGCCCCGATGATAGATCCTGATGTTACACTGGAATAGAAGTGAGCTCTTCTGCAATAACCTACGTTCATTGATGAGAAATAGGGCTAAGTCTGCCGCACAGTTCAGCCCGGCATTCGCCCTAATCATTTTTCCGTCTTTACCGGCAGTCCAGTCTCCGGGGCGTTGGAACTGAGCATGCATGCCCAGGCGCAGAAGACCTTCACAACTCAAGACTGGGCTTCTTCCCGCAACCAAGACCTCGGCGAATGCAGTAGATAATTCCGAACAGACTCAACTACGTACATCGGACATGTTCTCAAGACTTTAACCGTGCTAACCGTATCACCCCTCAACCTTGGTCCAAGAACAAACACACACAACATCATGGAACGATCCATCCCCGTGCAGAACACGAGTCAGCTAGCCAGCCTTGTCTCAAAACCCCCTCACAATTCCTCCTTCCTCCTCGCCTCGTGTCAGCCCAGATGTTCCTCACTCGCAATGTTCCATCCGCCACTGCCCACTACGTAGTTATCTGATTGATCCAGCCACCCCCGACCAACCAGGATGGCACACTGCGCTGCACCCGCAGCATTGAATACGGGGGGGGGGGTGTTAGTTAAAGGGTCGACAAGTTGAGAATCTGCATGTCTCGTCCCTTCAGCTGCACCGAGCAGGCCATTCAGCCCGCAGGGATGCGGATGCAGGCAGTTGGAGAACCCCATCATTGCCCAAAGAGGCAGGCCGGATCCGCTGCGAGCCGACGCGGGATTCGCCCTAGCGCAGGTCGGCAACCAGGCACGGAGCGAGAATCGCTCGTATTCCATATGTATTCTGCACAATCAGAAGTCTGCCCAAGTTACCTAGACCGACCCTAAGCCGCTAGTTCCGTTCCTCGGTGGCGAAAGAAATAGGTCGCCAGGGTCTTACCCGAAGAGCGGGGGTTTTTTTTCGTTCTCTAGTGTCGCCAACAAAACCACAAGTTGATCCCTGCTTCGATACTGCCAAGACGGTAGGGTGTCTTGCCGCTGCAGAAATCCCATTCGCGCTGTCTCAACTATGGGGATAATTATAGCACTAGAAGGAGTATGGTAGTATCCACGGTTGGACATGGGTCGGTTCGAAGAATGGTAAAAAAAAAAAAAAAAAAAAAAAGACCCTGCGGAGGTGGGGTTATTCTACCATCGATCCATGGATCGGATCGATTATATAAAGGGGGAAAGGCAGAGCAAGGCTGGTCTTCAAACAATTTCAACCATCACTAAAGGAAATACCCATCTCAGACAGCCATTCACCTGACAAAATGCACGCCCTAACTACCCTCTTCACCCTCCTCACCGCTGCCACCAGCACCACCAGCGCCCTCTCCATCCAACCGCGCGACCCGGCCCCGGCCTCCATCACGCCGCCCGAGGGCTGCCCCATCCCGACCTGGGAGGTGACCTACTTCCACTGGTTCAACGGCTCCAAGTCGCTGGACTGCATCCACAACCCGGCGGACATCGCCTTCAAGGACTGCCTGTGCGGCAACGCCTGGTGCGACCAGGACCCGGCCACCTGCAACGGCACCATGGTCCCCGTCTGCTACACGGGCATGCCCAACTACCAGCCCTGGGGGTACGGGCCCCCGCAGACCCTGGCCATCGACTTCGCCGACGGCCTGGAGTGCCGCGACACGTACATCGGCTACCGCATCCACGACATCGCCCACGGCGAGTCCAACTGCGGCTACGCCGACCGCGGCCTGGGCCGCATCGTCTCGTTCTACGGCACCTCCAACGAGGACTCCTCCGTCGGCCACATGGATTACGAGCTCGGCTCCGGCCACGCGCTGACCTGCAACAACGGCAGCAAGATCACCTACCACGGCAGTGTGGATTTCCAGTTGAACTGCGTGCATGATGCGTTCTTCAATGCGACGTGCGATGCCGCGCCGTTTGAGATTCCGGTTCTGAGCTATGAGTGGGTTTCTTAGGTGATTCGATTGGAGGTTACGGGTGGTGGTGGTGGTGGTGGGGTAAGGGGCATATGAAGGGGGCGGGTCAATGGGCAGGGGACTTAGGGCTGGGAAGAGAGCGGGTGTAGATAAATGCATGTGGTTTCGATGTGTGATGAGCAATGAATATATGTATGTCTGTGAATCATGGAATCTATGACGGCATGGCTTCGTCGAGTGACGCTAGACCATGATCTTCGAACTCTTTACAATATACAATAATGCAGGTCTCCATCTCAGCCCACAGTGCAAAAACAAGCCTCACTGCGTCGGCAACGGAAACTCGGCACATCCCACCGCCAACGCACTCACCGGCATCAGACTCGACACCGTCCCGTTCGCGCCAAAGGCCATCGCCTGCCCGTCCGGGGTATATGCAGGCCAGCCCATGCTCGGGAGGGCGTGGACCGGGTCCTTCATAAAGGCCAGATACAGATCCTGCCAGCGCGTCGACACCGCCCGCTGCAGCGCCGTCGGCGCACCCCCGTACCACTGGTAGGTGCCAAACAGCAGCGGCAGCTCGGAGGCGTGGTACGCCTTCTCCCACGGCCGGGGCGAGGTGTTCGGGAAGTGCGCCAGATTGTACCAGCGGAAGGTGAGCGAGGAGGTGTTGTAGCGCAGTCTGCGGCAGCTGTCAGGTATTTCTGCTTCGAAGAGAAGAAAAACGGTCAAACGTACTCATTATAGTAATTCGCCGGACATTGGTCCGTCTCCAGCGTCTGATGATGGATATACGTCTGGTTCGGGCCCTGCGGCCCCACCCACGCGACGAGTGAGGCTTCTTCGTTGGCGTTTGTGCCGAGGATCGCGGGCTTTTCCGTTCCAGCTCGTCAGCATATCTCCCCAACCTTCCCCCCCCCTTTCTTTCCTCTCCAATAACACAGCCCATGGGAGAACATACCAATCCCGAATAATTGCCCTCCAGCGCGCGCTCAGTAAAGTTCCCAAACTTAGTCACCCCATCCACGATCGTTGTGAACTTCAGCGCCGGCGTGTCCGCACCGAGGGTATAGTTCTCGTAGAAGGCCACCAGCGCCTCCGCACTGACGTTGTGCCGCATGCAGGCCAGCTCCTCGCTGGCGGCCAGCCCACCCCCGCAGCCCAGCTGCTCCGCCACGAAGGTGAAGTTGCTGTGCGTGACGTCCTTGCTGGCGCCCGTCGCGAACACGCTCCCGGAGTGCATGATCAGCCCGTGCACGATGGGATCCGCCGGCCACGCGAAGTTGAAGTAGTCCACGCTGGCGGCGCCGGAGCTCTGGCCCCACAGCACCATGCGCGAGCGGTCGCCGCCGAAGGAGGCGATGTTGTCGCGCACCCATTCCACGGCGAGGCGTTGGTCGAGCAGGCCTTGGTTGGTGTTTTGGTTGGTGGCGGCTAGGCCGGCGGCGTTGGGGAAGCCGAAGATGTTGTTGCGGTAGCTTTGCGGGGGTGGTAGGTGTGTTAGTTTTCGTGATGGTGGTGGTGGTTTGTAGTGTGAGGGTGCGGAGGGCAGAGGGCGGTTAGGGCTGGGTGGGCAGTTGTCGTGGTTGTGGTGGGGGGTGGGGATCACTCACTTGACCGCAATGACGATATGTTCTTGCGTCCGTTGGATCCAGGGACTCGGATTGAATCCGTTCGTCAGCAGGCCTCCTTCATAGAAACCGCCACCGAAGAGCCAGATGAGGACCGGCAGGGGGCCAGGGGTGCGCGGATGGAGCGGCGCCCAGATGTTCAGGGTGAGACAGTCTTCCGACCAGGGTCCGTAGGGCTGCAGCCACGGGGAGTCGATGGTGTAGACTGACGGGTCGGTGACGGTGGTGAGAGGGTACTGGGGGCAGTTGGGGGAGATTTTGGTGGCGTCGATGGTGCGGTTGGCGTGGGCTTTGGGCTGCGGTGGTGCAAATCGGAGGTCGCCGAGCGGTGGTTCGGCGAAGGGCACGCCCAGGAACTGAGCCACCCCCGGTGTTGAGCCGTTGATCATGCCATACACCTGACCGATCGTCGTGTTGACTTTCAACGAGAGGGCTGCCGCTGCAGGTACGAGCAGGCTTAGAGGGATGAGTGACCTCATCTTGACTTGTATGCACTTGCTAGATACTGCATGTCGTGGCCGAAAGTATAGACCGCCGTGGTTGCTTTATACGCCTGCTCTCTGTCCTGGGTATGGCAATGGCGGAAATGATGCTGGAGAGCCAAGATCGGGTTACCGGTTGTGACTGCGGAGTTTAGTCCTCACCAGGCAAGGACCAAAAGGTTAGCTGATGGAGTGGACCCTGAAGCGTTGAGTAGTGTGGGGAATCCGGGGTGACAACCCCAACAATGACGCTCATTGATGCGGGATGGTGCGGGTTTACTCCGGACTGGAGTCTGTGAATGGCCCAGAATTGCCGGTTTCTGCATCCCTGACTCGGTTTCTTGGATATCGACAGAGGGGATGGCCGGTTCTCCTGTCGAAGGCGGATAAATCCTTTGGCGGACGAGGACTCGCCGAATCCTGCGGGCGGCTTGTGGAATTTGACTCGCCTATTATCGTCAATCTACAGACTACAACAGTAAAGGCTAGCTGTAGTGCCGGGATAATATTACCATAATACAAGAAAATGAACTGTTGTATTAAGTCTATCTGTAAAAATCGGCAATAGCCGCACAATCATTTTATTGTGCGTCCGTGTCGAGCAAGGAAGACCGGCAACACCACTGCCGGGCTTTGCATGACAAGCGAATCTTCAGGTCTCATCGTCTAAGAGTAAATATCGCCCCATTTCAAGGCGAGGGCGATGGACTCTTAGCCTCCGCCCTCCGCGCAGCCTCATCCCTCTCTGTCTTCCGCCACCCCGCCGCAAACCTCCACTGGATGAAGGGCCCCACCAACGCCAGCAGCTGCACGGCCACACAGATTGTGAACGCGACACCGACTCCCACTCCGTCAATCATCGGCATAATAAAGCTCGTGCCCCCGGCCGCAAACAGACACCGCGCGAGGTTCAAACTAGCGCTGGCAGCCGCACTGCGCTCGGGGAACACATCCACCAGGTAAGTCATGATGAGCGACTGGGTCGAGACCGCCGTCCACCCGGTGATGAAGGTCGAGACTATCGGCACCGCGATGTGCACCTTGTGCGGATACTGGATCGTCCACCCGAACAGGATGATGGAGCAGCACTGGAGGAGCGAGAAGACGGGCACCAGGCGCAGACGCGCCCGCTCCAGGGGGAAATCTGCCTCCCGCGCGGAAGCGAGGGCTGTCGCGCTCGCGGTGCCGGAGTAGCCAGTGTCGTGTTCCGCGTCGAAGGAGGCTTCGTACGCGGCCTTCACCCGCCGGTAATCCGCGTCCAGGATCTTGCCGGTGACCAGGGTGCCGATCATCGAGCCGACGCCGTTGGCGATGAAGGTCAGCCCGATTTGGATCTCGGTGAGGTTGTAGTGCTCCTCGAAGAGGGAGGACATGGCGGTGATGCTCATCTGCCAGACGGCGTAGAAGATGGCGAGGAAGAGGATGATGGGCGCCGCGTGGTTGGAGAGGAGCATGCGGACCGGGCCGAGGAGGTCGATTTTCTTACGGGAGGCGCGCTGGGTCTGTGGGTCTTGGGAGTAGTCCTGCCAGGGGGTCTTGGTGGTGCGTTGGTACACGTCCAGTGGGAAACGGGTTAGTGGGTTGGAGGGGGTGCGGCTGCCGTTGGCGACGATGGAGCGGAGGGTTTCTGGCAAAAGGATGACCAGCAGGCACAGGAACACGCCGCCATAGATGGTAAGAAACCAGAAGATCGCCTTCCAGCCGAGAGAGCCGGCAATGGCACCGCCGATGATGGGGCCCACGGCGACGGGGACCAGGAGGCCGGCTTGGAAGATCCCCATGTAGCCGCCGCGCTCGGCTCGGGTCGTGATGTCGCCGATGACCCCAGAGCCGATGGCGATCGTACTGGCGCTTCCCGTGCTCTGGAGGCACCGCAAGACGATTAGCTGGGCGTAGCTCTTTGTCAAGGCGAGACCGATGCAGGCCCCGACGAACACCACGAAGGTGCCCATGTAGGCGGTGCGTCGCCCTCGCACATCGGAGATGGGGCCCCAGAGGCTGGGGGCTAGACCTTGGAAGATGAGATAGGAGGTCACACTCAAATTGACCAGTTCGACGGAAACATTGAGATCTCTGGCGATAGTAGGAAGTGCGGGGAAGTAGATGTTAGATGCGAAGCCGGAAACTAGAATCGAGAGTCAGTTGCTGACTGGTCGGCCAAGGTTCGGCTTTGCATGGGTGGGTGACTTGACCGTACAAGTTGCGGCTGTGGAAACCAGAACGATGATTAACCATTTCTGTCGCTTATCAAAGATGCTGTATGGTGCTTCAGGTGTGACATGTGCAGGAGACTGCTCTGTGGTGAATGAAGCGGGCGCGCTTGGGGTTAGATTTGCTGGCGCCGGCTGCCCCGGTTGCTGCAGTTGTGCTGGTTGTGCTCTTAGGGATTTATTGTCCAGTGACATTGTGTAATGTGTTGATGACTCTGATTGAGAATTGAGGAGAGATCTGCAAGGCTTTCCAAGTATACTAAAGGTTGCAGACAGCGTTGGATCGGTTGCTTTATATGCCTTAAGTGACGCATTCGTCGCAGTGGCAAGAAGCTGCATCAAACAGAGCCCAGATATCGGTATTCCGAGAAGCCTCGGAATTCCGTACTCACATTTCCACTTCAAAAAGAGTTGAGTGGGGAAAGTGTCATGTGAGGATCAATGAGACACCAATAAGAAAGCATCTCGGAACTCCGCTGTGCCCTTCCACTCAAGGGGCGCTGAGACCCCGATGTACCGTACTGATTGCGTAGGGATATAATTGCTTAACAGTCTGAGTGAGAACTCTCCCTATCCCTGCTGCATAAAATCCTGGGCCTGATGATACCCTGCTAGTCAATTCCCGCAATTCGATACGATTCATTCCTCTACATGACCACCTCCAGCACAAGCCCCCTCAGCTTCGGCGAGAACTACGCGGTCCTCAACCTGGACTGGATGACGGTTTTAATCGACGCTGTGAAAGATACCCCAGAAGGACATGTATTCATCCAAAGCTGCAACAAATGGAACGCAGCCATCCACCAAAAGTCCCCACGTCCGCTCACCGTCTTCTCCACCCTCTCCTTCCAACGCGGCCAGCCCGAGGTCCAGCCCAACACGCCTTTCGCCAACCTGATCGCTCCATACGGCGAGTTCGGGACTGGTTCATCGGAGGTGCGGATCGCTGAATACTTCAAGCTCGACGAGCAAGACATCATCCTACAGAAGACGCGGTGGAGTGCGACCATGGGCAGTTCCTTGGAGCAGATTTTACAAGCGCGCAACATCAGGACTGTCATAATGGTAGGGTAGTACCTGTTGACGTTATGAGTCTATTGCTAATGTAACTTTGGACAGTCTGGACTAAGTCTCTCCGGCGTCGTGATGGCTACGATCTACCGGTTGTTCGACCTGGACTACGATGTCTACGTGATCCGCGACAATGTCTTGGAGTTGCCGGTGGACCAGACCGCTGCGTTCTCGAGTGTTATGTTGGATATGCTGCTGCCAAAAATGGGGCTCAAGGTCATCTCGCTAGACGAGGCGCTTCAGGCGTTGGAGCGGTCGTAGTATAGGCCATGTTGTCGTATATTTGTGTACGGGGATTGGGGACTGTATAAGTATATGGCAAGAATGGTTGATATTGCATAGATCATCACGACAACTAATTCTTCTATCGTTGATAAAAGGATCTGTTACAAATGAGGGAAAAGGTTAAGACTGCCAACTTCTACAACCCATGGGACATAAATACTTCACTGGCTAACTACTAAGCGTATAACGGCCCCAAGCCACCAGTCAATAACTGATAGCAGAGCGCTAGCAAGAGGCAACTCTAGTGCCGCTGTACCAATATGAGTGAACAGCAGGCAAGCATCAAATTCATACTAGAAAACGGTGCTTGAAGTCAACACTCCCGCGTCGACAGTCTGCTTCTCGTCTTGCAAACGTCAGATATTATAGATCAACACCGACCACACCGACAACACAGCAAATCCACCACCTCCTTCCCAGCCCACACACTCCCCGCCAAACTCGCCCCCTTGCTCGCCTCGAACCCGGACACATAAAACAACCCCGCAATCAACCGCATCGCCGCCCTCTCGCGAGCCCTCACCTCCGCCCAGTCACCACCACCACCACGCGCCTTTCCCCCCCTCCGCACGACCGGCACCCCATTCTCCCACACCTGCCGATGCACCCACCTGACCCGCGGCGCCGGCGTACAACCCCGGTGCCGGAGATACCACCCCTCGTCGTGCACGCGGCCGCCATCGAAGACGCGGACACCTCGGAAGCGTGGATTCGGTTGATTAAGCTCCGCGTGCGCGTCGAACGACGGGATGTAGCGGCTCTGATGCGGAAAGGTGACCGTTTCCGGGAAGGCGGGGAGGCAGAGTCTGGCGATGTCGGCGTCGGTGAAGGGCTGGGTGGAGGTGATGCGGTAGAGGTTCTCGGTGTCGCCGCAGCAGCCGGCTATCCAGAAGGAGGGGGCGTGCGTGAGTGTGAGGAAGGGGGGTGGTCCTGATAGTGGCTGTTGGTCTTGGTCGTGAGTGGGCTGTGCGTTGGCATTGGAGTTGAGGTTCCAGATTTCGTCTGGAATGGGTTCTGTTGCGCTGAGTTTGAAGGCAGCGGGGTCGATATGGTAGCGAGAGATGAAGTGCGTGACGTGGAGCGGGGTGTACTCGACAGAGGCGGACTCCGCTGGTTGGAGGTGCGGTGGGCTGATGGCGGTCCCGGTCTGGGAGAAGGGGGCGACGATGATCACCGCATCGAAGTGCGCTGTGTGCCTCTCTTCGGTGCCCTTATCGGTGGCCCTTGTCCAGGAGATATCGAAATCCCGCTCGTCGAGGACATTGATATCGGTGACGGTGGACCGGAGATGGACGGTGGCCTGCGACAACAGCGCGAGTCGGCGCACCGCGCGCTCGTTCCCGCCTTCCGCTGACACCTGGGGTCTGGAAGAAAGGCCGTACTTGGCTGCAAACCTGGTCACCTCATCCTCGTATGGATTCACGGCCGCCGCAGCTTTATCCGCTGCATGGCTGAATATCTGCCGCCAGTCTCTCCAGTACCTATTTTCCCGCGCGATCGACACAAACTGAATGCATAAGTGCAGCCAGAACCAGCCTAACCAACGATGCCGCCAGACCAGTTTCGCAAAGTGCGTCGACGTCTCCGGACCCGACAATTTGGACGCGACAATAGCTCGTCCATCGAAGATCCCGACGCTGCGGCTCTGTGGCTCATCCCGGATTTTCCGACCGTGGGGAGCCACGAGTTCGACCCCTGCTTCCTGGAAGAGACGTCGGAGACGCCAGTCTTCCCACCAGAAAGACGCAGCACCCGCTTCGACCACCTCGCGACCCTCGTTGTATTTGAACACGCTGTGGATCCGACCGCCCAGGCGGTCATCGCGCTCAAAGAGGGTCGCTTCGGGGCACCATGTGGCTGATCCCCGGTTGCGTAGCTCGTAGGCTATAGATACGCCGGCGATGCCGCCTCCTGGATATTCCGTGAGTCGACGGGACCTGAGAGCTGCTGACTGCGCTACTGAGACGTACCTATGATTGCAATCTTTGTGGGTCTTTCGAGAGGTGTAAGGTCCAGGGAGTCTATGTCAAGATCAAGAGAGTCTGCATCGAGGGATCCAAGGTTGGGGTCTGATACTGAACAGATTTGTTCCATCATTGTGTGCACGAAAGCATGAAACGTAGATTCTCGAGAGGGGAACTCGGAGTTTTGAAGCTTAGTAGAATGATCAAGCTTGTGACAGTCGATCAAGCGTGGTTGAGGGTATCTTATGCATGCTTGATGATGGGTGCCTGGTGTAAAGGTCAGCGACTAACTTAACTTGACCATCTTTCGACTAGCCTAATTCAGTGAGCCAAGGCCAGGTGTAAATAACCACAATGTACTGTACATCAGTTGGTAGTCTTCATCCGCACCGGGTACAGTACTATACTGGTTAATTTGTTGCCTGGATGGGGCAATCTGTATCTTGTCGGTGAACATCAGTGCGCTAGACTTGCATTTAGGCTGCACTTTATCATACAGCCGGAAGCTACTGACTATATAACCCAGGAAGCCGAAGTGCCAGTTTTACATAATTTCTTCTTCATAAAGGAAGTTAACACATTTCTGTACTTCGTGTTGGATTCCATATTCTATTTCAGCATACCCCCCGAACTTAATACCTACTATCCCCAACCTTCCCTCAAGGGCCCTGCCTGAATCCGTTGGGCTCGGCTTCCTCGGTTCCGAAATCAGAGGATCAAGCGTCGCCATAAGCATAATTACCGTCAAGCCCATCAGGATTCTAAACGCAAAGCATAGCCGGCAACACGATCGGCAAGCTGCACCGCGCGCTCCTGCGCAGTCACGTAGCGGGTTTCGCTGGGAAGGACGGATGCCAAGTCTGAAAGCGCGACGGTCTGAGCCTGGATAGCGACAGAGTCGCTGGACGACGAGCTCAAACCCTGCCAGCGCACCATGATCGTGCCCTCATGTAGACCTGTCGTGTTGACCCAGTTGTAGACCCCGGGGTCCGCGACAGACACAACAAATGTGTAGGTGCCATTGTCATTGGCGACGGACTGCTTGCTGTTCAGACTGGCCTGACTGGCGGGGTCAGTGGTCACCAGCCACGGATCTGTCACGGGGAAGACGAAGTAGTCGGCCGATCCGGGCGTGAGGGTGGCGACGAGTGCATCGTCGTCGGTGAGGTTGAAGTGCCCGAATGAGCTCGCCTGGGTCGTCAGGGTGCCGAGGGTGCTGGACTGGCTGGGCGTGGAGAGCGTGTTCACCGCATAGAGTGATGTCTTGAGCCCCAGTGCCCCCACTCCGTAATCGACGATGGATTCCTGCAGGTTCCATTTGGCATCCACGAGGATCTGGGCGCTGGTGATGGCGTCGTGACCGGTCACATCACTCACTGCCTCCACGGTGATGTTGTCCGGTGTCTCGGACAGCCAGTCTCCAAGGTTGTTTCGAATCAAGAGCTGCACAGCTGAACTGGTTGACTGGATATGGTTCGACCGGCCGTCTGTGGCAGAGCTGTTGATCGTGATAATATACGAGCCATCGCTAGCGATGACCAGATCACTACCGGCAAGGTAGGCCACGGTATTCTGGGAGTTCGGGTCGCTAATCAGGGAGAAGCTGACGTCGGTAGGGCCTGGTGTGTGGCGATAGCCCGTCACAATATAGTCCACGTCGGAGCTGATTGGAATAGTGCGATAGATGCAGTCCGGATTGTCGTAGGAGTATCGTCCACCAGGTACCTCAAGATTGAACCAGTCCCGCGGGCCAGCATCGACCCAATAGACTTTTGGATAGTATGGGTCGTTGTTCACGGCCTTCTGGACAGAGCTGAAGATGAGTTCTTAGATTGCCGCGTCGAGACTCGAGGAAGCTTCGTCGCTGATGGGCGACCCGTGAGCCGTCTTGTAGGCCGCCTTTGCTTCAGCTTTTAGAACAGGGAAGCTGTTATCTTGATAGATCTCGATCGCCAGGGCATCGAGGTCTCGCTGATCCGAAGTCGCCAAAGGATTTTCTGAAACGCTCAGCGCAGATGCCAGAGGTCCTAAACTGGCTATGAGGGCAAGCGCGGAGCCAAGTGTTCTGGAGAACGAAAAAAACTCCATCGTGGACGAAACTCAAGAATCAAAATCTGGGCGGGTGGTCCTCATAGCAGTGTCTGCTTTGTGTAACAGGTCATGTTCACATCTACTTATAGGTGCTGAGAAGGTGACACTATGTTTGCTTTACCCATTGTGCAAGATAATTGCGACATTCTTTGCTCTGGCGACACCATTGCGACATCTCAATCTCTCTGTTGAAATAGATTAAAGACCTTGTCGTTCTAAGTTATTGAAAGCAGTTGCAGCATTGTATCTATGAGCTTTAGTCGTTCGGTTGCGAAGCGAGGGTGCTAAGCGAGGTGTCAGAGGTCGAGAATTTGGCCGAGGTAGACCTTATGCAGGTTTTGGGCATGAAGAAGATTGATGCTTTTGCAGGGTTGCTGGATGTCGACATCCCGGGACGGGAAGAGGTGATTATCATTGTTAACACAGGAAAATTGGCGGGAAACAACATTCCAAGCATGGCACAGCGCGCAGAATGTTTTATGGCAGAAAAGCCTGGCAGCAGAATTCGGGATTGTGTTTTTCATGGCAAAGGTCTACCTCTTGCCATTGTTTCATTCACGAAATACACATAGTCGTGACATGTTTTAGGTCTAACACGCGGGGAGAAAAAAATAAACCGATGCTAGTGACAAATTCCATGGTCCTTGTAGGCTAGTGGAAGACTAGATGTGATGTTGTAGTGACTGAGACATGGAATAGAAGTAGTACTGTAGCCTTACAATATAACAAATTAAACGAGACAGCTCCTTTTGTTTGTCATAACAAGATATCTGTTACATTAATTAGATGTAAGAGGCATTTTATAAAATTTTAACTGATTTTAGAAAAAAATACTGACTAAGCAGAAATTCTTCTTCTTTTTTTTTTTTTTTTCGAATCTCTTCTCAATATCTTTTTATCATTTCCAATGATTCTGCCTATTCGACATAACGAATACTATTTGTAGAAAGTAACACTACTAGTATTGTCAAGAACTTTTATAAAACGATACTACAGATTGTGCATAGTAGAACTAGTCTTGCGGTTGTAGGATTGTGTTATACAGCCAAAATTCCTCTTAACGGGATTCGTTATAGCGTGAGGCTACGGTAGTGACGGTGGTGTTCCAAGTAATTATGAACTGGAAGCTGCTGCTCTAAGCGCTGAGCTGAGCTTGGGAAGGCGCCAAGTTAACTTAGCTCTGCTCTGCTCTGCTCAGTCATTGGTTGAGACCAGCCTCAAGTCATGTGATACGCATATCGCAAGTTTTTTTCCCTGAAGCTAACGTATTCAAGAAGTTGTTTATTACTTACTTTGGTTACAATGTCTCCGTCGGTCCTCAACCTAAAGTACACTAGACAGGCGAGGTCTGTCGCTGGCACATCGCGGCGTACCAACACCGTTCAAGCGCCGGTGATAGTCTAGTCACCCCATCATTGCGCTATTGCAGACTAATCCGGCCTCGATCCATGCATAAACTAGCTCCTCTCAGCTGAACTAACGTGCTGATGCCTTTTGATAAACCTATCGACCAGCACCGCCCCATTTTAGCCGCCCAAGCTCGAATTAAATGCTCACTCTCAACCTCCACCAACGCATCATGACAGTTGACAAAATCTTTCCGTCCCATGCTCTACGGTCCCATCCTCTACGAGTAGCATCTTCAACAACACAACCGACGCCTTAATGTCTTCCACCGTCTGCCATGGCATGCACAACGGTATCATCCAGAACATCCAAGCTGACCTCGCCTGCGGCGTCACCAACTCCACGCATCCCCACGTAACCTGCTGCGTCAACGGCGACTACTGCCTCAGCAATTCCATCTGTGTCAACACCCACAACGAGGATTACTATTATGCAGCCGACTGCACGGATGAGACTCTCATGGATCCGGCCTGCGGGACGCGATGCGGTGGGACCCCATAACCCAGACTGACTGATTTGTTGGGGTGCTCACTAAATCACGGCTGACTCCTTACAGGCGGCCGCAACAATGCGCGCATCACCTACACAGAAGCAGGCCTCTGGGCATGCTGCGAGAACTCCTCGGGGACGGTGAACTGCTCCAACCCGTCGGACGAGATGTGGGCCGGCCCTGCGCCGTCGAAGCTCGCGACCATCCAGTACCTTCCGTCCACAGCCTCCGGCACGCCCACCTACGCGGTCGCGACGGCCACCTCCACCGTTTCATCGGCCACCAGTACAGCAGAAGCATCGGCCCAATCGCATACGGGTAGCTCATCGAGCCTTGGGGCCGGGGCGGCCGCTGGGATTGGGGTGGGGACGGCGGCGGGGGTGATTGCCGTCGCGGCGGTTGTTGCGTTTCTGTGCTTGCGGAGGCGGAGGTCAGCTTCGCCGGATGGCGTGCACGGGTATAATGGGCTTCACAATGAGGGGTGGACGCCGCAGCCGACGGAGATGCAGGCGCGGCCGATCTATGAGCTTGCGCGGGAGGCGCCGCATATTGAGCTGGAGGCGCAGCAGCCCAAGTCGGTATAGCTTCGTATTGCTTTTGTTTTGCATTCCAAGGCATAGAGGCTATCGAATTGGGGTTATGTCCTTATTATCATACTTGCTCCATAATGGATTCGATACCGTTCAATCAACATCCGTGCTTACAGCATTAGCCCTCGTCGCCTCCAGATCATGCTGTAGGTCTCCGATTTTCGACTCCAACGCCGCGACGCAATCTGCCCCCAGGGGTAGACGAAGATAATTATGGTCACTGGTGACAGCTTGGACGACAACCCGTGCAGCTCTAGCCGGGTCACCCTTCACATAGTCCGGAAGAGACTTCATGGCCTGACTACCGTTGATCATCTGCTCCACCACGGTTCCTCTATAACCTGGACTGAACCCCTCACTGAGTCGCGCAGGCGTGATGGTCCGACTCGCAAAAGGCGTCCGGAATGCACCTGGCTCCACGATCAGAACCTTAATCCCAGAGGATCTGACCTCCTGAGCCAGAGACTCGTGAATGGCCTCGATGGCAAATTTATTGGCGGAATAAACACCCCGTGCAGGACGAGCAATGAACCTATTCTATTTAGCTTGCGTCCCTACTGTCCAGCCTGAAAGGTCTGGGGCGAATGCTCACCCAGCACCGCTGCTGATGAGGATGATCTGGCCGGACCCTCGCGCGCGCATCGCAGGCAGACAGGCTTGATCGGTACGAAGGGGCCCGTAGAAATTGACTTCCATCTGGGCGCGGACTTCCGCCTCGCTGCATAACAGGGTCGTTAGCAATCAGGTATCGAGTATCAGAGCCGCTAACACCCAGGGTCAAATACCTGGCATCTTCCACACTGCCAATAAAGGCGTATCCGGCGTTGTTGACTAGCACATCGATGTTTTCCTTTTGAGCGATGTTGGCAATCTGGTGGTAGGCACCCGGCACCGCAGGGTTGCCTTGATACATCCATCCAGATAAGCTTAGTCCAGCGGTTCATGATTGAGATCCATGGTATGAACTAAAGTCTTGAGTGCTGACACTGAATAAGATCTGGCCACCAACCATCACAAGTGGCCACACTAGTGTTATACATACACTTACCAAGTAGCCGACAAGACGAGCACGCAAGACGATTGCGTAGCTCTACTGTTCGTATAGAAAGTCCCATATAAACATGAATCGAGCCTGTGAAACACCAAGCCTGCTTCAGTTACCTCCAGGTGCTGAGTTAGCAGGCAGCCCAGCTTACGAAACCCCTACAGGGCTTACAAATCCAGCCACCAGCCCTCCATTCACTGCCTACAACCCAGAATATAAACCAATCCCTTCCCCAAGATACCGGAATTTCGGAGATAGATCCATCATCCATTGATGACACCCCGGAATCCACCCTCTTAACCCCGGACCCCCCAAAGAAAGAAACGCACCCACAATGATCCCCCTCCCCACAATTCAAGCCTCCAACCGCGGGATCCCCACCCACCCGTCCATCCCCCGCAGCCCGATCGCCCTCTTCGTCGGCGCAACCAGCGGCATCGGCGAAGCGACCGTCAAGCAATTCGCCCAGCACACCCAAACCCTCAGGCCGCGGGTGTATCTCGTCGGCCGCAACGCCGCCGCCGGCCACCGCATCGCCCATGAATGCGAATTCCTCAACCCGACCGGAAGGTTTATGTTCGTGCAGGCCGATGTCAGCCTGCTCTCCGCGGTCGACGCGCTCAGTCTCAGGCTGCTGCGCGACGAACCCTACCTGAACCTCCTGTTTCTGAGGCCCGGCACGACAGCTGGGAAAGCTGGTGCGTTACTTTGCCCCCATCCCTCATCTACCCGTCAAGCAGAAAAAATGCCCACGAACCGACACAACCCACCCACCCCACAATCAGAATTCTGATCCCCCACGCACAGAAACCCCAGAGAACCTCCGCACCCTAGCCTCCCTCCTCTACTACGCCCGCCTCCGCTTCACCCTCAACCTCCTCCCGCTCCTCCAAGCCACACCCCCCGGCCACCTCCGCCGGGTGATCTCCGTCCTCTCCGGCGGTCACGAAGGCCCGATCCTCGACGCCGCCGACCCGGACGGCCGCAGCCTTGCGATGCGCGCCTTCCGGGGCCAGGTCACCTCGATGACGACGCTGGCGATGGAGGGTCTGGCTGACCGGGCGCCGACCGTCGCGTTCGTCAATGAGTACCCCGGGACGGTGCGGTCGGGGCTCTTCCGGGAGGCAGATAGCTGGTATGGGTGGGTGGTGTGGGCGATTTTGTTGGTGATTGGAAGGTGGGTGTATATCCCCGCCGTGGAGAGTGGGGAGCGCCATGTTTTCTTGGCGACAAGTGGGCGGTTTCGGGCGCGGGAGGGTGAATTCAATGGACAGAATGGGGAGGGTGGGGTGATGGTTGGGGGGGTGGAGGTTGCGAGGGGGACGGATGGGAGGGTGGGCTCGGGGGTGTATTCGGTTAATTGGGATGGGGAGGTGGCCGGGGAGAGGGTGGGGCAGGTGCTGGAGGGGTTGAGGAGGGAAGGGATGAAGGAGGTGGTGTGGAGGGTGCTGGAGAGTGTGTTTGTTCGGGCTACGGGGAGGGTCAAGGTTGAGATTTGAGGTTTGGTGGGCGGGTTTGTGGGGGGTGGGGATATTCTAGTAATTTATTCTAGGGTGGCATTTTAGAACGTTAGCTTAATGTATGGAGGAAGAGGTTATAGGGATATGTACAAAGGCATACAGATGAATGGCGAATATACAGGCGAATATACATACAGCTAGGTAGTTTGAGATATCATACAAAGTTCATGCATGCTACAATTTGAGTTCTCAGAAATCTCAACGTTACCTCATACAAGAAGTAGAAGCAATTCAGGCAGTTTGTTTAGATAAACAATGGCTAGCATACTAACTTAGAACAAGGATAAAAAGAAATAGGAAGCTGATTATCTAGCCCCAGGGACAATTATCCTTTTATGAAGACATGGATTGTTCACAAGTCACCAATGCACCAATTTACTAGAGAAACAAGGCAAGACTTTCTGCTGTAGACATATTGTAGCCCGGTATAAACACCCACCCTCCCCGCAGATTACCCCCTGTGTCCTTCCACACCGCATCCACCATCACCACCACCCACCCCATCCCCATCCCCACCCCCCCTCCTTCCACCCATCTTCCACCGCCCCCCAAACCGCATCAACACCCCCGGCACCGGCACCACCAGCAACCCCACACCCGCCAACACCGTCCCACCCCACCCGTGCCCCACCGCCCGAAACAGCGGCGGCCCCGCCAACGGCAACACCGCGGCCGTGACATTCCTCACCACCATCAACGCACTGATGGCACTGACCGCACACACCCCGAACGAATCCAGCACGTACGTCTGCACCGTGATCGACGTCGCCGCCAGCCCGAGCCCGACCATCGCCGTCCCCACGATCGGGACCAGGTAGTTGATTCTGTAGTGGACGGACCAGCCAAACAGCAACAGTCCGCCGGACGTGAGTACGCACGCCAGGAATAGCAGTGGGAGGCGTTGTTCTGGGCTCGCTGATGCATGCGAGCTGGGGCTAGGGCTGCTGCGTCGGCGGGTGATGTAGCGGTCCAGGAGGAGGCTGCAGAGCAGGGCGCCGAGGGTGAAGCCTAGACAGAGTCCTAGAAAGGCCAGGCCGGAGGCGCCCTCGGAGAAGGCGTAGGTGTCTTGGAAGACGGGGGCGATGGTTGTCATGATCAGGTAGGTGAGGCCGTAGATGAGGCTGAGGTCGAGGGTTGCGAGGAGGAGGGTCGGGGAGTGGGTGAGGAGGGTTGGCTGTTGTGCGTGGAGGGGAGGTTGTGGTGTGGTGGGTGGTTGTGCGTGGGTTGTGTTGTAGCGCAGCCGCCTTGCGTTTGAGGATCGTGAGTTTGTATGTCTCGCGATAGACTGTCAGAATTAACACCCCTAGAGCGCCGGAGAGCAGCGTCGAAAGCCAGAAGACCCAGCGCCAGCCGGCGCGTTCGCCCAGATACGAGCCCACGATGGGCCCGACCACGGGCCCGACCACACTGGTTAGCGACATGATGGACATGGCGCGGCCACGTTGGTCTTTGGGGAACAGGTCCTTCACGATACCGGGGCCGATGGGGATACAGGCCGTGGCGAGCCCGCTGAGGAACCGGAAGGCGATGAGCATCTGGATGCTGGTGCTTAGGGCCGTGCCGGCAAGGAACACGATGAAGAGGAGGTTCGCCCCGTTTAGGATCCACCGTCGACCGTAGAGTTCCGAGACAGGGCCCCAGACGAGAGGGGCGAAGATCTCGCCCAGCTCCCAGATTGTGACGAGCAGGGTGCGGTAGAGCAGGTTGTTGGAATGGAAGAAGGCCAGGATCTGAGGCGAGACGGGCGCGGCAATTATAGTACATAGCTGTCTGATGTCGGGTGGTGGAGTCAGTAGGTCATGGTTTCACTCATTCGAAGGTCGTGGTTGGCGACATACACCTCTTGCACATAAACACGCGACGAGAACCACGATGGACCATCTCCATGTCTTGGACCAGTTGCGTGGGTTGTCTGGATCATTTTCATAGTAATCCACCAGGAGCTGCCCACATGCTCCCTCGTCGTTCCCAGAGGCAGAGTTGTGTTCTTGCGATGCCGATTTCCCATCCATGCTCAAAATTCAACAAATCTTGAAAACACAGAAGATTTTGAAAGCAAGGAAGAACATCCGGAAAAAGGCAAGGGGCTGGGAAGTTCGATTCACTGCTTATCATAATCCGAACAAAAGCACTACGTTACACCGCACCACACAAAGCCTCACACCCCGGTCCCAATCAGTATTCACTCGACCCTCTACCCCTCCTTCAGTCCCGGATCCCAGCATCAATCCTCAACTACCTGTGGCCACCCATAATACTCAAAGTACCTCGTCATTGCCGCGAAATGCTCACTGCCCGGGGCACAAAACGCATACCGATCGATACTGCGCGACGGAGGCCGGTAGTCGCTCAGCCGCCGGTAGCACGCATCGCGGTCCGGGTGCTTCGTCCACGCCACCAGCGCCTCGAAGTTCTTACATTGTCGGATCTGGCCCTCTCCGGCCCCATTGACCAGCTTCAGCGACGGCATCGGTGTGTCGTCGGCGCGACACATGAGGTCCTGTCGCAAGGTGTCGAGACAATGCTCGACGTGGCCGAAGGAGATGGGGTCTGTTTCCGGGGAGAGAAGCTGTTTGAAAGCTCGGCGGATGTTTTTCTACCTCACCCGATAGAAGATGAGTTAGCTGGGGATCAACTTTGATCACATATCAGACACACAAGGTGAATACCTCACGTACCAGACAGTGTAGTTGATGATAGACTTTGACAAAGTAGATCTTCCGGCTTGAGTCGCATGGAAAATCCCAGGAGTCAGGGAGGCCCACCTCCTCAGCCCATTCAATTGTAGGAGCGATAACCATCGAATCCAGACTTAGGCTATCCCACATGTGATCCGCAAGCGTCTGGTTGTTGCTGGTGTAGTCGGTGGAGAGGGAGTATCGGGTTGGCACATCGTAAGCGAGTCCCGCTTGTAGTTCGGAGATGTAAGGATGTTCCCGCCTGTGGGGATATGTGGGGAAGACTTACTGTATGTAGAGCGTTGGAGTTGCGGAGCCCTGCAAAGGGTCGCAGAGTCACAGTGAGGTCATTGCGGGCTCTGTCGGTATACAAGACAGACATTGGCCGCCAACGATATCAAGAGAAACAGCGTCATAAAGGACAACCCGCGGCTGTTGACTGTTGGTAGCAAGCTTGCCCTTTTGTGGGAGAGGAGCCCGTCGGCGACGGTTGCTTCGAGCTCCCCGTCCTCGATCGTTCCGGCATGCTCACTTACTTTCCGGTATATGTCTAGCATAATAGAAGACCCTGGTAGGTATGGAGATCAATAGTCGATATACAAAGATATTCCAACTGAAAGTGGAACGGGTTAACAACATGAACATTGGCGTGTTTCAGCAATCGAAAAGCATCCAAGACAAATGACGAGTAAAGCTCTGTCTCCCTCCCCCCTTCCAAAATCGTTGAGGCTGAAATACTCAGGCCACCTAAGGTGTGTAGAAAATAGCCCCGTTTGCTGACGGGGTAGTACAGTACAACCATCAACATTCGTCCGGGCTACCACAATCCCAATAGCCTTTTAGTCAGCTATGCCAGCCTACAAACATTATGCAAATTGGGTAAGAGTCATATGTTGCCATCTTCTTTAAGCCACTGGGAGGTTTTGAGCACCAACATTTGTGCGACACCCCCCGTGATCCGTGCCGCCGATCAAATGAACAGATTTAAAATCCGTCCCCTTGAGTGCAATTCAGTAATTCTCCGAGCGACACTGGTTACCATGTTCCGTGTGACACGACGAGGTCAATGCGCAGTCTTAGAGCTCATCGCAAGGATGTATTTCCGTGGCCCTCTCTTGAAGATAGTCCACGGTGAGCAAATATATTCCACACTACCCCTTCCGTGAGTCAGATAGATAGAAGATGTTTCAACAACTCATCCCCTGAGGAAACCTACAAACAGGAAGGCGCGTATATAGATTAGGTATGTGATGCATGAAACACACTCCACCACTGGTTTACTAATTTTCAACAGGTCACTGATTTTCAGCCCGAAGCTGCAGAATTCACCTCCAGAACGAGGTCGGCGCTGTAGACCCATCGCCTATCCACAATGCGCACCTCAAATCTCGTCCTCATGACCCTGGCAACAGCAGCCATGGGCCGCGTGGCAGACCAGAACAACCACGCTCCGCACTCAGTCACCACTGTGCAAACAGCGTCCTGTGTCTCGACCGGCCCGACGACCGTGTCGGACTGCATCCCTTCTTCTCTGAGTGTCGCGGCGATATTCAGATAACTCTACACTTTGACTCTCTTCAGCCACAAAAAGCACTTATTCTCATCTTTTACGACTCTCGCTCCAGGTACATCATTTTGGGAAGTGGATGAAAAAGTATTTATACAGAATGATATAGAAAAGTACCCCCACCCCGCCAGTGGTAACTAAGGCGGCGCCCCCGAATCACTTTCCAGAAGCCGCGTAGTCCCCGACCCGTACCGCAGCCCCGTCGTGCGCTCCACCCCAGCCGGCTTCAGCATGCCGCTCGGGAAGGACTCCAGGAACTCGCGAAGATAGGGCACGCACGCTGCCACAATCGTGACGGTCTGCAGGACCTGGCCGCAGAGCATCCACGGGTAGAGGGCCACGGGGAGGGAAGGGCTGGGGTCGAAGCCGTGGACGTAGTGGAGTTGGACGGCGGAGACGAGGATGTCTCTATTTGTTTTTAGCTAACTTGTTAAGACGAGCAGGCACTCGTGACATACGGTCTATCATACACGGGAGGGCAGGTATGAAGGAGAAGATGGGAAACGTACAAAGTCCGAACGCTCAAGCATCCGATCACCACCAGCCGTTTGTGCAGACGCATGCGAAGTCGGTAGATGAGGATGCTCGGGACAGCAAATAATATGGTCTCGATGATGATGTTCATGACGCCGGAGTAGGTCCATAGGGCTGTCTATACCAAGAAACATGGTAAGCGCGTGTAGAAAGCTCGGCATGCGCGAATAGACTAACACCACGTCCAAGCATGTCCCAGACATCAGGTTTCAAACCTCAGGCGGACGGCACTGGAAGGCGACCGCGAGGACCATGGTGAAGGTCCAGAGAATGAGGAACGTCCCGACGGCGACGATCGCGCGCGTGAGGGTCGTCAGCGCGCTTCCGGACAGAACCATGTAGAAGAGAGCGACGAAGGAGAGCTTTCCCAGCCCGAGGGTCAGGACATGGAAGATCTCCGTCAGGTAGATGGTTGTCTGGAGACCCGCGAGCTGGTCTTCGGGGGTGTCATCGTCGATCCCCGGTCGGCCCAGGCCACGGGTGGCGGCGAGCGAGACAGTGGCCCCGGCGATGGCGGATGAGAGCTGTCCAGAGGTGTGAGATTTCTATGATTGGAGCCAGCACACGGGGAATGTTAGGGGTTTCTTACTGACCAGCGTGCTCAATAGAAGGGTCAGAACCAAGATCTTCCTTCCGAGGAGATGCCAGCTCGTCAGAAGGCAGGCCGCCACCGCCCCGGATGACACAATCAACAAGAACCATGAAACAATCTTAACGACGGCGCCGTGATCCTCCATCTTGCACGGCAAGAAAGGTTAACACACACTTGGACGCCAACAGTGGGGTTCTGTCTATCCGAAGGATTTCGGAAGTTTATCGTATTCGGAGTAAAGCTCTGGGCGTGCTGGATACATTTAAAAGCCAAGTCAAGACCGCGAGGTAAGCAGAAATGTCGACTCGGTCACATCTACTGAGTAAGGTAGTAAGGTAGTACTGTGTGGGAATGATGGTTTGGTGATCATGGCGAGGGCGTGAGAAGACAACACCCAACCCTAACAGAACCAGCAGAAGGTAGCCCCCCCCCCCCATTTCCTCAATGTGGCCATCCCACTGCAACATAGCAATATTAAAATCTCAATGCTGCTGCCTCCCTGTGACTGGAGCTAGGTACTCCCCTGGCCTGAAAGGGAACGGGACCTACATATCCTGATGCTGGCCGCAGACCCCGGGGCAGCCTCATCTCGACCTCGGTCCAGGGCGACGCTCGGTCAGCAGAAATTGACTTTGTCCTACACATTCTGGTCCCGGGTCTGGCTCTGGCTTTCCTCGCCAGAGGTCGAATGACAAGTCGGCCATGGGTGGTGGCACAAAGGTCTCCCCAGGCGACAGGCATCTTGGTTAAACCGTAAGCCCCGCACCTTGTCCTACTTTGCCGATCGGACAGCCCGATGTTGGATCAGGGGCCCAGGTCAGCCATCCCTTTCCTCTGTCAACTGTTGGAATCTCTCTCGGTGGTTTTCCGTTTTTCTGTTATGTTCTTTCCGTTCCTTTTCCAGAAATCGAATCGGGTCTGTTCTTGCATGCCCATCCTGCTCACCATCCAATACTAGAACCAACCCCCTCCGACAAGATGCGCGAGCGCTCCCCAGCTGAAAGTGTGGTCGAACTGACCTCAATAGTGGTCGAGGGCCCTTCTGTTCTCCATCGGGGCAATGTGGTCCTCTGTACGCGGGATGCACTCGAGTTAGCCCAGGTGGGAAAGAGGGAGATCCTCAAGGTAAGTCCTACAGTTGGACATATGCCATCATCTACTTGTCAGCTGACCCATTTGACAGCGCAGATTCGGACTGGCCAGCACGGTGGGATTTGCCTGCAGCCTGATGCTCACATGGGAGGCCTTTCTTATGTTCGTTGCCACACATTGCTCAGTCGACCTAAATTGACATGAAAATAGTAACTTCGGCGCAGGCCTGCCAAAGTATGGTTCCCCGATTGCCGTGCTGACATGAAAGGCTCTGTGTTGGTATTAATCTCGTTTCTAGTGGAGGGCCAGCCGGTCTGGTCTATGGCTATATGGCCGTTTGGATCGGCTTCATCAGCATATTTACTGCATTGGGGGAGCTGGCGAGCATGATCCCGTCGGTAGGCTTCGACTCCTGCTACCCGTGATCACCATCTGACATAGCATCCGCAGGCCGGTGGTCAATACCACTGGGCGAGTATCCTAGCACCCGAGTCATCGAAGCGATTCATCAGCCATGTCACCGGTATGTCAATGCATCTTTTCAACAACATAAAATCACTTTCAGTTCTAATTCAAGGCGAAGGCTCAATCTGCATTATCGCTTGGACAGCTGTTCCAACAGGGGCGGTGTATGTAGCCGGGAGCATCCTGCAGAATGCGGTTGCGATGAAACGTCCAGAATACGAACCTCAAGGCTGGCATGTAACGTTGATTATGTGGGGGATTCTACTAATCTGCGCGATCCTGAACACCTGGCTAGGAATGATTCTGCCCGTGCTGGAGGTCTTTATAGGCATCGTCCACGTGCTTGGCTTTTTCGCGGTTCTCATACCGATTGTCTATCTAGGTCCCAAGGCTGACGCCAGGTCAGTATTTGTCCAGACCTTCAATGTCGGCGGTTGGCGCGATATCACATTGGCCACATTTGTGGGTTTAAAGGGAATCGTTGGCGCTTTTTTAGGTATGTCCGGCGGCCCGTCCCTTCAGCGTGGTAACTAGTTATGAGAGCTGACGTAAACCAGGCACAGATGGCGTGGTACATGTAAGTCTTTACAGACGGCTCGTTCGATTCCTTACTGATACTCGCAGATGGCGGAGGAGGTCGCGAATAGTACCATGGTAGTTCCACACTCGATGCTGTTTGCCATTGCCATTAACGGAGTCCTTGGCTTCGCGATGCTGATCGCCTTCCTGTTCACGGCGGGAGATCTGTCCGCCGTTCTCAAATCGGACGCTCCGTATCCCTTCATGCAGATCCTCGAAAGTGCCACCCAGAGCACGGGGGCTGCCATTGTGTTCTCAAGCATGATCGCGATCATGCAGGCCTGCTGCGGACTCGGCGGAATTTCTTCCGGGAGTCGCATGCTGTGGGCCTTCTCGAGAGAACAGGCCCTTCCAGGCTGGCGGTGGATTCTTCAGGTACGCTGCAGTCTGCTTACCTGCCTGACCCTCCCACTAATTAGACCTCTACAGCTCAATAAGCGAACATCGGTTCCTTTCCACAGCATCTGCGTGATCGTCATCGCAGCCGGCCTCATCGGCCTCATCAACATCGGCTCGTCGGTAGTGCTGAACATCGTTCTTTCGCTGCTGATGGAGGCATTCTTCTTCTCTTACGTCATCCCCCTATCCCTGCTCCTGTATCGCCGCGTCAAAGGACACATTTCTGAACCGCAGCAGGGTGGAGGTAATAATAAAGGCTTTGTCTGGGGTCCTTTCCGGTTGAGGGGGTGGCTAGGCATAGCGAACAACATCTTCGCGCTGGTCTTCTCGGGCATCGTAGTCATCTTCGGATTCTGGCCTGCGAGCAGCCATCCGACTCCATCGCACATGAACTACAGCGTAGCGATCTTTGGCGGGGTGTTGATCCTGGCGGTGGGGTATTATCTGGGATGGGGGAGGCAGCATTATATGGGACCCTTGGCCGAGGTTGAATTTACGGCGGGAACCGTGGAACAAAGAAGGGGCGAGAGGGGTTTGTGAAACCAAGACTCCTGCTCGGCCTTAGGCTGACAGGACACCTTGTCATACAGACCAATCTTCACCCTCTGCCACGCCATCACCGGCCCGACTGCCGCCGACCGCGCGCACGACATCGCCCGCGACACCGACCTCCACTGGGTAGCCCACGAACGCAACCCAGCCTCGCACTACATCTACGCCCTCGACCCGACCACCGGCCGCGTCGCCGGGGGCTGCGAATGGACCTTTCACCACACGAACCCGTTCCCCGAGGGCGTGGTCCGCGTCCCGTGCACCTGGTACCCCGAGGGATCGGAGGTTGCAGAGTTCGCATCCCACGTATTGACGCAGTGTCTGTTGCCGCGGCGGGCTTGGTTTCGACGGGCGCATGCGGGTTCGTGATTCTCCTTTCTGGTTCTTGGGGGAACTGTACTAGAGGAGGTGGGGTGTTTGCTGACTGGCTACTTGGGTATCTGTATAGGGGTCAATCGAATGGGCGTGCACCCGGACTACCGTCGTCAGGGAGTGGGACGGATGCTGATGCAGTGGGGCCATGAGCGAATTGACGCGTGGGGGTATGAGTGTTTCATCGAGTCCGGGGCGATGGGAAGGTGGCTGTACGAGGAGTGCGGGTATCGGAGGGTGATGGCGTTGGCGCTGGATTGTCACCGGAAGAATCCCAGTGCGGAGTGGGAGAGGCTGATGTTTGAGTATCGGTCGGTGGGGATGTTGTTGCTGTGGAGGCCGCCCGGGGGAGTCTGGGATGAGCGGGTGCCGGCTGGGCCGTGGGCGGTGACGGAGGGGACCTGGCACGAGGTCGGGGTCGAGCGTGCGGATGATACGAGTACGTCGATGGAGGATGCGCAGGTCGAAGAGGATCTCGGACCCTGCTAGGTGGTGGATGCAGCCTGGATGGGTGGTGGTTGTTCGGCTTGGCTGGTGTTGGCTGATCGCTCACTCTGGACTCGAAAGTTCCGGAATCTGGGGGGAGTTAGTGGTTGTCGTGTATTGAGTCTACACGGGGCTAAGAGGTTGGTAGGCATGAGATGAAGAGTCTCCGTCAGAGTCCCACCCGAAAGCAAGAACGGATTCTGCGGTGGTGATATAACATAGTGTCCGGAAATCTAGGTTGTCTTTCTGGTCGATTGACGTTTGCGAGAATGTTGGGCTAACGTCATTGACATGTTGGGAAGGGAAATCCAGGGCTCCACCGCTGCCTTACACAAACTCAAACTGAACCAAAGGATGATTGTCAAAGTTTTTTTCTCCTTGACTTTGCAACGTCACATCCTCTGTGTTGATGTCGCGTAATCATTGATGAATATGTGGCAGTGGGACCTGAGTGATGTTACTCGTAAGTGCTGCCGGTAACTAGAATGCATATCAAGAGTCAAGGAAATGGGTGTTGCGCATTACTCGGTCGGGAAAAGCCGGTTTTGTTCACTTCGCATCACCACCGATGCCGAATCCGGACACCCGCCACACCAACTGGACAGCCACAGTTTCCCTTCCCAAGCAAGACCTTCCGCTTGACAACAACACCAGGAAGCATACGTTATACGTATACGTATACACCCGTATACACCCTGAGTATCAGCATGAAAGAGCATCTGCTATTTTAAGAATCCATCTCAAACCAAGGTTCGCCAGGGGTATGACATGAGACCAACAGCATCCCTCACATCATGCCTCTGTCATATCAACTGATTCTGCAAGGGCACACCCAGGGCTCACGCAACTCAAACACCTGACTGACTCCTTATCTTATCGTGGAGTGATCCACGGCATCGGCCTCGGCCCGCTCTGGCCCAAGGGTCAGAGCTTCCTGGCCACACAATCAGCACGCTTTCGGAACCTTAATTGCAGAATTCAGAAGGTCTGCCGGTTGCAGACAGGTTGGGGAGCTGCATATCAGCGGGTTGGGTGGCAGCCGGCGTAGAAAAATCTAGCATGATTGCGCGGTCGCACGCAACGGGTAGGTAGTCTATGTCGTTTGTCTGTGTTGGGCAGCATTGGCGACCGGGAGGACGCCGCGACCGTGCCGATATCAGCATACAATTACCATATCAGAACGACTCAAGGGCAATTATCATTAGGTAGAGGATACTCAGAGTCGGCTAGCACGGCGTTCCAGCCCAGCCTAGCTGGATGGTGGTGGTCGGGTGAGCCGAAGAGTTTTTTTCCTTGCGCGGGAGATTTTCTTTCTATGCGCGGTTTTCGCACAGGGGGCCGGGCGGGTTTCCTTCTGATAAGAGTGGCAAGTTTGGCGGAGAAATTGTTAAGGTTCGCTGCGGTTCTAGATGCCCCACTATACTCAAGGAAGCATAGACTGGCCCTGACAGCTTCGATCCCAACGGTCTAGGTCCCCCTTTCCGGCCATCTCGCCTCTCGGATCGATTGTGCCGCGTAAGAAGAAAATTTTGATCGGGTGTATGATTCACTACACCATAGCATAGATACTGTGTAGTTCTATCAGGAGATTATCCTAAGGGGTCAGAAAAAAGTTATATAAACGCTTTGTCGAGCTGGTCCTCCTCGACTTTCTTTTCTCTCATCATCCAACAAAGCATTTTAATTCTAATACCTCCTCCTCTTCCAAACCATACAACAAACACCAAAGCCCATCCGGGTTAATTTCCGCCACACACAACCTTTCAAAATGACTATCCCCTTCCCCATGATCGGCCCCGAGAGCTACGGCCTCTACACTCGCCGCGCTGCTCCTCGCAACGTCGCAGAGGACGCCCTCGCCAAGGAGCTCGAGTCCACTGATGTCTCCCGCGGCCAATTGGGCTCGCGCAGCTCCTCCGCTGCCACTATGGCCACCACTTCCACCACCTCTTCATCCTCCAGCTGGAGACAGAAGCTTTCTCAAAAGTGAGTTCCTTCCTTCATCTTACCATCTGCATCTACAAAATGCTAATGACTTGAAAACAGGTACAAGAAGTTCCACTTCGCTTGAGTCTCCATCCGTCATTGTGAAATACATTACAACCACATCACGAAACCAACAAAACCACCATCATAAATAATCAACCATGAAAACCACTGAGCATATCCGCTCTGATACGACATATAACGGCATTTTCGGAGGAGTCTAGAAGGTTATGAGCGGGGCGGAGAGTTTCTTTTTCACCAGTGAAAACTTTTTTAATACCTGTTAATACTTAATTTTGTCGGCGGGCATGTATATATGAACGCTTTAGACTTACATATTCATTTCACTTTACCTCCGCAATAATTCAACGAACATTACTTCCATCTCGAAACATTGTTATTCTTCTTGACTTGCGAGATAACCACAGTTTTCTGCCTAGGGATAATTTTGTGGAAAACGATCGTTTTGCCAATTCGTAGTGCATGTCATTCGTCTGGATGAAAACCGATCTCACCTACCAATTTTCCTATCGCGGAAATGGTCGCTGTTACAAGAGATGGTATTATCTTCGAGTGTTCACTCCCAATCCCTGATGCCGATCCCCTGGTACCCCTGGCCCTACCAAACACTAAGCAGCGCGAAAGAAGAAAAAAACTCACCTGGTCATATGCTTCTCACACTTGAGCGTAGCGTAGGGGACAGGGGGGACCGGGTCGATCGGTTCCCAGCGGGAACGGCGGCATCGTCAGGGCCGTTAGCCAATCCAAGCATACAATTGCTAATGCCAATTGTTTCTTTTTTCGGAACAGCGACCGTGCGCAGGAGTCGGACGGGATTTTTTCCTTAGCGTCCGACTCTACGGGAATTTTCGCGTGGCGAACTTGGATTCTCCGACTGGCTTAGTGGGCTCCACATCCCGATTATCCAGGCTCTTCGTCTCGGTCGGTGAGTCAAAGCGCGAGGCACCGCAACGTGCGGTGGAAGATAAGGGAACCGGTTTTCATGTTTGCTTTACTCAATTGATCCGCTACCTATCGGTCGAGAACAATGGTAGGATATGCCGATCATTTCGGGATGTTCGAGGATGCGAACCGGAGTTGATAACTCGGGGTGTTGGGAAAAACCAAGCTTTTGGGGTGTGGCCCGGTGAGAGGATTGGGTTCATTTTTATCTCTTGTTCGTTTGCCCTGTTAGGGCGTTCTCAATGATTAAAATGCCTTGACTAGAATGCCTTGCTTCTTCTATACCTGCCCTGGGGTTATGTGGTCTCTAAATTGAAGGCCCAGCCCCACTTTCTGCTACCATGGTAAAGGCCATGCGTTTGGAGAGTATAATTCTGATGCAATATGTATCCACACCGAAGCAGGTCCACCAACTCTGCATGTAATCCGGATGCATGCAAGAGTAAGAGGCCTCATACCAGAAGAGTCTAGTCACATGATATGTTATGATGTTCACTTTCTGGATTGACTTTGTGTTATCGATACAAACAACACAAAAGGGTCAACTATAGATTCCTAAAGACCGCATTATTGAGCAGTATCGGGAGTAATCCGGCCACGTTATCCGACGCGATCCACTAGGCGAGGTGCCCACATTAGCGCTGCCAGTTCATCAACCAACCACCAAGAATTCTATAAATGGTTCCATATTGCCCGATCCTCTCTCATGATACGGTCTACAAGCAGCCCCGGGTCACAATCCTCGACCGGCAACTGGGGCCTTATTGATTCAGCACCACTCAGCGTGACTTTGCGATGACCTGGGCTTCAGGCTGCATAGACATCATTCCGTACCATTTCCGTGTCGGTGGTGCTAAGTGACTCCAGATCGGGCTTCTTGAGCGGCCGTATAGCAGCTATTCATCTAGCAGTGTGCTGGATTCCTTTAAGAAGTAAGGATGCTAGCCCACTACAGGATATCATAAATTTTAGTAAGTACCAAGGCCGAAAAACGATCAAGCCTAGATCACTACCACCATGGTTTTATATATATATATATACATATATAAAATTACACTAACCTAGATTACCTAGTCTACTAGTGTCCTGTATGTCAAATAGCTAACAGAAGTATAGTTATACAGGAATGAGTGGGGGCAAAAAAGGCCCCGGAATGCAATCTGTAGTACCGGGTTCGAGGTAAGTTGCCGGCCCCAGCCTACAGCATGGGGCTTCGGCGACAGTAAATTGACTGCGGCAGATGCCGGAGCGGCAGAATACCCGAAGATGGTAAAAAAGTATTTTAAACAGAATCAGAGGCCAAGTGAAAGTATATATCAGATAGGTGGAGAGCTGACTTGAGCCTTTACTACATTATTACCTTATCATATCAAGCTTATCTTACTTACCCTTCAATTGGTACTCGTTCCTTATACCAATAAAAATGGGAGTCGAGTACGCAGTGGTTTGTATGGCCACTCCCGATGTAGAACAAGCTATGGATACTGGAGATGTAAAGGGCCCCATTCGAGAATCATACACAACACAAATTCAACAATCGATGAATCAATCATACCCAAGAAGGAACTCTATTTGTGCATAGCCCACACTAAGATAAGGCAATGATTCAATGGAGATAGCCTGGCATTCTCTAATGAACAGAGAAGCAGTGTACAGCACTCATATGATTCTCAGACACTCCCACGATCGTTGGAAGGAGAATGTCAAATCTGGTACGAGGGAGCGATTGTTCTTGCTAAGCCAGCCCTTGGGTCGAGCTTCAATAGGATTTTTCCGTGTTGTTGACATGATTCCACGCGGAGATGGCAGTATACACGAATTGTTGGTATAATAAGGTCTCCTTGTCGATACTTGAACGAAGATCTTCTTACTGGACGAGAAATGGACTGGGCGCATATAGTCACACTTGTGGCGGGCGAGTACATTCCTGCAACTAATAGCCATCACCAGAAGACCAGAAAGGGTTTCGGTTCGCTCTTTGAATATCAGGTGTGGCATTGATCGAGGTGGTTGGATGAATTGCAAGCAGTGCGCACTGAACAACGAATGAAGACACCCAATACCCCGAACAGAGCAGAAGCAGAAAGTGTTCATCTAGCTCGGGCCACGGACAGCACTCGATAAATTCTTGCTGGTCCATCGGCGCACATGTTGAAGATGAAAGGAAGAATTCGATGGAGGTCTCGAGGTGCGCTGCTGGCCACCAGTGAGGTCCTGCCATATAGCTGTGTCAGTCTTCGGAACACCTTGTTCACCTTGCTTTGAGCTTCTTTAGCCAGACGCAGGTAGCGGATACTGCTTTGTTCTAGATTTGTGTAGAAGGATCCTCTTTTCTTGCATCGCACAGCACAATGAGTGCTAGGGGCAAAGGATTGCACGTCATTGTTGCTATGTCACAGATAAACCATTCCTTTCTCTTATTCTTCAATCCACTTAGCTGCAACCATAACAGTGTAATCAATTGGAAATTCCCATCAATGTCTCCTTCAACTGCATTTGGGACTTGAAATGCGAGCGCTATCGCTGCTCCTGCACTAGCTATATATAGAATCACGCGCCGTCGACTGCGACACCCCACCGCCATCACGACCACCTTGACACTATCAAATCAGGACGCAGGGCACCAATCAACACAAGCTGTTGCTCCTCTGAGGAAAAAGCCACCATGTCGTCGGGACAAACCTTCTTCAAGATGCTCCCTGGTCCGCCGCTCGATTCCGTTCGAGTCAGGCACCTGCAAAGCAGGCCGGACTACTGGGATAACGAGAAGATCAGGGCCATGATTGAAAAGAGCATGGAGCGCCCACCGCGAGATGCAGATCGCATTCCCCAAGCCGAGGCCACAGCTAAGATCTGGACAGCCATTGTCGTCGACACTCTCAGCGTTCCGCCCTCAGTCAAGGACCCTAAACCTGACCAGGAGCCCCAGCGCCTCGAGGTCGACATCTGCCAACTTCGCAGTACCGACTGGGAGTCGCGGCACGAGGGCCCGCTGGCCGTCATCCTCACCCGCGCCAGATCGAAGGACGCGCCCGACCGCCACACCCCGGCCGTGCCCTTTCTCCAAGTCTTCTGCGTGGGCGGGACGGAGCCGCCCACGCTGGACGAGGCGCGCGCCCTAGCGGATTGTTGGGTGCCGCGCCAGAGTCGGTGGGAGATCCGGGAGGCAGGCGGCGCGTTTATCCTGGCCAGGGGCCACCGGATGTCGATCTTCCAGTGGAGACCGGAGTGTTCCGACTGCGACCCGGACGAGTTGACCCTGTTTCCCTGGTACGGCGGGGACATAGACCATGGGTACCGCTGCCTCTGGCATGACCACGAGGAGGTCGAACAGCTTATGAAGACCCTGCGTCGCCGGATCCAGGATTGCCCCATCGCGCACGAGCACCGGCCGACTAAGGATTGCTGCGTCGCAATAGAGTCTGATTCTGAATGAGCGGCTATCACTCGTCCCGCTCGCCCACTCTCCTCGTGTCTGAGCAGCTGAGGGCTTGGCCCGAACTTTCCAAATTTGTATTATCAATGCATATCTGATCTTATAATTTCTTTCCTTTCAGTTCTGAATCCCCCTCGCTCTTGCAATTTGTACTTGTATATTACCCCGCCTGTCCACGCAACAACTAAATTACTGTACCTTCAGTCAATTCTCGCTATAAATCCTATCTAATCCACCCTCGTACACACTGGAAGAGGCAGATATGTACAGAGAGGAAGGACTTCTCCGTGGCTGCGCCCCGGACCTCATTCACGCACAAAGCGTCGCCATCACTGAGCCACCGACTGAACCACCGACTGGACCACCTGATCCAACTCCTCCACCTCCAGCCCCAGCCGGGCATTCCAAGAACCCCCGGGCACGCGGCTCCAATCGCCGTAGGGCCCATCGGGGAACCTTCCCAGTCCGGCCGCCAGGTTCAGGATCCGCGCGCCGGCCAGATCCCTCTGATTGAAGCGCTCCGTGCTCTCTTCGATCAAGGGCTTCAGGTCCACGCGCTGGACAGCCCATTTCTCGCCCCCTGTCGCCCGCTCGAGCGCCGCGAGGACCTCGTTCTGCGTCACCGTGAAGGACTCGACGTAGACGTATTGGTTCTTGGTCAGCTCGGCATGTCGGAGGATGGCAATCAGGGCCCGGCCAATCTGCGAGAGAGTGCTGACGGAGGCCGGGATGACGCCGTCGTCGTTGATGGTGGCTTCGTGGTCCTGCAGGTTGAAGCCCAGAAATCCGATCTTGAAGGCCTATTTCCGAGAGAACCGATATTAGAGATCTGTCGCGAGAGTGGAAAGAGAATTGCAGATGAGAATGGAGAGTATCTTGAACGGCGTTTGGGATAGAGGGGTAGATGAACCCCATCCGGGAACCATCAACGTAGGATACAGGGGGAGGGGAGAATAGTAGACACGACAAAGACAACTCACATAGTCAAAAAAGGCGCCGGTGATGACCGTCGTCGTCCAAATCATCTGATCTTCCCTCGCTCTCAAGTAGTCGACCTTGGCTTTCTTGCCCTCCAACATACTACGGGAACAGCCGAACAGCCAGGTTCCTGGCGGCCACGATGCCCACGACCAATCGACGGAGATGACTACACATGTGTCTTGGATAACTCCTTGCCAGGCCAGAGCTTAGATTTCACCCCACGTCGTATCTGCTGTGGCAACGGGGGTACGCGAGAGGATAATGAAATCGATTTTCCTGATCCCTGCCCTCTAGCAGACACCTGCACGATATTACGGGCATATTACTTCTATCACACATGTCGTATCCTGTCCGGGTTTGACTCGCCGACAAACCCTTTGCGCGAATGGGTTTCCAAGCTCTCAACACAAAACGATGTGGTCCATTCCTGTGTCCTGTCAATATCGGCCGCTCATATTTCACAGCAGGAGCACGGAACCAGTACACTGGCATTGGGCCATCACACGCGTGCACTCTCGAGCCTGGCAGCCGAGGTTGCGAGTTTAAGTGGTTCGCTGCTCGAGTCAACTGTACCGGATACTGAGAGGAAGTCAGTCGCAAGAAGGAGTGAATCCATGACTGCATTGCTCTTTGGTATTACCATATTCGGCATGACCGCGGAATGTTGGATATTTCTGTTTTTTTCCCTTCTCCATGTTTTTTTCTGTCATGATGTCTTCTTTTTCGGTTCCTGATTGTTAAAGAATCGTTCCGCTCTTGCTTCATGTGTAAGACCTTGCATGGAAACGCCAGCTAACGTCGGCTCAACTCCTGATCTTGGCATGATTCCTCGTCGCTTGGAATCCAACACCTGCAGGCGGCACGGGCGATCTTCCGAGCATTATACTCACACCCAGGCGTATCACTCGGGATCAACGCACGATGGCTCGGCGTCCCGCGCGCCTCTTCCATTCCAGACCGTTCCCATCGCGCTGATGCTCCGGCTGCCGCTGCCGCTGCCGCTCCGCAGCACTTCTTGGCCGGCGCGTTGGCCTACTGGGAAGCCCTGACATTTTTCGTCGTGGACCAAGAAGACCTCGAGGGGGCCGAATACCTATTCGCCTCTCGGCTGCGTGTGAGCCATCAAGGTGCAACTCGAGGGATGCGTAAAGATCCCCATCCGTGGAGCGGGATCTCGCCGGAGCTGTTCATCTACCTCTCGGCAATCGGTGCGATCGCCAGACGATTTCATTCTCTGGGGAGGGATGAGTCAACCTATATGGCAGCAGGCGGAGGAGGCTCGACTGCACTCCAAGTTCAGGCGCAGCGTAACGATCTGCGCTCACGTGCCGGGCGACTCAAAGAATTGGTATCGCAGTACCAGGTCTCACCTCCTGGAGCTGTGCGGGAAACCGGTGACGCACTTGCGCCCGCCAACCATTTCCGCACCCTGGCGAGAGTGTACCAGCTTTCAGCCCTGTTGGAACTCTATCGAATGTTCCCTGAGTTGGACCAGCAGGACGATTCTGCGTCTGGGTCGTGGCTGTCTCCGCATGAGGCTGCCTTGGAGGAGGGTGTGGAACACGAGCATTGACGAAGACAATTGCATGCGCGGGCGATTAGCATCCTGTCGTTGATTGCCTCTATCCCCGAGACCTCGAGCACGCGGGCAACTCAGATATTGGCTCTGGTGATTGCTGGGAGCGCACTGCAGCCTTTACCGGTGAACGATGGCGTGGACGTATTGTCTTCAGGGAGAACGTCAGGGGCTGGTGCGGGAGGAGGTATCACGCCACCGTCTTATGCTACTCCGACTACTATGCCTATTACTACACAAGCCGACATCCAACATTGGAGAGCGTTTGTGGCCGATCGGCTTCAAAATCTAGCTTGCTACGTCGGCCTGGCGACCGTGCAACAGGCAGCCAGAATCGTGGAAGAATCCTGGGCTCGAGCAGACAGCCAGGCGGCCGTAGCGTTGGTCGGGCACGGGGCGGCGCGAGTCATGTCTCAGCGGGGTCTGATTGTACATCGGATCGACGTGATGATCGAGTGTGGGCTGGAGACTATCTTGGGCTAGAAGGCAGATTGCGATTCGGAGGTGACACACCTCGTTGGTAGGGAGGGGTACGTTGCCCATCCTTCTCGCACACTAATGCTTCAGGATAGAAACTTGCTCGCTGTGTTTTGATGGGATCCGTGGAAGGTTTCATTTCACTTTCTCACAATTAAGCTCAAGAACCGCAGCGAACAATCAAACTATACCTCAGCAGAAATGCCCCGCGCGGTACGTACGTACTGTACATGTGTAGCTGTAGGGTTCATCGATCGATGAACCCCACCCGATCGCCGGATCGATCGGGCCCCCGCGCGCCATTACCACGGAACCACCCCGATAATGTCACCATGCGTCAACAATGACCACAATTGACCGAATCGAGTGGTCATTCTAGAATCATAGCTACGTTCCTTTGATCCGCCAGATTGACGTCAAGCTTACATTGATCTACATGTGAATTATTCCACCGCCCCGGATTGAGCATATATAAGCTCTCCGCAATCTCTATCTCAATCGGCTCAATCAATCAAAGCTTATTGTCTCAAACACCGATACCGGCAATTCAATCTTCTACTGACTCAATTATATTCCAGACAAGCCAACATGCCTCAGTACAGCAACGGCCAGGCTATCCGCTACAAGCCCGTCGGCGGTACGATCCCCTTTCTCTTTTCCTTGATCACTTGAATAGCCGCCCCGCAAACCACACAACAATGCAGAACTGACACCCACGCCCAGGCCCCAACTCCAACACTTCGGAGAGCGTCGGCACGATCAAGTCCGTCTTGACCGAGCCCGGCATGCAGGCAGACCGCAACGTCGATGCCAGCGAGGAGAACCCCCGCTATGAGGTATGTTCTGCAGGACATGTACAAACACGTAGAACGAGAACTAATTGCTAACCACATGATACCAGGTCGAGAACCAGAACACGGGCAAGCTGACCAGTATCTACGAGAAGAACATCTTGGGCAGTGCGTGAGATGATGATGTCGATGTATTACGTGGGATATGAGGCTTTACGTCAATGATTTAATGTTACGATTCGATAGGATTAGATAATGCAGAGTAACAATCATCTGATATCTTTTTATTGCGCTGGTCAGTGAGAATATCCAGTCTCCTGGCCAATCTTCTGTGAGATCTGGTATCTCCTGTTTGGAGTCTGGAATGACATGGAAGTGGGTTACCACCACACAGCCAGAGCTGCCCACCTGTGCTTTCTATCAAGGCATTCACCAACGCATTCCTGTACAAGTATCAACATGTCATGTGATTTTCCTTTTATCATTGGAAACACAAGGTAGGAAATCAACTCTCTTACAAAAATAGGCAAATGGGTAGTAAATGTTGTATACACCAGTTTAAGCTCTACACTATAATCAAAGTCTGAATTTAAGGCCTTGCTAACTGCCTTTCGAAGCAAGCAAGGAGTCTCCAGACCCTTTTAGCTGGACCTAAAAGCTCTCCTGACACATTCCCAAGTAGGAAAGGGCCCCCAGTTATCTCCCCAGGTAGTAAGCAACCGAGGCCGCCACTCCAGATACATTCCTAAACAAGCAAGGCTTCTCCAGCAGCACGGCCACGATAGAACTGCACATAAGCCTTGGCGACGGTGACAGCAAGAGACACCAAGAATTGCGAAACCGCTAGTTCCACTTCAGCTGGGAGATAAAGTTGAGAGACTGCTGCGTCGGCGGGAACGGGCCCAGGGTGGGGATCGCCTTGCCCATCTTGGCGGGGGATGCTGCCTGCAAGCGGTAAGAAGTGGCTGTGCCGTGCATTGGCATTGCTCATTAGTCTCTTCCTAGCCAATAAGCTACCCGTAGATTCTCTTAGTGCCATAAAGTGACAAGCAGTTTTGATCCATAGCGGAAAGCGATGAAGGATTCCTACCTTACTCAGCGGCAACCCCGACGCCTGCTGTACTCGAATCGCACATGGAACTTACACATTTACCTAAAGCCGAGACATGTACCGGAGACTCTTTTGCATGGATGTAATGACGGAGCTTGGGGAGCCTGGGGGAATGTGCGAGGTTTCCAGCGCTGTCAAAATTAGCGTAGCTTCGCAGTTGTCTATAGCACAGGCTTGGCTTTGCCGATGGCAAATCCCGTCTAGCGAATTGTGATTAGGCTCGCACCATACGTCTTCACTAGCCAGCCCTGTATCCACGAGTCAGCCAACAAGGCTTCGCCTAAGACGTAGACGAGGACTCGCTAGAACACCTTGAATTCTGCCATGCACACATAATCTCGGTCCTAAGCTCGTACTCGTATAGGATCGTACTCCGTATGCACGTGCCATTCGATTATTTTTGGCAGGAGTGTGGGGCGGGCTAAGACCACGCAGCTCAGTACAGCAGCCAATTTGTCTCGGTCTTGAAATCGCGCCGACAATTTCAACGTCGAACAATCTCTACTTTGCTGAATACTCAAGACAAATTCGACTCTTACCAGAGCTTGGCTTTGCTTCAGCATGCATCGTCTAGAGAAAACGTACTTCTCCATTCAGAAATCAGCCAACACTGGACAAGGGTTGAGTCTAATAATGGCACAAAGAAGTTCATACTGGGCATCTAGTACTAGTTGGGAAACCTCTCGGTAGTTCACGACACTGTGCGTGAGTAAATGCTTGGGAGGCGCCGTGACACAGAAGGTATCCACTTCCAGGCACCGATTCACCGACAGAAGTGAACAAAGAGTGGTCGTTGTCGAGATTTTCAGGGGCACATATGCAAAGACTATTAAACCGACAACAAGGCAGATGCGACAATGGCAGAATCTCCAGACCCAGTGTTCGCGTTGCTATCATGTCATTTCTTGGATTCGTTCTCTTTATCTGCTATCTCTACCTCACCGGTACTATTTTCTTCGATGGAATGCACTATCTGCTCCATCGCTGGGCACGGTCAGAGTGGAAGATCCTGCGCCAGCTCTCCCGCTACCACCAATACCATCACCTCTACTACGGACGCTTGCTCCAGTTCAACCCCAAATACACCAGCTTAAATGCACGGATCGCCCTTCCACTCGAGCTCTTTTGCCAACTGCTGGGGAGCGTTATCGGGTGGTTGCTTGCGAGAGCGGTCTGGTTGTCCCCGAGCAGTCATTCCGATCGCAGGACTCTGCTCCTTGTCCTGCTCATCCAAACGGGGCGAGCCCTAGCCGTGATCTTCAATGACGGAAAGGACTCCAACCACATCTCCTACAACACAATTCCAAAAGACTGGAGCTGGGCTTTCGTGGGCCCCGAGTATCATGCCCTGCACCATCATTACCCGGACAAGTACATGGGATCGGCGATCAAGGTCTTCGACTGGGTGGCGGGCACGGCATACTCTCTTCGCGGCAAGACCGCTGTTATGGTCGATGGTTCCGGAGAGTTTGGACAGGCGATGGAAAAGCACCTCCTAGGGGAACGGGTCAAATGCGTCCACAAGCTGAGTTTCAAGTTAGGCTGCTCGCAACAAGACAACGCTCGCCTGCTCACCATGCTGGAAGAGGCGGACATTCTCATCCTCGCGCACGACACGCAAAGCATAGCTGGCACAGAGCCAAACTTCACATCGTCCATCCAGCTGGTTCAAGAGTTCCTGCGATTCAAAGCGACACGCAGAGGCAAGGTGCTCCCGGAGATTTGGTATCTTGGTTGCGAGTCGGAGCTGCTCCTGCCGTGGGGAATCATCCATGCCCGAAAAGATTCTGTTCCAGCCAAGCCATCCTTCCTGCCTTATGCTCGCTCCCTTTATCGTTCCTCGCAAGTTGTCTATCGCCATATCGTGCTTCCAGCATACCACCACCCGACAACGAGATTTTTTGCGTCGCCCGACTGGGTTGCCCATGCGGTGCTGTGGTGGATCCGCCGAGGAGCTCACTTTGTTCCGGTGACTTGGACCGGGCGGGCGTATTCGCACTTTCTACCGCTGTTGTTCGGCAATGCGGTAGACATGGATTGGACGAACGAGGGGAAGGATATGCGCAAGGGCTTTCCTGTATTGAAGAAAGACGAGTTAAGGTGTATTCACAAAAGGGGAGAAGACTGCATGGCCAGGGCCTAGAGATACTTTCATTATAATGGCATTCAAGTACATCTACCATAATCCTTTGTGTCCACCAATAAGACATACAAACCCAGTGAGCCATTCGTTGTGCGTTCATGGTTAAGTTTATCGGCTGGAAAAAAAAATCGGACAAACACGATAAAACCAAGAGCCCTGTATACCTGATTACGCATCATCCAGCTGCTCCCATTCGCCATAACATATAACATTCTGTCATCGAGTCATTCCCTTAGCCAGTCGTCCAGTAATCGTGCTTATACCTGTTTGATTTCACCGCAACCCTTTCTCAACCTGGGCGAGCCTCTCTTTCTCACAGTAAGGCGGCGGAGGACTGTCCGCCTCGCCCGCCACCAACCGCTCGACGGCCTCCGCATAGTTCGCCAACGCCTCCGTCTCATGCTGCTTTCGTGTCGAACTGCCAACCATCACATTCTCCACCTCTGGACCCCTGACTGCCCCCGCACAATCACATCCCTTTGCACAGCGAGAACTCTTCCGCGCCCGAACACACCAAACCAGCCCCATGACCGTCGTCCCCAACCATAGCACCATATTCACGAGATCAATCCAGACCGCTACCCTCATCCGAAGCAAAGAAGTCGTCCTCTCACGGTACAATAGCTCCACATCATCAGAGATGTAAATCGTCCCGAAGACTCCCGTCTGCGCGAGCCAGAGAACAAAGAGCACGAAGTCCCAAGCGGACCAGGCCGCGACCACCCGCTTCCGCCCCAGCGTGCAATGGACAACGGCGGTCACGGCGGAGAGGCAGGCGACGGTTTGAGCGAAGATCCATTCCGAGGAGGCGCGAGATCGCGTTTCGGTAGCATGGGCCAGGTCGACCGCGTAGAGGGCGGCGACGAGCACCGCGAAGATGAGTTGGAGGGTGCGGATGATGGCTCGCGTAATGACACTGGATGAGGGTCTTGCGTCGGGATGGAGGCATCGGTGAATGCTTTCTTCTTTGTCCTTCATTGTTTTCTTTTCTCTGGTGCTGTTTGTTCTGGATGCACTGCGGTGTATGGCGTTGTGATAGAGATGAAGGGGTAGGAGCACTCGGGTGGATTTCAAAGAATGACGGGAGCAGACGGGGTGAATAAAACTGGGCACGCCTCCCACAATATATAGGCATTTAGGTATGTGATTTGATTCAAAATCTAGATTTGTACTCCACCAGCGAGTCTGATCAGACAGGGCAGCCTACAAATAGGTTTAGAGTTTCGGCAGTTGTTCTTGTAGGTTGTCCCCATGCGGTAATTCTCTCGTACTCGCGGACAAAGTGACCCACTTTATCGGACTTCCCCCCACTGCAGGCTTCTCCTGCAACCATGATCGAGAATTTCGCAACGTTTTTTTTTTTCTAGAGTGGTCAGGTATCAAATGTCACAGAATTCTCATCGGCAGTGATTTCAATATTCTGTCCAGTGGAAACGGAGTGGATGGTGTGAGATCATCCTCTGTGCTATTTTTACAACTTTGTCGTCATCCTCAAGTTTGAGACGCCGAATAGATGCACGGTAGAGATACCGAGTCTGGTAGATTGAGCCCTAAGGGTTGTCTGGTACTCTGGTGGGTGGTATTGAAGTTTACACACGACTAAGCGCCTTCGCAATCTACAAGTTTTTACCTTTGCTTCCATACAGTAAGCGCGGAATTTGAAACAAGAGGAATTTTCAACACCATCACCTAGAGTTGGTTTGAGTGACAGGCCACGGCTCGTAAACAGCCGCGCGGGCTGGAACGGACGCGGGGCTGTCTCTGTGTCTATATATGTACCAGCTAAGCTACTCCGAATAAGCATATTCTACCCCCTCAACTCAATCTTCAAAAGGATACTAATACCCATTGTGTAATTGGTATCGCTCCCCACACCTTCATTGATCAGTGAAGCTTATATCGGTCACTGAAAGTGGTCGTCGGAGCAAAGTACTCACCAAGTAGATAGTGCTGCTGTGGAGCTTACAGGCAAAGTGCAATTAATCGAAAGAATTTAAACCACTTGACAGGTTGTATGATCTTATCAGGAACAGTGACCGGTGCCTTGACAGCACCATGGACGCAATGTTTTTCAGGGCTTAAAATAGCGTCGGGTGCTCTCCGGCCTCATCCCGAGATATTACCCGATCAGGAAATGACGCCGTATTCGTACCTTCAAGCTTCCTTGGCGATTGACATTCAACCCCCGTCAAGAAAAGGCTATATAGGTTTCAAGTTCCGTTCTGAGTGATGAAAACACATCCCTTACATCTTGGTCACTCTCGCCTATCTCGCCTCTACCGATTCCAACGCAACTTCAACACCGCCGAACGCACGATGTCCGCCGCGCCTCTCGCGCCCCGAGGGCAAGCCTCCTTCGACCTCTACGCCTACAACCCCTCCGCCGCCGCGGGCTGGGCCTTCGTCGTGATCTTCGCTCTCGGCGCCGCGGTGCACCTCTTCCTGATCTTCCGTCTCCGCGCGTGGTTCTTCATCCCATTCCTGCTGGGGTGTATCGGTGAGTTGAACTCCTTCAACACAGCCAAGTCTGGCAACGCACCGGCTAACATCCACCAAACCCACAGGCGAAGCCTTCGGCTACTACGGCCGCGCGTGGTCGCACAACCACATCCGCAACGGCAGCCCGTACCTGCTGCAGCTGATGCTGATCCTGGGGTCGGCGCCGCTGCTCTCGGCCAGCGTCTACATGACGCTGGGGCGGGTGGTGCGGGCCCTGCACGCCGAGTCGGCGACGGTCATCCGCTCGACGTGGATGACCAAGATCTACGTGCTGATCGACATCGGCAGCTTCGTGTGCCAGATGATGGGGTCGGCGATGCAGGCCAGCGGCGACGCCGACGGGGTGCGGACCGGCCAGCGCGTGGTGATTGGGGGCCTGGGGGTGCAGCTCGTCGCTCTGGGGTGGTTCCTCGTCGAGGCCGGCGCGGTGCATCGCCGGCTTGGTACGAGGCCGCCGTCGGCCGCGGCGCGCGACCCTGCGGTGCCGTGGTCGCGCACGATGTGGACGTTGCATGCGGTCACGGGGTTGATTACGGTGCGGAGCGTCTATCGGCTGGTGGAGTTTTTGGCGGGCACGGACAGTGTGTTGAGTAAGAAGGAGGCGTTTTTGTATGTCTTTGATGCGTCGTTGTTGGCTGTTGCTGTGTTTGCGTTTGCGGCGGTGCATCCGGGGAGGATGTTGCAGGTGGTCAGGAAGATGGGGCATGATGGGTTGTTTGATGGGGTCGTTATGTTGGACTAGGTGCTTTACTGGGATGTGTGGCTCGTGCTTTTGCTTCTGGACTGGCTGGTCCCGGTCTTGTGTATGTTGCTGGCATGAAGATCTTTGTTTTGGATGGGAGTTTGGGGTATGTGTCCTTCTAATAGGTACACATGAAACCTTTATTTTGGCAAGTCGGGATTTATTCACTTTCGAGATCGGATTGCAGACACCAAATTCTCTATGCTTCGCTATGTGTTAGAGCTGTATCGCAGGAGCTATGCGATTCTAAGAGCATTACCAAGATTTATATTATCTACATTACTGTATGTATAACGCGGTCTAGGAACCATCTTCCACATCTACCAGTATCTCCACCGCATCGTAGCTTGGATGGGAGGCAAACCTTATAATTTACTAATCCTTCCACCCGACCCTCCTCGCCACCAGTTTCACAGCATACACGAGCCCCAACAGCACAGGCACCTCGACCAGCGGCCCGACCGTCGCTGCCAGCGCCTGATTACTATCGGCCCCGAAGGTCGCGACCGCCACCGCGATCGCCAGCTCAAAGTTATTGCTGGCGGCGGTGAAGCTCTGCGTCGCCGCCAGCCGGTACCCGAACCCCAGCCGGTAGGCCACGAGCAGCGTCGCGAAGAAGATCACCGCGAAGTAGACGATCAGCGGCGCCGCGACCCGCACCACGGACACGATCTGATGCACCACGTGCCGGCCCTGCGAGGCGAACAGCACCAAGATCGTGAACAGGAGCCCGATGAGCGACCACGGGCTCGCCCACTTCAGGAACACCTCGTCGTACCACCGGGGGCTGGTGGCCCAGCGCAGCGCGAACCGCGTCACCACCGCCGCGCCCAGCGGGATCCCCAGGAAGACGGCGACGGATTGCGCCGCGGTGGCGTATTGGAAGTCGATGTTCTGGTCGCCGCTGATGACCCGGATGAAGAAGACGCCCATCGGCGCGAAGAGCACCATTTGCAGGAGGGAGTTGACCGCCACGAGGATCGCGCAGTATTCGCTGTCGCCGCCGGCGAGGCCTGTCCAGATCAAGACCTGGGGCTTGTTAGGGTTTGGCATGATACGAGTTGGATATCACGTGTTGTGTCTTCCGGGAGGAGGGGGCCGCTTACCATGGCAATACATCGGGCCAGTCCGACTAGGATGAGTCCCTGGCGTAGCTCGGGTTCGTCTGGGAGGAATGCCCAGGATAGGGCCAACTACATTACAGCCCTTGTTAGCGGTACAATGGCAAATATGTGGGTTTGGGTAGGGAAGGAGGAGAGTACCATGAAGAACGGAGCAATAATCCAGTTGACGATCAGACTGAAGGCGATCTGGATCCAGATCTGGCGGGTCTTGAAGACGCGGTGCAGGCTCTCGAAACGCACTTTACAGAGAATCGGGTACATCATCACCAGGAGGCCAACGGCTAGCGAACTTTGATTATGATCACGATTCAAGGTAGAGTCGGGTGGCATCACCAGGAAGCTTTCTTACCGATAGGCACTGAAACGCCGACAAACTTCCCTTTCTGGAGCGCAGGCCCCGTACTGGGGACGAAGTTTCCCAGGATGATGCCGATGGCCATGGCCAGGAAGATCCACACCGCGAGAAAGCGGTCCAGCAGGCCGAGGCTCTTGAACGCGGATGTTTTCACCTGGGGTGAGTCTAGCGTGGTTGCATCTGCTTGTTTCTCGATGTCGCTGGGCGGGCAGGATCTTAAGTCTTCACCAGTGTTCACTGGAAACTGGTGTTCAGCCATCGCTGTGGTTGCACAGAGCGACCCAATGCCGGTAGGATAGGAGCAAGAATGTGGCTCGTGAGGCTGTTTACAATCGAGGGGGGATGAAACAGCTATCAGCAATGATAGTGGCTGTAGAAGGTAGTAGATGAGAGACACAATGTGTAGAACCAAGCTTGATGAGTGCCCCCTCCTCGATACTCGATAATTTCTACTTCTGCACAACTATGTTGGGGCAATACGGGGTGCTGCAAGTGAATGTCACTGGTCGACGCTGATTGGTTGGGTGATATAATGTGTGGGTGTAGGCTTGCCCCACTGAGCCCGCTGGCACGAACCCGCACTGATTGAATCTGATTGAAGCATCCAGAACCCTCTTGTGTCTAGCAAATGACAAGCCGCGGGTGACATCCTGCATCGCGATGCCGCTACCCCAGCGCTGCCGTAGACTCTACCTGATGCGAAAACTCATGCCTTAGGTATCTCCATACTTTGCTTCTTGTCTCCCAGCCTCACAATCCCAAGAGCAGAACTCGCGTGACTTTTTTCCTGTCACCATTATTCTTATATTATTGACTCAAACAACCACTGAGCCACGATGACCGCCCCTGCTATCCCCTGGCATGCAGTCTACCCCGCACCGCGAAGCGCAGCGGTCGGCATCTGTCGCGAAGAAGTACTGCGATGGTTCCGCGCCGGCAAACAAGCCGGACGCGATTTTTTATTGGTCGATCTACGCCGGACGGACTTTGAGGTAGAGAGAAATATGAAGATGAAGGCCGAGGCTAACTAACGCTGACACCTACCGCAGGGAGGGACGATCCGAGGATCCATCAACCTTCCAGCTCAGAGTCTTTACCCGACGATCCCAACGGTTTTTTCTCTGCTCAGCCAGAGCCCTGTGAAGGAGGTGGTCTGGTATTGTGGTTTGTTTACCTCACCGCAATTACGAGCAGCAAAGCATGACGCTGATTGGGAACTAGGTTCCTCGAAAGGACGCGGCACGCGGGCCGCCAGTTGGTTCGCCGACTACCTCGAACAGCAGGGAGAGACCCGGCTGAGGAGTCTCGTCCTGGAAGGGGGCATCAAGGGCTGGGTTGCTGCTGGGGAAGAATACACGGATCTGATGGATGAATATGACGCTTCTGTCTGGGCTAAATGAATACACAGCATATGGTAGCGATAGCCAGTTGGGGGTGAAAATATGTACTGATCTAAGTAGTCTATTAAATGCAGTAAAGGCCATGATCAACAGGGTCTATCAGTATATACATACAAAGGCGCACCGCTGAGGGCTAGACCTGTTGTTCAACGCGGACCCTCTCCTCCTTCATCCGCTTCTCCTCCCGCTCACTGTACCGGTCCCCAAACAGCTCCAGGTGTGGTCGCATGAGGATGGTGTATTTGACAAACTCCTCCATGCAGTCCACCAGTCGGTCCCGGTTCCCACTCGGCAGCAGTCTTTCGTCACCCGGCTGCCCCTCGTCCGGGAAATGAGTGTAGGCTCTGGGAATTGACGACTGGTTCGGGATGGTGAACATGCGCATCCACCGGCCGAGGATGCGCAGGGAGTTGACGGCGTTGAACGACTGCGATCCGCCGCATACCTGCGCGATCGCCAACGTACGACCCTGCGTGGGGCGCACGCTGCCCGTGCTGAGTGGGATCCAGTCGATCTGGTTTTTGAAGACGGCGGTCTGCCGACAGGTTGTTTATTAGTGACTGCTATGACCAGGATTTGATTGATAGATAGATAGGAATACCGACAAGGTTGCCATGTTGTTCGGGAGACACCCACACATGCCCATCGCTCCACTTGCTGAGCTCCCGCAGCTCCTGCACCTTGGGATGGTTGTGTTCGGTATCATTCTTCACCGGCAGACCCTCGGGATCGAACACGCGGACGTCACAGCCGAGACGGAAGAGGATTCGGCTGGCTTCTAAGGCCACCAGGCGGGAATAGGATCGCCGACGGAGACTGCCGTACAAGACGAGGACTTTCAGCCGGTTGTTAGACTTTGCCAGTTCCTGCGCCGCCATATCCATGGCGGTCGTCAACTCGAGCCTGTTGACCCACTCTTGCGCGGCTCCATCCTCGAGAATGAAGGGACGGTATTTGCGGCGGATGTCAGAGCTATCTTCGGCCTCTGGTATAGCGAGAGATACTGGGATATCGAAGGAGGGGGTAGTAGGGTTTGGCTGGACAGCTGCGGAAGAGGCCATGGTGCTGTAGTTCTTGGGCGCAAAACGGACCACTGAACGAGTGAATGGGGTGAATGGGTGTAGCAAGGGAACTCTGCGACATGCGATCATTGGGTGCTGTCTTCTTTTGTTTTTGGAACAGAGGCAAGAAAAAGAAAGGACAAGTGACCCTTTATGGTACTAACCAAAATGTGCCAGATGATGCGTTCCAGTTATTCACAAACTTAAGTGAATTGATGGCTGCTCATAGCCCAACGGCGAGTATGTCACTGGCGTAAGCTGATTGGGCAGAAGCAGACTTAATTCAGAGAAACAGCCTCTGAACCTGAAAAGGTTAGCCCCGGACCATTGTTGCTGCGCCTCTGGCCTGCCAACAGAGAGGAATTGAGTATGTGAATCAAGTTGTTGCCATGCATGGCGTTTAATACCACTCCATACATACTATGGAAATCCGTTTTTTGGATTACACGACCGCAGATGCATTTCCCCATGCCGAGGAACTGTACGTGTCCGTGATTGGTGTTCTCTTGGCCCCGCTGAAGAGTCAAATCTCGTGGACCGAAACTCATGTGCTCGATAAATCGAGGTGAATATTTCTTACCGACGCAAGGAAGACCTATTGACCGACGAATCGAATGACAGCCCCAGTCAGTGTTTTAATAAGAGGTAGGTAGGGCCATATCCATCAATAGAGTACCATTGAACCGAATATATGTCAGACAAGTCAGTCATCATCGTTACAGCGCATTCTCGATGACCAACTGCATGGTCATGAACATGGATATTGTTCAACTACTCGATGAATATTGGAAATGTGACGACAGTGGCTAAACTTGACGCTAAATAATCTCATTCTTTTTCATACACGTCGAGGAGCCGTTCCCTTCTACATTTTCTTCCGCCGCTACCCCTCGAAAGAAAAATTGAGCTCTTTAGGCCTTGATGGCGTAGATTTGGAAAGAGCCTAGACTCATTATCAATGAGATGTTTATTTAAAGCAAGGATCAACGGGAGGGTAAACTGACCAACCCACTCGTTAAAGTCCAGCTCGGTCATGGCAGTGGCAGTCGCGGTTCCGCATCCCCCGCCGCAGCACGAGCCACAACCCGAGCTCTGGGGCAAAGACGAAGACTGCTTATAGAGATTGAGATCCGACTTTGTGTCCACAATCAGGACACCTGCTACTGGATCAGTACTTGCGACTCCACATTGCGGGGTATATCTACCTTCAAAGCCGGCCTGGCCAAGGAATTCCTCATATTTCTCCACTGGACTCGCACCCGCCACACATCCCACATACAACGCTGTGTCTCCGGTGATGTGGTCGGGAAGCGGTTTTCTTGCCAAGATATCGCTGACTGCCACTCTGCCCCGGGGCTTCAGAAGTCGGGCCATCTCCTTGAAGACGGCCGGTTTGTCGGCCGCCGGGACTAGGTTGATGACGCAGTTGCTGATGATGCAGTCCACGCTGGCGTCAGCCAGCGGGATGGCGGTGATGTTTGCTTTGATGATTCTGGCGTTGGACAGTCCTGCCTTTTGAATGTTCTTCTCGGCGAGCTCGATCATACTCTTTTGTCGGACCATGTCAGTGCTCCGTGGGAGAGAAATGCACTGGAAGCACACTCACTTTCGTCATATCCACCCCGATCGCCTGCCCCTTGGGGCCTACCTTCCGGGCGGTTAGGAGGATGTCGATGCCGCTGCCGCTGCCGAGGTCCAGGACCGTCTCGCCCTGGTACGAATGTCAGTCCAAAATATAGTTAGTGGTTGTTATGGCATAAGGGCCATGCAAGGAGATTAAACCTCTTTGACATTAGCGAAGGCCATGGGATTTCCACAGCTCAGGCCGAGGTTAGTCCTCTCGGGCAAGGTGCTGAGGTCTTCGGCACTGTAGCCGAATGCTGTGGCGATAACGTCTTCTTTGCCGCGCTTGAGGGCAGTACTTTGTTTGGCGATGTCGCCGTAGCGGGACTGGACCAGATTGTAAGTATCTTGGAACATATTGCAGGCGAATGGTAGGGATGAGAAGTAGATTGTATGTCTTGTTCTGTAAGCAGAATGCCGAGGAATTGCAGAAGAAAATTTGAATGCAGACTTGGGGCAACCGTTTGTTTTTATTTTCACCGTGTGCAGGAATCAATAGTTCTTTGTATTACTAATTGATCTGATATGGTTCATGTGACGCCTTTCATTCCTTGTTCGATGGCGACCTCTGTTGAAGTTCTAGAATATCTTTATACCTAGTATGCCATCAGTTTGGGCATAAAAATGATATGTCACCACCTTCAGCCCATTGGATTAACTACTAAGTATTTCTCCCGCAACCCAAGAACGAACTTTGTTCACCAATAGCCGTCGAATTCACCCCAACCAAGCCACTTCGTTATCCGGCCGATCCATAACATCTGCAGCTATGCCACTCCTTTTTCACCCATCGCAACTTAAAGATCGTCCTCTTCCTGATACTTACAGTAGAAGAACGTGGAGGGAGTTGGTTCGGCACTAACTACTACCAACATGCCACGCATCAAAAAAAAAGACCAGAGTAGGCTGATCGCAGCCTTAAGTACTTCGTATTAGTAAATGGGGCGATAACTAGATATCTAACCTCCCAAGCAGGCAGAGAGCCTCACCCGCGTCCGCAACAACCAGCGCCGCTGCCGACAGCGACAACGCGACTGTGTGGCTGACCTGGAGTGAAGGATAGTATCACTTGAGGTCACCACGGCGCGGGAAATCAGCACACTGCAATCTATGACGGATGTGCTGCGCCAGGAGAGTGAACAGCTCCAAGCCTTTGTCGATGCTTCTTTAGGCGTCGAGGACACGGTACCCAGATTATACGGGCCAATAGAGGACAACAATCAGAGCTGCATGGAGATGTCCTAGGACATGGTCCCTTCCACCCACGTATCCGGTCTAGGTGTGAAGGACTACTATGCCTGCAGCTTACATACGCGCATCGTCTCCAAGACTCACGCAAACCAATTCCCTCCTCTCCCACCTCGCTCTGATTCTCCATCACCCTCTCTGTTCACCAAGCAAGTTGACAGAGTCTCGCTGCTAGATACCAGCCAGCTCCCAATACCCCCGGAAGGCGACCTGGGTCCTGGAACTGTAGCGTGCTGACGGAATCACATTCCAAACAGCGTGGGCAAAGTATAATGACGCAGACACGACCGTGTGGACGGTAGCTCTGGAGTTGGTCATGGGCTAGAACACGAAGAACCTCAGTATCTCCGAGCTGGATCTGCGTCTGCGAGGCGGATATCGCTGCGCGCGGTTCCTTTGGGAGGGCTGCCGGATGGACAACCAGGTTTGTTTCGCTGTTTTTGCTGAGGTGATTGAATGATCGATGCATTCAGAGTTCCCAAGCTCAATGGGAAGGGCCATAACACCCGAGCCGCAGAAGGGATGTCCGGGCTCTGGTTGTTCTCCGCAGCGGGCTGTCGTCCTGTGAACACGCGATGGAGGGTTGTCATCGGAAGCCTCATGGGGAGGAAAGATATTGCAGTCTATCCCAGAAGCGGGCGGGAAAAGTATAAAGAAAGGGCCATACAAGTAGCGAATAAAAAAGAAGCTCAGAAAGTGAGGTTGTTCACCTACAGACCAAGGGACTCATTCCCCTCCTATCGGCATTATCGTTGATACCCCCCTGGGTAGAACTTGTATACAATTCAGCACTCATTCTTCCTCAGATTCCTCTACTCCGACAGAAAAACAGAGATAATTTAAATGAACTTCCCGCGCAAAGCAGCACATACTATCAGATAATTATCTCTTCGAGTCCCCCATATAATGCTGTACTTACTGTACAATGACTTAACTACTTGTTAGCGGGCGTAGATATACTCAACCTTACCGCCCTCGGGGCCGCATCAGGGCTTCGCCCCGGTGATAATTCGATACGGCCGAGCTCCACGGGGTGCCCGGTAGCTGGTATTGGGGGACCGCAGATTCACCCCCGTCTTTGATAGAGATTGCGTCGCTTTGAATTTCAGGAGATGTGGGT